AGTCCGGACGAGCGGGACAAAGCACCTGCCTCTATCATGATCTAGATTCCACGTTATAGGGCATTTTCCAGGCTTCTATCTTCCGTTTCGTGCAAAGTTCCTTGCTTCGTTGCGTGCATTATCTGCAAAAGCTTGATAACTCAGATGTTATAAAATCGAGACTTAAATAGAATATTAGCAACCCCAGCCGTGCAATTGAACAAGTAACCTAGGCACCGGTTTTAAGCAGCACCTATATCTAAAACGTAAAAACTGACCGAGAATGTTCATAGCTCCAGTTCCAGGTGTACAAGTGTTAAGTATCCACGACGAGTCCGCATTGGACGAGTCGTCGCCAGTGAGCTTGGAGTGACAGTAGACGACACATGGGCGCGAGTGACAAGGCCGGAGATAAGAACTGTACCGCAAACGAAACATGAAATGAGTGGTGAAAATAGGTTGGTTGGATTGGAAGAAAGTTTAAAAGGTGTCTGCGCCTGCAACCACCCGCAAATGCAACTGCAAATGCAAATGTCCGGGTAGCGTCTACTGTCAGTGCGAAATACCAATACTATACTATACTATACTATACTATACTGCAAAGCAAGCACTGAGTTATACACTAGGGAAGGAGGTGAGTAAGCATGTAGCTCTCGATGAAGGTCCATAGACACATGGAAAGCGCACGTTTCAGCGATGCTATGTTATGTTATTCGCGGTGATAGACTTCGGTGCATACGCCGGGACCATATCATGCGCTTTATCAAGGCACAACAATGTAGAGAAATGTTTAATTCCTGCAAATAAAATGTCAAAGCCAAGTCATAAAAACAAGAGGAGTTCCCCTGCACAAGTAAACCCGACGCCATCCTTGATACTGCTAGAATGCATAAGGAAAAAGGATCGACCAGCCTGACAAGCTCCTAGCGTCAATACTCCCCACCATACTCCCGATCGCTTAAATGAATCCCGATTCTCCACCTAAACACAACAACAGCTGAATTGAAAAGAAACACACTTCTGTGGAAGACAAAATGTTTTCAGTTCCGTTCATGCGAAGTCTGGTGCAGTTGCAACCAGGCTGAAGAACAGACCGGCGCCAACTGCAACACCTCCAACAGCAGCGTAAGCAGCACGCTCCAGAATGGTTTTGAGTTTCTTGACTGGTCGTTGCTCGTGCTCGTTCTCCTGTACAGCCGCAGCCTCAGCAAATCTAGCCTGTTGACCTGATATGGCAGGCTTGGAAGCATCCCATGAGGCCCATTCCCTGATTTCGTTTTCGATTACATTCGAGATGTCACCAGCCTTTCGTTTCTCGCCGACCTTGGGACCGACTTTTTGAGAACCTTGGTCGCGTGAAGAGTTCTCAATAATATCATGGATGCTCAATCTAGAACGAACGGACATAGCCTTGCTCTCGTTGAACTTTACAGCACTTGTCATGTCATACTCCGGGCTCGGCGCACGCTTTACGGACAACGGCTTATTTTGGAAGTCGAAGGATAAACCTGACCTATTAGGCGCAGTGGCTGCTATAGAAGTCAGTAAATAGCTGCATCTAGTCAAGTGTTTTAACATACCGAAGCCCCCATGTTTGATAGTGCTTGAAGGGTGCGCAAACTTTATACGTTCACCGAATCTAACAGATTTGATAACATTATTGACGGTGTTAGACGCCGATGGTACATGAGTAGCGATGTTCTCATTCTTAGATACGCGGATGTTGGAGAAGAGAGCGCTGCTGCTTGATGAGAAGGATGTAGCGCAAGTATCATCCTCCTTATCTACTGAAGTAAGCACTTTAGCCTTGTTGTTTTCTCTTGCTTCGAAGAAGGCATGCTTGCCAGTCTTGTCACCTAGCGTTTGGGCAGGGTGGCTAGAGGTTTGACTGTGTAAGTGGGAGTCGGCAACGTTACTCGAAGTCTGTTCGGGGCGCTTATGGGGTGCAGCCTTGACCATCGCAGCATCCGAAGGACTGGGCTGTCTCTCTGCGGGAAAAGACTGGCTGAGCGTATAGGTATTCTTTTCGGGAATGGCTAGGGTGGCCGCCTTGCATAGAAGTCCAACAGCATCGCCATCCCATGCATGTTGGAAACACGTGTTTGGGCTCGAGGCAATCTGGGCATCGTATTGCCCAACTTCCGCCTGCGCCTCCTTGTTTGAAGCAGGCTCGGATGCATCAGAGTCGCTATGCAGCAGATCATCTGCAAATAGAGCACTAATGCCCTCTTCACCAGCATCGGAGAGGCCGTAGTCACTCTCATCATCGCCATCCATAACGTCCTCCGAAGAAGGCTCGGTCTGCCCTATAATATACCCGAAGGTCTTCTGGCCCTGTTCATTGGCCAAATAGCGATTCACATTGTTGACGTGGCTTTCGTGTGTTTTTTCGGCCATTTCATGCGTATGGCCTACCATCATATCAACATTCTCGGCCTCAGAATAACCCTCCTCGACATGAACCTCCGCATCATCCCCGGCATCGTTCGCAACATCATTTTCACTATCAGAATCCTCGACTTCCTGCAACTCATCGTCTCGTCCTCGGAGGAATCAGATTCAGTAGAGTCTGCAACTTCGGGCTGATCTTCAGAGTCAGACGAAAAGTGACCATAGCCTTCTTCCTCATTCTCGCTTTCGAGAAGGATAGGTTCTGCAGCGAAGTTGAAGACACTTACCGCATGGACAGTCTCATTAGCATGGATATCGCTTGCCTCGCTGGTGAGATCGATTCTATTGGAAGATGACAAGATTGGAGACTCCTCACGAGTGAGATCGATAGTGTTGACGGCCTGGGACGACTTGACGGGAGTTGTCATTTCGATCGAAGCATCATCCTCGCCGGACGAGTGGCCGCCGTCTTGCACTATGTCATCGCTCAAATCGTAGTCTTCTTCATCTTCGACATCGGAGGAGTCGGGAAAGGCGTAACTCTTGCCCGCCCTGCAAGGTATGTAATTAGCAGGAGCTTCAGCGGTACTGACACTGCCAGGAGTAACATACTCGTAAGGAACAAACTCAATCTTTACTTGAAATGCACAGGCAGGGAATGTATCTACTCCACGTTTGACTTCGGCACCAAAAGTAATTTTATCCCCATTCGATATCCGTGTTGGCTCTCTGACTGATAATTGCGTGTTGTTGATGTATGTCCCGTGCATAGATCCAATATCGTGAATGGTGATGACATTACTCTCCGGGTTCAAGCACATCTCGGCATGATCACGGGACATAACCGGGCTATCGAACCATGCATTATCTTGAGCACCTACAATGCCCTTGCTAACGCTCTTGGATGCTCGACCGATCGGAATTGTGAGGAGGTTCGGGTTCAGGATAATGGTGCGTTCTGCGAGGGAGACATCCCCAGTCAGCGCCTTGAGGGTAACATTGGCTACGGGAACAAGTCAGCATCTGATAGTCATCCAAAAAGGTAAAACAAGTGAATATAGGATAGGACGAGAGGATAGCTGAGAGCAGGCATCGGTCTTTTACGTCCCAGTCATGCTAGGGTGAATGATGTGACTTCACAATATCTTCATAACGGATGGACGGCAGCCTCGTTGTGCGTTGTCCTCAGTTGAGTGAAGCTGGGCAATAACGTACCTTGTTCCATGTTGCCGATGTAGTGCTGGCAGATGTTTAGTTGATTGTGTAAGGTTTGTTGATGTACCCAACACTGCAGGAGAAGTTGATATTGGGTCTGCGGTAGTGTCGACGTTGGCTTCGAGGCTCCCGATGACAAGTACAACGGCAACGTGAAACGCGGGCAAGCGCTGCGAATGGACGTCAACGTCCAGGTCTCACAGGCAGTTGAAGAACCTCGAGACTCAAGAAGGTCTTTGGCGATTCGAAGCTCAGTAGAAGTCTTGGTTGTAGGAGTTGGATGTCGGTGTCGTTGGTAAGTAGGTATGAATAGTGAGGGAAGGAGGGGTTACATTAAGGTAAGGTGAGGTGAGTAGGCAACACAGGCGATAAGCATTAGATAAGCGACAAGAGCGCTATAAATATGGGGCCGTATTATCGATAAGGGAGTGGAGTCCAATGAACTAGGTAAGGTACCGTACCGTATCACCTTAATACCTCCTACCTAAATATTCGTAAAGCTTCTTTGTATATTCATTATATTGACCTATATCGACTGAATGGACAAGACGGTACCAAAAGCAATGTTCTGCTATTTATTCCAATAACATAATTATCCTCCGAATGAAGTATTAGAATAAGGTACTATACCTAGGTAGTAAGTCCCGGGAGATCTATACGAAAGGTAGCATCTGATGACCATGACCATGACCATTTGAGCTGAAAAGCCCTATAGCACTCTATTCATCACATTTCCTCTGCCCCTCTCTTTGGGTACGTACTCTATATTTCCTAAAATATCTCTGAACAGGAATACTTACGATTAGCTCTCGCCCCACAAATAGGGCTGCAATCTAATCAATAGTTGGTTGCTCATACAGTACTGTAATAATGCAAGACAGCTTTTCTGAGTCATTTCTTACACGTGTCGAGTCAAGTTCCCAAGCCAGGCAGAGAGGAGTAACTACCTAGGTAGGCACCTACTTTAGGTACCGCCCATATTAAATACCCACTGCTATAATATAGGTGCCTTACTCCGTAAAGTATTACCTATCTTTGAAGCCAAACCTAAATTCGGTATCGATGATAAGTAAACGCCCCACTCTTTATCTTAGCCGCCCGGGCCGGGGTTAGTGTTAGTGCCTTCTTCCTGGAAATATGGCATGGTCCAATTCTGACCTCATAGCCACTCCAAAATTATTCAAATTTCTATTTAACATCCTTGTGATTCACTATTAAACTTATGTATTTCTATACCACCTCAAATACCTCTCCATCAAGTCTTGCGATAGCCCACGGCACACTTAGGTACAGTTTTCTTTGATCTTGAACAAAGTATCCAAGTACCCCGCACACAATCAATTTTCACAACACCACCAAAATCGCGCTCCACCTTCGCCGCTGTACCTCCGATACACTTGCATATACACGCCAAAATGGGGCAGAAGAAAATGGCGTACAGAGGGTTGAGGCGCCAGGCGCTGGAAAAGACCGGTACTCCAAGCTCATCGGCAGCGAACTCTCGAACAACCAGCAGAAACGTGAGTAGGCATGCCTCTGATGAAGACGATGAGAACTTGAGCGATAGCACAAATATGAGGTATGTTGGCAATACATCAAGACCGAAACACAGATACTGACGATATTCTCAGTGTCACTTCCATCGACGACATGCTTACTATTGATGCACCGGCGGAAGACGCCAACGAAGAATGGAAACAATGGATCGGCGACAGGATGGAAGGCATCATAGAGAGAAAGGGAAGCAATATCGGGGGAAGAGTGGCGTCTCTAGATGAATATAATAAGGGTCTCATGAAACATTATGCTTTTGACGATATTCGACACAAGACTTCAGAGCTGTTCCCCGCATTTCTGAAAAGTGTCAGGGCGGAGAGTAGCGAAAAGGAGACATGTTCGGCGTTGAGAGGTTGGTTCAATGCGTTTCCATTTCATGACTACAGAATAACTAACAATTTCCACAGCTATCGCCCTCACGCTCATCACAGTTCCTTCAGAAACCGTTTACGATGCCCTCTGTCAGACTCTAAAGAATTCGTACACAGACTCGGAGTTCCCCAGCGTCAAGGCGATAGCAATCCACACCCTTAGCGCAGCAGCAATTTACGGAGGTGCTTCCGACAACGAGGTCGAAGAGATCATGGATGATCTACTGGAGATAATTGAATCAGACGGAGTCTCAGTCAATGCAGAGGACATCGGCGACGTTGTAGTTGCGGCTTGTGAAGCTTGGGGATTCCTCGCTACGTCTATAGACGATATGGAAGAGAAGACCGAGGTGGCTATGGACGCATTTGTTGAGCAGCTCGAGAGCAGCGATGTGGCGGTCCAGATTGCAGCTGGTGAGAACATCGCCCTGCTATACGAGAAAAGCTATACACAACGAGAAACTGAAGACGGCCCCGCCACCGAGGACGAGGACGAGGAGGGTTATCCAATAGACAATAGCCATGTCAAACGTTATGAGGTCTACCGACAAAAGCACCAACTCGAACACCTCCTCTCCCAACTCGCCAACGAGTCCTCGAGGCGGATTGCCAAAAAGAACCGCAAACTTCTTCACACCAACTTTGCCGATATCCTAAACACGGTTCAACATCCCACTCGAGGTCCGAGATACCAGAAAGCCATCGACCAGGAAACTGGCCGTAGATACGGTTCGAGAATGACCGTTCGCATATCAAATGCTGGTTACATGGAAATAAATAAATGGTGGAAGCTACATACGCTCCAGGCCCTGAGAAGATTTCTTGGCGGCGGAATTGTAGTTCACTACATGAATAACGAGGTTGTCTATGACAGTCTTCCGTCAGTTGATTGATTCTCATGATTGGGTCAACAACTGATTTGAGTTCCGCCTTTTTAGGCTTTCAAACACAGAATAATGAGAATTCACAAGGGCAATCATGGATGTCAGGCGTTGGAGTTAGGGCCTAGGGTGGGAACAAAAGCTTGATATTGCTATTCGAGCATTGGAGGGCGCGAGACATAATACCCCGGGCATTGATACACGATTTCCTTTTTATATGATTTATTTTGGGAGGCTCAAAGTCGTGAAACTTGGGATTCCTAAAGAGCAGTCTAAGACAGAGTAGATATATCAACCACTTCGTTGAATATTAAGGTGACGACTAAACCGACGTGAAAACTGAATATTACCCTCGGCTGGTTATCTCTAACATATGTGCTCCTCGTTAAAGGGATTTCCGTCTAACTCAGATGGCTTCGAGTACAAGCCGAAGTAAGTAGGGGGATATATGGTTTGAGTGGCAGTCTGGTAATGTGAGCGAATACCTTTGGAAACCGAATGGCTTTCATGAATATTCGAGATGCCACCTCATGATGGCACAATCTAGGGAGGTATATTGAACGCAACTTCCCCAACTTCCTCGCTTAAAGCACAAGGAGGCGGCAAAGCGGACTGTTTACATCGCTCTTTCTCTCTCGTAGGTTCTGCTATTGCCTACCGACTTCGACGCAAGAAAATCGCATCATCTTTAAGATCTCTGAATCAGACATCATTCCTCCTCCAGTCTTCTGCAACTCCGCTAGAATGCTGCTCACTTTGGCCACGCCTCTCCGTAGGTACACCCGAGTCTGGGTCCAGTCAGGGAACGCTCTTCCGGAATACGATGCTCCTGGTTTTGACGAGTCCTGCAAGTACATCAAGTACGAACCCAGCCAATACTTCATCATCATGATCCATAGTCCTCCAGTAGCGACTATAGACGACTATATTGCCTTCTTTGTTGAGATTAATGGAGCAGCGTTAAGCTACATCTTTATATCGGGACCAGAGGGATTCAAGAAGAATACCTTATCGTTCTCTTTCAGAGGTGACTACCTGGAAGGAGTTGGCACGAAGAAGCACCTTAAGAATTTCAAGTTCCCTCCCAGTGACAGTCTCGGGCAAATATTGGTGAAGGTGTTCAAGATGCGAGTGCTTCAAAATGTTTCAACTTCTAGGCTGGGAATAGATGTCTTCAAAAGGAACGGTGAAATCAGGAATGTTCCATCCTATCAAAGGGTCCGGTAAGTCTGCAGTCACGAAAGGCTTTTTGACAGCTCTACCCTGCCCGTCACCATCACCCATCTTTTGTTGTCCTATTGCGGGCCCAATTACTAACTGAATTATGGGAACTCGGAAGTATTAACGGCTGCTCACCTACAAGAAAGCCAGGTATTTGTGAAGCCTATCGGTGAGGAGCCTCTAGCAGTTTCCCGATTTAAATATCGAACTGCCAGACAATTGCAACAATTGCTACCCCCAATACATACGCTTGACTCCCTCCTCGACCTTGTGCCAGAGGCGGAAATCGGGCCGCGCCTCCATCTGATAAAGTCAAGCCTGCTTCTGCGGTATTGAATGGCCACACTACTTCTCTGAATCCCCCAAAACCACGGCAGATATCAGGAATCATCCCGCCTTCGAGAGTAGTACCGCTTCAGCCTTACGAAAGCCCGTTGGCACCCCCATCGGTACCTTCGTTCGGCTCGATTGACAATTCGCCTTTGGCTACTGGACCATTATCTTTTAAACAGAATTTCAATCTAGCTCAAAGGGTTGGACAATCACTAGTATCAGCGTTCAACAACACACAAAGCGATCTCTTGAAACTCACCCAACAAGTCATAGACGTCCCATCTCCAGCTGTGAGACAATTACCAAGGCCTTCCGAAAACAAGAAGCCAGGATTACCATCTGAGAACAATGTTCGGCCCAATATCATTCCATCACCTGCACAAGCTGGTGGCATCAAACTACCCTTGGTACCACTGTTGGAGTCGATTGGCACATATACTTCGACCAAGGAAGAAAAGTTAGCAGCTCTTGAAACTTGCAAAGCAAGAAGATCACCATCAACACGTCAAAGGCCTATGTCCAATATACAAGCTATTGACAGTACAATGCCGTTGGCGCCTCCATCAGTTTCGATGGCAGCTTTCCTTTCACCCGTAGGACAATGCTTAGCACGGCTCGAAGACTACAAACCTAGCAGATCTTCGTCAGCGCTTCAAGGGCCCGTGTTCAGTATGCATGCCGGTTTGGGACAGCTGGGCCGCAAACTTCATAGAGTAAGCAACTTTGTTATCTAGTCCTTGAGTAATGTGCTGATAGATATCATAGACTCTCCCTTGGGCCGGTACTTGGGGAGCAGTAACGGAAGCGCCCCCATTGGCGACATTTCACAACATGACCCCGAAACATGGTGCCGAGCATGAGAGGCTCAAAGGAGCAGCGCCAACGAATGGGATGAAGCGACAAAGGGAGGAGCACGAAAACAACGAGAATGTGATTTTGCGAGAGCGGCCTGTGAAGAGACACTTTAGAAGTACGGAGTAATGAGGAACAATAATGCCGCTGGGACTTCTTATCAGCGGGGCTTGTGGGAATTGTATGAGCATTGAACGTCTCTGTGCTGAGGAGTATGTCCTTTAAATGGCAAGTCAATTTTGGAGCACTAAAGAAAGGCCAACTGAGCAAGCAAGGCGTCTGGTTTTGGTAACGGGCCATTAGAGAGCTCAAAAATCAATAGGCTTATCAATCAACATTGAATTGACTTTGACACCGCATTTGTTCTTTCTTTCGCTGAATAAAAGTTGATACTAACGCCTGAAACCAGCTACAAGATAACTTTTGTTGCTACGCTTAACAACCATGCTGCATCTTGCCAACCTCCTGCTTCTTCGTCTCGGAGTGGAGGCATTACATCTGCTGCTAGTGATTCTGTACTACTAAAAATAGTTCGTCTCGATGTCCCAGAAGATATTTCCGAGTCTTCTGCCTTTTCGTCCAGTGTGTCTGTTTCCGTCTCTTCTCCATCTTCATCGACAGCAAACAAACTCCACCCTAACATCCTCTCAACCCAACCACCAAGCCCATTACTACTCGTGCTAGCCAGCTTCCTGACCACCGCATCGTCCTCCCTAGCCTCATCTGTATTCTCATAGACTTCCTCCTCAACATCCACAAAATCAGGTTCGGCAGTGAAGACCTCCTGAGCGAAATCCCTGTGATCAAAATATCCTTCTCTTTTCATATTCAAAGGCGTAAATAACTGAGCCATACTCCCCCGCCTACTATTCACTCTACTAGGAAAGCGACTCAACGGTCTACTCCCTGTTCCTGTCGGCAACCCAAAAGAAAAACTCCTCCTTGTAGTAACGGGGCTAAACTCATCATCCGCATCAAAACTCCCCACTCCGCTGCCCCTCCTACTCACCCTCCTGCTAGAAACCTCTCGTTCCCTCGCTAGCTCTTCATCCTCCTCGTCTCTCTGAGCAGTGAGACTCGTAGAACTCGCCCTACTGATCAACCACGCTTGTCCTTTCGACTCTCTCGCAGACGATGAAATCATAGCACCAGCTCGTAACAGCCAGTCCGAGTCATTCCTCTCCAGCTGCACCTCCTCTCTCCTAAGAGCCCTTTTCAGCTTCGTGCTCGTGCCCCCGGGCGCGGGCGTTGATGCGCCGGACCGAGGTTGTATCAGCAGGTGCGAGCTCGATTTGCTTTTGGGAATAGATGATGATGCATGCTGGGGCTTCCGCGCAGAAGAGCGCGAGAGGATCGAGGGCGTGGTAGGCGCGGAGCGGCCTTCGATGTAGGATGTGTCTGGGAGGTCTGTGATGGGGAGCCGTGAGGTGAGGGGCGCGAGGGTTAAGTGGTGGAGGTTGGTGGAGGAGCGGCTGCTTTGGTGACGGGCGTACGGGGAGTGTTGGTTATAAGCTGCGTCCATTTTTTGAGGATGATTGACGTGCGTGCTTTTCGTGGGATTATTTAGTTTACATATACACAAAGAATGAGAAGAGGGTGGAGTGATTTTGAGGTGAGTTGATTTCCAGAGTAACGCGATTTCCTTGATGGAGTGATGGAGGGGAAAGGAGCTTCCAAATCCGGGGTGGAAAGGAGGCTGGCACGGCGCGCAAAATGGACCGTGCGCCATACAAAAAAAGCAAAAAAGTCTTGTGAAAGCTACAAGGATTCAGCGAGCGACGGCGACGCTGACGCTCAAAGAAAATGATACTGGGCAACTAGGTTATGATTTTGAGGGGCGAAGATGCGCAATCTTAGGAATACTCGATTTGAGCAATGGACTCCTCCACCTCAGTTCGAAGGAAGATCTTTGACGGGTGCGACTTGGGATCTTGCCAATGACTCTATCTTGTGCACTTTTGGACCAACCGAAAGTAACGCACTTATAGAGCTTGTGAGGGTCGTAACAAAACCAGAATCACAGTAAATATAATGTAATGTCACCAAAAGTCTGAATAATTACTAATGCAAGTTAGAGAATTTACCGTCATTACATCTTGGGACGCACCATGTCCAAATCCAGAACTCGCTTGTGACCAGGTCCTCAGTCTTCATTATTTCGGGGACAGCTTGACAGCATGTCTCGTCTTGGCCGGCGGAGATATCGTCGTTGTGAGAGAGGAGCCTATGCCAGGCGAGGATCGGATTGAGATAGTGGGGTCAGTTGATGCTGGTATTACAGCTGCAAAATGGGCACCTGACGAGGAGCTGCTTGCTATCACTACGAATGCAGATACTGTTGTCTTCATGAGCCGAAGCTTTGAAGGAATTACCGATGTCACCATGAGTTCGGAGGATCTCAAAGCGTCGAATCACGTTTCTGTTGGTTGGGGTAAAAAAGAGACTCAGTTTCAGGGCAGAGGAGCCAAGGCGTTGCGAGATCCTACGATGCCAGAAAAAGTTGATGAGGGTGTACTGAGTCCCAATGACGACTCGAGAGCCGCCATCAGTTGGAGAGGAGATGGCGCTTATCTTGCTATTTCAACCATTGAAGGCAACTCGAGACGACTAATTCGAGTATACTCTCGAGAAGGAGTTCTCGATAGCGTCAGTGAGCCAGTTGATGGTTTGGAGGGTGCTTTGAGTTGGAGACCTGTCGGAAATCTCATTGCTGGAATCCAACGTCTCGAGAGCCGTATTGATGTTGTCTTCTTTGAAAGAAATGGTTTACGGCACGGTCAATTCAGCCTTCGACTTAACCCTGAGCAAATGCAGTTACCTGGACAGCATATTAATTTGTCCTGGAATTCTGATTCGACGGTATTAGCAGTCGTAATGGCTGACTGCACTCAATTATGGACAATGGGTAACTACCATTGGTATTTGAAGCAGGAGATTAAGAATAGCCAGACTGGTTTGCTACCCACGGCTCCTTTGGTATGGCATCCGGAAAAGCCTTTGCAGCTTATGACTGTAGCTTTAGGTAATATTCCTGCTCCCAAGGTAAGAAGCCAAAGGCTGATATTTGCTAGATTCTGTCAATGTAGCGGAATACATTTTCACTATTGCTCGTAGTTCGACAGCACCTCCTCATGACTTCGGAGTTGTAGCTGTCATAGATGGCCAATCTCTCAAAGTTACCCCTTTGCGAACTGCCAATATACCACCGCCAATGTCTTTACATGAATTGACAGTGCAATCAAATGTTCTCGATGTTGCTTTCAATGCTGATGCCTCATTAATTGCTGTTTTGCATCAGCAAGGTATCTCGATATTCGAATCAAAGGGCACCGAGGCCTCCTCTGACACTCCCTTACTTACTGGACGAATTACCTTCGATAAGACAGAATCCAATGATACTGTGTATCAGCAAATATCCTTTGCAGACAGCAATGATGTTTTAGTATCGATGCCAAACAGCTCGAGATCAACAGTCAAACGATATGGTATCAATGAGGAAAGTGGTAGAATGGAAGACGTCCCTCCTGGCCCTAGGACGGACACAATCATCCACACTTTATCGAGCTTTTATCAAGATGGGTTGAATAACCCATTCGTGCAAGGGAGCTCGGGTGATATGCACAGCCTGGCATTTGGAGAGCATAGCCTCTCACATTGCAACTTCCCTATGTATCTCCCTTGGGTCGATATAGTACCTTATGGGGATGACCAAATTGCCTTTGGTATGTCTGTTAATGGCCACCTATATGCAAACTCTCGTTTGTTGGTCAAGAATTGCACATCTTTCCTCACTACGCCAGCTCACCTCATATTTACGACTACTACTCATCTAATCAAATTTGTGCACATCACGAACGTCAATGGTATTGTGCTCCGCTTCTATCGCACGACTTTATAGCTAATTTATGTGATAGATCTCGAAGTTCCTCCAGATGATCCGGAGAAGGACGAACGGTGTAGAAGCGTGGAGCGTGGAGCTCGGCTTGTCACGGCAATGCCTACTTCTCTAAGTCTTGTCCTGCAAATGCCCAGAGGAAACCTGGAGACGATCTTTCCTCGAGCAATGGTTCTTGCCGGTATTCGAAAGCTCATAGACGAGAAAAATTACCGAAGAGCTTTTACTCATTGCCGAACACAACGAGTCGATATGAACATTCTATACGATCATGCGCCGGAACAGTTCTTAGCCAACGTCGCTTTGTTCATTGATCAAGTCAAGAAAGTCACATATATTGACCTCTTTCTCTCGTCCCTAAGGTACGCTTAGCTTCATTGTCAGTCGAAACCAACTAACAATGTGCTAGAGATGAAGATGTCACTCAACTTATGTATAAAGAGACTCGAGTGGCTTCAGAACTTGAAACCCTTCCTGATGTTAATGCGACCAATGGAGTTGTATCTCATGAATCAGGTCCTGTTAGGGCTTCAAAGGTCAACAGGATTTGTGATGCCGTTCTTGAAGTCTTGAAAACTCGAACTGCCACAAACCTGCAAAACATAATAACTGCCAACGTCTGCAAATCACCCCCCGCGCTTGACGACGGCCTCTTAGTCGTAGCCCAACTTATGAAGACGGACGAAACGATGGCCGACAAAGCCGTAGAACACATCTGCTTCCTCGCCGATATCAACAAGCTCTACGACAACGCCCTTGGTCTTTATGACCTTGCTCTCGCCTTGCTGGTTGCTCAGCAATCGCAAAAAGACCCCCGCGAATACCTCCCATTTATGCAAAACCTCTCCGAAATGCCCGAACTCCGCCGCCGCTTCGCCATCGACGACCACCTAGGCCGCCACTCCAAAGCACTCACACATCTACATTCTCTCGATGCTTTTCCAGAACTCCAAGCATACACACAAAAGTACGCGCTATACCAAGCAGCACTATCTCTCTACCGCTACAACCCGTCCCGCCACGCCCTGCTCACAAACCTCTACGCCCAGCACCTAGAATCAAAATCCCAATTCAAAGAAGCAGGACTAGCCTACGAATCTCTCCAAAACTACACCTCCGCAACATCCTGCTACCTATCCTCCGGCCCCTCCTCATGGCGCGAAACCCTCTTCTGCGCCTTATCCCAAACTCCCGCCATCGCCCCAGCAGCACTCACCGACCTCGCTACCACGCTCTCAGAAGCCTTGGTCGATTCCAAAGATTATTTCGCAGCGGCCACTATACAAATGGACTACCTATCGTCCATTGACCAGGCAGCACGGCTCTACTGCAAAGGCTACTTCTTCGCCTCCGCCCTGCATCTCGTGGCACTGAAACGGCGCCCTGAGCTCCTCGAACAGATCATCGACCCGGGCCTCGCAAACGCCCTCGCATCGTCCACGGAACTGCTCGCGGAATGCCGCGCACAGCTGCTGGCGCAAGTCCCGCGGATCCGGGAACTGCGGGAAAAAGCACGTCTGGACCCGCTGGCGTTCTATGAGGGTGAGCGGACAGGGAATGATGGTGATGTGCCGGACGATGTCAGTGTGGCCGCGTCGTCGCATCTGAGTACGAATCGCAGTATGTATACGCGGTATACGGGTAAGCAGAGTATCGGGACGGCGGGCACGGGGGTATCGCGCGCGACGAGCAAGAATCGGCGGCGGGAGGAGCGGAAGCGGGCTAGGGGGAAGAAGGGTAGCGTGTATGAGGAGGAGTATCTGGTTGCGTCGGTGGGAAGGCTTATTGAGCGGGTGCAGAGTGTGAGGGGGGAGGTGGGGCGTTTGGTGGAGGGTCTGGTTCGGAGGGGCATGTGGGAGAGGGCGAGGGCGGTGGAGGGGAGTATGGGGGGAGGTGGCGGGGATGTGTGGTGCTTGTGTGGTGGAGGTGTTTGGGGGGTAGTGGGGAGGAGGAGACGAGTGTGGGGTGATGAGGGTGGTGGTGGTGGAGGAGATGGTTATAGACCTATTGGTGGTTATGCTGTGCTTGCGGAGAGTATTGAGGCTACGGGCAGAAAGAAGGAGATGCCGGTTGTGAAGGCGTTTGAGAAGTTGAGTCTGCTTGGTAGTACGTAGGTAGATAGAAATGGAATGAATTGGTACTGTATACAAAATGGAATTCTCATTTGATGGTGATGGGTGTCTAGGTTCTCTGCAATTTAACAGATCTTGCAACGCCGACCCTAATGCTTTATATGCAGTACAATTAGTACAACGTTCTTTTTACATATCATACAAGACCTCATGCGGTAGCCGTCACCGGCTCCTCAGACGCAGCTCCCTCCTTCGACACTCCCGCTGCTTCCAGAGCCAACTGCCTCTTCTCAGCAACCAGCTTCCCAATCTTCTCCAACATCTCCTCGGTCAGCTTGCCCTTGCCCAAGGCCTTCTTGGCCTTCCTCTCTAGCCTATTGGCCTCCTTCAATGGTGTACGCATCTGCTTTGACGTCCTCTTCTTCTCTTCCTTCAGCCTGTCCTCTTCTTCCTTGGCCGCAATATATTCAGGGTCGTGCCTGGTTCGGAACACAGAAAACTTGTTCCGTAGCTCGTCAATTACGGTTCCCGGCATCGGCGGCGTCAACAGTGTCGGCACGAACGTCTTGGTCTCGACATCGATACGTAGTGTGTCGTTAGGCTCATCCTTGTACTCCACGCTCTCCTTCTTGGGCCAAGGGATATTGATGTCAAGACCGGGTATGACACGAGACCAGGATGCCTTGCCTGCGTGCTTGTCGAACCACATGCCGGCGGCGATGACTTTCTTGACGATTACGTCTCGTGTAACACCGGAGTCGGCGTCGGTGAGGGGAACGACAAGGCGGATAGATTTGACAGAGACCGGCTTTTCCATGGTGCGGATGGGGCGTTTGTCTTGTTCATCGGGGCCGATCATATATTCGGGGATGGTGACGTCGATCTAGAGTATCTGCGTAAATATTGTATCAATTGATGAGTTTGGGGAAGAGCTCTTACCAAGTTCAGTCCGCCAACCGTGACCTCCCCTCTCTCTCTAGACACATCCTTAATGACACCAATCTTCCCTTTATCCCTCCCCTCAATTATCACCACTCTATCTCCCACCACGATATTGAGGAACTTCCCTCCCCATGGCTCCCATATCTTCTCCCTGTCTCTGGGGTGTAGGTCTTGTCCTCTCGCCCTCATCGAACTGATAGTCCCCCACTTGTCGGTCCAGTCTCCCACATCTCTCCTAGGAGCCAACGGACCCAATTCGTAATCCTCTCTTCGATTCAGCCTCGCCTGCTTCAGATGGTTCGTCTCATCTCCACGAACATAGTTTCTCTGCTCGCGGGCGCTCCTGTTATTATCACGCGTATTCTTCTCTGTGCGCCGTTTTAAGCGTCGTGCTGCTTGTCGTTCCGCTAGAACAGTTCGCTTTATTACCTTCTGCATTTTGCAGAGAGGGTGGGCGGAATTGGAGGCTGAACTGGGTGATGTATGGATGGTGTTAAACTTTTTGGATTCGGAGCTCAATATGGACTTGGCACGCTAGACTGTAAAAGGGCAGTGGTGAAAGTATCACGTGATATCAAAAGGGGCTTCATGGTTGGTGCCTTTTACGAACAGAGGGGAATATGACATGAGTAATGTGGCTTTCTGACGCGAGCTATGGAAAATTGGAAATATTTGCTGATATTAACAACTGCTGACATTAGATGTCCTTGATGCTGTGGCTGTGTCTTGAGATGGGTATTACCGAGTATCGACTCTCGACTTCTTCACGTGGTAAGTACTGTAGAAGTGGTCCCGAGAAATGGAGTCCTGGAAAAGTCCCGACTCCTGAGTCCTGAACTTTCTTCCTCGCTCCAGCCTCAACTGCGCCTCAATGATGTGGCCCAGCTCCAACGGTCTTTGCTATTGGTTGTGTTTCTAGGAACACCAGGAATATGTATCTATCGTTGCAACATGAGCTATGTAAAAATTCTGATTGATAATTTACAGTAGCGTACTATTATTATACCGGTATTGAATAGAAATTACGCGTATTGTAGTTGTAGTGTAGCAGTAGCGGTAGCAGAGTTGGCAGATCGTCGGCGTCGTCGCCTTTTTGTGGGTAGGTGTAGGGTAGCGCTGCTAGCCAAGCACAAGCAGACAAGCAAGAAGCAGCAAGCAATAACGGCGACCTGCAATCAGTACAGGAAAGGAATGGAATGGAAACGTGAAATTTGGGCTGATTGCCGGGCAGTGACTGCCTGCTTGCAATTGATTCATCATTGAGTGTGAATCAAAATCAATCGGGGCAGGACTTTATTCATGCATGAATATACTGCACTGCTGCTGTGAAATAGGTATAAGAAACATCAGTAACGGGCCTCTTGTACAAGAACAAAGCCACTGCCTGATTGATAAATCAATAAACCTAACCTTGTACGCATATCTATCTATCCACTTCTCAATAAATAATCCAAAAAGGTTATCAAAGATCTCGAAAGCACACCCACAAGCAGTCGAGGCAGTCGCAGTCTTTCGCTCGCTTGCTCCGACCCCCGACCACTACACTACTACCTTACGACTACGGTCACCTAAATCGTAAGGCACTCGCGCCGCCGCTAGCATCCGCTGCTCTGCTCTTGCCTTGTCCTGCAACTTGGACCTCAACACAACCAACTGAACTTCCATTATTCCATCTCCCACTCACCGTCTGCCCATTCCCGAAACCACCAACCTTCCAACGTCTTCCCAGACCCCCTCGCTCTCCTAAGCACCTCTATTCCCAGATCGAAGACATGGCGGAAATCCGTCGAAAGCTTGTCATTGTAGGCGATGGTGCCTGTGGTAAGACTTGTTTGTTGATGTAAGTTACCCATCAGCACCTCATGCTGCTTCGCAGATCCATTCGCTCCTCGAGAAACCATGATACTAACCTGCCCACAGCGTGTTCTCCAAGGGCACTTTCCCAGAGGTAAGTTCTCAGTCTGGAAACCTGTAGTCTTGCGCAGCCTCTACAGCATCTCGTCAACTCGGCCAAGATAGCTCTGCGGCAACCAGGAACCAAGTGCAAACATGTGGTGGAATAGTATGCTAATAGCTCGGACACATAGGTTTACGTCCCGACTGTCTTCGAAAACTACGTTGCCGATGTCGAGGTTGATGGAAAGCACGTCGAGCTAGCTCTATGGGATACGGCTGGGCAGGAAGACTATGACCGTTTGAGACCACTATCATACCCAGATTCGCACGTCATACTCATCTGTTTCGCTGTCGACTCCCCTGATTCTCTTGATAACGTTCAGGAGAAGGTACGCTTCCCAAAACACCCTGGACATCCAGCTCTGAGATAAGACAATGCTGACACGTGCTTGACAGTGGATCTCCGAAGTTCTGCACTTCTGCAGTGGCCTTCCCATAATCCTCGTTGGTTGCAAGAAGGATCTCCGCTACGACCAGAAGACCATCGAAGAGCTCCACAAGACGAGCCAGAAACCAGTGACCCCCGAACAGGTAAGACTATCTTTCCCTACTGCAATCGACAACCTCGAGCAGAACAATCCGACGGACCAAGTATTTCAAGAACCCTACTGATGATGGCATATAGGGTGAGGAGGTCCGCAAGAAGATTGGCGCGTACAAGTACTTGGAATGTTCGGCAAAGACCAATGAGGGTGTTCGTGAGGTTTTCGAACACGCCACACGTGCCGCTCTCTTGACCAAGAAGAAGAAGGAGAAGAAGTGTATTGTCCTGTAAAGCAACCGTTATCGACCTTCTATTTCTTTAATGCGAATCGGAATTATATTGCTGCAGCCTCACTAGTGCTAGACTGGTAAAGATGCTTCCAGAACGGGGTATGTGCTTGAAGACATGGTTTCAAGGTTCCTCGTACGGCATTTCATCTGCCATCTTGTCTACGGAGACCACCTCAACGCTCGCATACCCCATCATCACCTTTATCTCAAATGCTGACCGGCGATTCTACCTCTTTATCCTCTCTTGGTTCGCGATATATCTTGGGCATGGGGGATTCTTCTCACTCTGTCCTGCGCTATTTCTTCTCGTCTCTGCGTCTTTCTGCAAGATCTTTGTGTGTGTTGCGTGTCTCTTTTCCCTCTCCCTGCTGCGAAGAGGGATCGGGATCATGGGCTGTGCTCATGCTACTGGTGTGTCAGTTCTTTTGGGTTGCGTTGGTGGGCGGGCAGGTAGTGAGATAGGATGCGCATTTGTACGGTGTAATAGCAAAAGGGCGTAGTCTATGGAGAGATGCTTTCGATTTCAATTTGTGCTGTCGTGGTCTTGATTATGTGTCTTATGTTGGGTATCCGAACATCCAAGATAATTCCATGAAGCGACCCCTACCTCGTCCGTTTTCTTTGAACATTGTAGGTACGTGGCTTTCATTGAGTGTATTCAGACCCTCTAGCCATAGCCTAGCTCTTGTTATTCAACCAGCAAGAACAAGTCCAGTGTGCCCTATGCCCTCAAATCACGACCCTTCCCACCATTAGCCAAGTTGGCTCACTTCTCCGCGTCCATTTGTGAATTGGTAAGGAAAAACCGTTTAAATGATGCCAATTTGTAGGTTCATGACCTTTATTTTACCTCAAGGACAGACGTACGTATAGCTTGAGACATGTCGTGCCCGTCATTCTCCACCTGCCAGTTAACGCGGTACCTATCCCACATTCTAGTGACCATGTACTGTACTGTACGATCCCAACTCATTCCTCATTATCCAGCCATTTAGTCTCAGGTACTCTTCGACCCTACGCACGCCACGCCGCATCGTCAAAGCACGCTCGAATCCGTAGTCTAGACCGGGATGCATATAGATAGTACTTGGGTAAGGTATGGATCAAAAGCTGAGGGAAGGATACATTGTCTTGATAGATGTTCTGCGTCTTTGTTTGGTTGATTGATATTGTAAATTGGATTCGTCGATGCTGGATTAGGTGGATAGGGGAATCAGGTAAGTGGCAAGAAAAAGGTGGGCGGTTCTCGATTGTTGAACTGGGGCTGGTACTGTAGAGGGAGGTATTGTGGGGATATGGTGAGGGATGGGCGTTATGAGTCTGGTGCGTTGGCAGGAGGTGGCGGTGAGGGAGGGCAAAGGGGAAGGGGGGTAATGAGAAGGTAGGTCGTCTTAGCTTTTACTGGGCTTTTGACTTATGATACCAGTATGGACTGCTGGCTGATCTTAAGGCTTAGCGCACGATTATGTGGAGAAGACCGCAGCATCAAGAGAAGCACCAACGCCATGGGTCATACGCAAGTCAATTATGAAATCGAATTCGTTGTACGTGTATTAGTTAAGTTGAACAGAAGAGTGAGTGCCCCAGATTATATAGGCGTTCTTGAAAAGAAGAATAGCAAGTTGACGAAGATGAAGGTTTAGAGAGGACGGGCTTTGCATATTGGCATGGGCAGGTGTAGGTATAGAGGCAATATCAAAGCGTAGCAAATACAGGTATGCCTCCCTTGGCTGACTAATTCGCATTTCTGCCGTCTGTGACCATATGGGTTTTCAGTCCTGAGCAGTTTCGGCACTCAAAGCTCGAAGTGAATGGACAGCAGCTCAATACCACAATTCCGGAGGTCACAGCAATGTGCATCGAAATCCATACCACCTACCTCAAGTGTCCCGCGTTTTTCACGCATGCAGTCTTTTGCACCGACTTCATCAGCAAAAATATTGTTCACAAAGAAACACTTTACCATCTCTGTCGCAATATCACTCGTAGGCAAGTCAATTGCGAAGGTGGAGGCTGTACGTGTAGAAGCAATATACACCAAACGGAAAAAATTACCCCCAACTGTTTCTTTGCTCATCGTGACCGCGAAAAGACTTTGTCGGTGATGGATAAAGTGGATATGGCAGTGAATGCCAGGATGGCGAGGGAGTACGGGGAGTGGAAGGAGCAGATGCGGGTACAGAGGGAAGCTGATGAGTATCGGCGGTTTCTTGAGGTTCCTGATGTACGACCTGAGGATATTGTCAATGCGAGAAGGATTAAGAGCGATGTTGCTAGTCGTGATGGCGAAGTCAATGTGGCGCGTGATAGAACGCGTCCACTTGACAGAGAAAGAAACTCGCTTCAGGGGAAAAAAGGAGAAGGAGAAAGAGAAGGACGGAGTGACGAGATCATCCAGGAGAGCGTGTAAGTACTAGAAACACAATTTGAATGTGAAGCAACTGCTAACTTGGAATAGGGAGGATACGAAACGAAAGAGACAGGCGGTCGAGAGTGCCGATACAAGTTCTGAGCATAAAAGAAGCAAGACGAGTGGTGTCAAGCTGGAGGAGGTGAGCGGATCTGACCAGGATAACAACGGGTATGAGGAGGCTGCCACGAGACAAGTCGAGGAACTCTAGCATGGTTTGATGGGCACTCAAAGCATGTGAGCCGTTTTGATCCTTGAACGTCGTTGTAATATTTTAGACCATGTTCAAGTAGCCAGAAGCAGTAGCAATGAATCAAGAACTATCTGTAACTTCTCAACGGTGAGCGGAATATGTGTGAGTCGCCTCTCTAGTCTCAGCTATTCAATTGACCCTTCCTTGCTGCCGAGTCGCTTTCTTTTCAACTGCCTGCTCTCGTATGATTATTAGTGAATCTCAACTTTTACTTAAATACAAGTACAACACCAACTACGAAAACACATCTAAACAAGTCAGTTATCTGTGCCAATCCAGTACGATCAGCCCTACTGACAATCAAGAAAAAGAACAAGAGCGTCAAGATGTGCCGCCACGCCACCATTCACAACAACGTATGCAACTGCACCCAGAAGCGATATCTCATCTGCGATGCTTACGTAGAGCAAACACGTATGAAGCAAGACGGCAAACCCTGCCGCTATCTGGAAAACCGCCACGTCGAAGTCCGCAACAGCCCCCCAGCCTGCAAGGAACAGTACTCCGAGGCCGAGTGCCGCGAGAAGGACACCGACATCTGGATGTTTGAGAAATGGGGCACCTATAAGACCAACAACGCGTTTGTCGAGAAGCAGAGCAGCAGGTGGAACGGGAGTGATTCGAAGGGACGGCTGAAGGATTGTGCCAAGGGCGAGTGGATGCTGGGGGCAGAGCACACGTGTGGGATCAGCAAGGCGTATGGTGGGGCTTGGCGTCATTTGGATGGTAGATATGGCAGACCGCTTATTGAAGATCAGTGGGATAGGGTCAGGATGAATGAGGAGAGGGAGAAGGAGAGGGAGAAGGAGAAGGAGCGCAGGAGTTTGGGGAAGCAGGAGGTGGATGTCAAGATGGAGGAGGACTTGGCGAATATGGAATTGGATGATGTCGTGAAAGTCAAGACCGAGCCCATGGATGGCTCTGATACCGAGAACAGGTCTCCACTTAAGCTCAAACCTGAGATGAAGATGGAATTCAAGGAAGAAGATGCTAAAGTCGACATGCATTGAGGATCCGGAGTTCTGTTACTCTGGGGTTATCTCAGTCATTGTGGAAATTAGAGCTTGGGATGGGATTTTTCAAAAATGGCTCTTACTGGCTAGTATATAGCTTTGTGCTTTTGAAGGAGGCTTACCTGACTTCTTTTATACTCTATCAGCGTTCTGAATAGCGACTGCTCTTGCTTTCCGTCAAAGTTCAGTAAATAAGACCTTGTCCCACAATGCTCCCACTCTTCACTGAATTAGTCTGCCCCTTGAGGTTTTAGAGTTGGACATTTTCTATTTCAACGTCTGACCCTAATATAACATACCATAACATCTAAGGGGTCTGGAGAGGTTAAAACACTTCCAGAATTAAAGCCTCACCAAGAAATTCTTGGGAAATTCAATATTTGCTGGGAGATACCTTTAGCATACTTATCAAGTTATTTCGGTGTCTCGTTTGTTGCAATGCATCGTACTGTCTGGCCATTCTATCAGCACAGGACTTACTCCGTGAAGAACCCCCTTTAAAGATGACTAATCGCTCCTTCCCTAAACGAAACTGTTTGTGGCGGCTGACAATTGCAAATGTATCCCACTCTTGCAAAGCGATCTGATACTATATGCAAGGTCGGATTACATCATGGATTTCCTGCCTAAATTCTATTTACGAAGTTCTATTTAACGCATCCGTGTCCCAAGATCTTTCCCGTTTGTCGCTTCGCCATTCTACCCTAAACAGTTCCCCTGAACCACGTGCTCAATCATCATGTCTACAAAGTCAACGGTCCTTCTTGTAGGCAGTGGGGGAGTTGGTACCATGGCCGCTTATAATCTTGAAGCTGGAGGATTAGCTACCGTCACTTCGGTGTTGAGATCAAATTACGAGGCTGTGATACAAAATGGCTTTACTATCACCTCCTTGGATCACGGGTTTGTTAAAGGGTGGAAGCCTTCGCATAGTAAGTCCCGTCACGGATTGAATATAGAAAATACTAACGCAACATAGTTATCAATTCGATACCCAATGTTGCCAAAGAAGGTCTCAGATCTTTCGACTACATCGTCGTCACCACCAAAAACATCGCTGATATCCATCCCACTGTCGCCGAAATCATCGCTCCAGCAGTAACACCAGGATACACCACCATAATGCTCTTACAGAACGGCTTAAACATCGAGAAGCCAATCCTCGCCGCATTCCCAATGAATCCTGTTCTCTCAGGCGTATCTCTAATCGGAGCAACAGAGACGCAACCAGGTCACATCCTCCACGACGACCGCGACCGTCTCATCGTCGGCGCCTTTGAGAACCGCAACATCCCTAAAGAAACGAACATCGCCGCCGCCAAGCGCTTCGTAGAAATCTACAACGCTTCCGGGAAAGTACAGTGCACGCACGACGAGGACGTCGGGTTTGTGCGCTGGAGGAAGCTAATTTACAACGCGTGCTATAACCCTGTATGCGCGATCACCGGCATGGATACAGCGAGGATGAGAATCTATCAAAGTCCTATCGAGGATGTAATTAGACCGCTTATGTGGGAGGTTTGGAATATTGCAAAGGCGGCGGGACATCAGCTTCCGGAAGATATTGTGCAGAAAATGATAGATTGCGATCCAGATGATACATATTTCAAGCCGAGTATGCAGCAGGACATTGAAAAGGTATGTCAGATCATGCTCTGATTGAGAGGCAGTGTCTGATAATGTGCATTAGGGGAATTATATCGAGTTTGAGAATCTTGTGGGAGAACCTCTGAGGGAGGCCGAAAGGTTGGGTATCCCAGCACCCCAGTTGAAGGTAGTCTATGGCATGTGTAGGATTTTGCAGCTGAGGGTTATGGAGCAGAAGGGTGTTGTTAAGTTGCCCGTCGAAGGATGACCCGACAAGGCCAATTTTGGAAATGTCGCAGGGCTCTTCTGTCCTGTCATAGTTCTGACTTGATGAGGGCAGGGAATTTACCGCTGGTAGCTCTTTGAGATTATGGGATAGTGGGCCCGTTGATCCATTTCAAACACATCGACGTTATTCACTTCCTGGACCTTATAGGAATTGTTTTCCGAACAGGGTTGAAAGGGTGGTGAAAATTGCAGGTCGCAGTGTGTAGTTAGTTGTAAAGAACATTCAAGGATTGCCCACCGTTGATGTGGTTGAATGTAACATATCGATACCCACCTCACAACGCAAACTAGTTTTATTATGATACCTCGTGGGAAAGATATAGAGTCGTGAGTATTATACTTCTCGCACAGTTTTATTTTGATTCTGTCAGACAGGCGCACATGTATGGGAAATCTAGAATTTGAGAGCTCATAGCTCATAGCTCATAGCTCATAGCTCATAGCTCATAGCTCATAGCTCATAGCTCATAGCAACGTCCGGGAAGTATATAAAATGAAGGGGGAACGCACCTTCGAGGGAGCTGTAGCAAGTGGTATTTGTCATATCGTGGGCCGCTTCTGTTTTAGAGCCAATTGAAAGATAGAAAATGAATTGCCTAAAGTCACGTCAGTGAAATGTCTAGCCACTAGACCTAGCCTTGAGATTGCCAGATGCGAATTAAGCCCAGTCCAGTCCAGTCCAAAGTCCAAAACTGTGGTCCGATCGGCATGGTGCCAGTGGCAAGAAAGTCCCAAGAGTTTACTACTTTGAGATACAGGAATCCTAGGCTATTCAAATCCTTGATGTAAGAAGCCCCTGCATATATCGCGGTTGGTACTATCTATATCTTGTAGTTCCAATTGCCAGTAAATTCCTAGGCCAGTCGTATTCTTAGATAGCGGTTCCAAAAAGCGATCGCGGTCCTATTTGCTTCAAAGGCATGTACCTAAAATAGTCTATTGGTCTGACACTGTGCTCATTAGGGTTGACGGCATCAACAGTGGCTCCCATAGATCGTCTCCAAAGTAGATCCGGTTCTAAATCCAAGGCCCACTCATTCTGGCGGTCGCCAGAATTTGTACTTGGACTTTAGGAATTACTAGGCAGTTGACGTTACCTGCCCTAGCATAAGTAGCCGGCTGCAATTTCAGCCAGCAAGGTTGTACTAGTGGCTGTTGCCGTGTCTGTTTTCCGGCGGGTATAAGCTGTCGTTTTTGGAGTTGAGTGTAAGTTAGGGTGACCACCAATTCTCAAGGTCCGCGTTAGATGGAGATTGCTGCCAGCTTGTAGTGGATGCGAAAGCACTGGAGTTCGTCGGACCAGTTGTCTCGTCGGTATCGAAGGGATTCATATACGTTGACGTTGTTGCTGTGTCCCAGAGAGCTTGGCTTGGAGAATGAATGGCGGCTTTGTTGATTTCTGGAGAATGCGAACGGTTGCTATTGAAACGGAAGAGTTGAGGAACTTGGTCGTCGGTAAGAGAGGGATGCGGGGAAGTCGTTAAAAGCATATCGTTCTCTTCTGGAGTCCGGAATGTAGTTGTAGAAGTAAGCCTGTGGAGAACGAATCAGCGCTGGTCAAAGAAACTGACCCTGACTGTGTGACCTCCCTAAAGTACTCTGCCCTACACAGAAGTAATACAGGGCGATAGGCCTGGGTTAGATTAACTTACGTAGCTAGGTTGCCCATGCGATATGAGTCGGTTTGAGTAGTGCTCTGACCTAAGCCTACATTCGTTGATCGATCTTGGACGCCGTCGACGGATAGACATGTGCACTTTTCAATGTTAGTAATTGAATTGTATCTTCGTTCAAAGACTGGAACCATCTCACCTCTGTTTTCTGCTTCCGATGGAAGCCGCAGGCCCCGTGTCTTCGAACAGCAGCTACTTTACGGCGCTTCTTGCCATCATAACTGGCCCTCCTACTTTTTCGCTCTACCGGTTTTCCAGTCACGACGTTCCATGTTGTCATTGAATTGACAAAGCTTTCGAAAGGCTTAGATGGGATCGAAGTAGAGCCGGGACTCGTTCGATTCATAGGAGGGGACAAGCTAGACGAAGTCCTATTTGGGGGCTGGCGAGTTTGGTTTTCTGATTCGATGAACTCGAGTATTGCACATTGCATTTGCTTCTCGAGGCTTTCTTCGAAGGGATACTTCACACCCAAAGAGTTTGCTAGCTCTCGTGTTCCAAGTGGAGGGTCCCACTGGAAAGATAAATCAGAACGGCGCGATAGTTTGTATGTTGGAGCATGAGGAAGGTTGAGAAGGTCTAAAGACCCCTGAAATGAATGAGACATTTAACGAAAATCAGGGTGTAAAAGAATATTGATGATGTGCGAGCGAAGATGCTGGCATCTGATGACGGAAGAATATGCGCTACTAGCTGTGATGTTGAAAGGAGCTTTGGACACTTCATCTTGACCCATCTACTAAAGGATTGAGTCAACTATTTGTGCCCGTACTGTTCATGACTTGGGTTAAAGTTGGGCAAAACCAGGCTGGTACGTGGAACGTTGTTGACCAAATGTCTGCGACTATGGTAGCCTCACTAATGTTACTACCGTTTTAGTCACCGAGAGAAAATGGTGATATCTTATTTGAGCGGTGCCGACGGCATGGTTGCCAGTTCCATCGCCGAGGCAGCCTCAGCATCATATGTCGTGCATGCGTGTGCCGCACAATTCAAGCCCCGAGAAGGAAATTTCAATACCGCACCGCTCAAGCTGGTGAGAAGAGCATACGAGAGCTGCATTGCTTCATACTAAACTTTCGACAGAGGAAGCCCATAGGAGAGAGGTGGCGTGTAAATTCATGCAGATAGCTGACGCGGTTATTCGTGTCCTGATTCGAGGGAATTGCAAGGCGGACACTGACAGGGCGTGAGGTAGACAACTCATCTGCGCACCTACATCACGATTAGAATCTAAATGGTATATTGCTAAATTATTGAGAATTGCTATGCTTATGTTAAGCGGTAAATCATGCTAATTCTCTATGCATGTCTGCATCTTGCAATGGCAAATAACACCAACCGTTGCTGAGCCGGATCGCTGCAATGCGCATTTGTTCTGTGAGAGTTTTTCATAGTTCGTCAAATGCCAACCAAAACTTAAACAGCCTTTTCCTTCTTGCTCTTCTTGTTATTCTTCTTAACACTGATCTCGGAAACTTCGACAACCTCGCTAGCCTTGCTCTTTTTGACTTTAACCTCAGAAGCCTCCACAACATCACCAGTCTTGGCCTTCTTGACTTTGACAACTTTCTTGACCACTTCAGAGACGGGAACGTCGGCAGGACCTTCAACGGCTTTGGCAGCTTCGCTCTTCTTGACTTTCTTCGCCTTTTTCGACCCCTCTGTGACAGCTACGGTGCGTTAGTCACAGCCATGGTGGCCTTGTTCTTTTTGGACTTACTTGAATCTATGGAAATAGGGGCAGCCTCAATAGCTTTGACTTCGGTATCCTCCTTCTCTATCAATGTGGGTACTTCGGCGGGCTTCGACACACCCTTGGCAGACTTAAGCTTAGGGGCATCGAACTCGTAGCCAATCTGCTTCAGCTTTTCGGCTTTCTCGACTCTCTTCTTCTCTTCTGCCTCAATCCGATTGCCCCATACTTCTTCAGTTGCACCCTGCTTGAGCTTTCGGCCCTCAATCTGGTTCCATGGCACCTTTTTGAATCGCTTGTTGGCACCCTTGAAAAGATCTGCAGGCACCTGCTCATCTGGGATGACCTTGACCTTGAGAATGTGACCAAACAACAGATAGTTGTCCATGGTCTTTGCGACGATATCTGCGACAGTAGCGGACTCGAATTGAACGAAAGCAAAATGCTTACTGGCTCCGGTCTTGCGATTACGGGATAGGCGAAGCTTAAGAATGGTTCCGAATTGCTTAAAGTACTCTCGCATCTCATGCTCATAGAAACCGTGAGGTATGCGTCCAATGTAGACCACTCCTGGCTTATCGGACGTGCCTGATTGCGTGCCTTTCTTGAGCTTCTTCTTCTGACTCTTTGTGAGCTTGGGAACTTCTTGGCCAGCTGGTAGACCCTCTTGGTTTTCGGCATCATCATCTCCGTCACTCTCAAACCCCTTGAGAAGAGCCTCTGTTTGGTCATCAACCTCGGAAGCATCGCCCTCATCCTCATCCTCAACTTCATCCTCGTCAGCGTCGTCCGACTGAACTGGCTCAGGCTCCTTCGTCTTTGGCTCGGATACGATCTTTTTCGAAGACGAAGTGCCTTTCTTGGTGGCTTTGGAGGATTTGGCGTCGCCATTGGCTTTCTTCTCAACCTTCTCCGATGTGATAGCCTTTTTGGCGGGGTTGGCTTTGGCGGGTTGTTCAACTTTGGGCTTCGATGAGCTTGGTGCAACCTTTGTCTTTTTCACCTCAGGGACAGCGACATCATCGGTAGCTGTAGATTAAAATTGTCAGCAAGGATTTTGCTCCTCATTTTCGAGTATTGCACTCACCCTTCCGCTTCTTCGCGGGAACTGCCTGTGCGTCGACCTTCTTGACCTTCTTGATCTTCTCAGCCCCGCTCTCAGGCACAGAAGCTATTGCACAATTAGTAATGCGACGAATTGCCTAGCAGTATATAGCTATCAACTTACCCTTGCGCTTCTTGGTTTGAATTTCCTTGGCCATTGTGCGATCGTGGAAATGTTTCTCCTTGGGGATTTAAACGCCGTGAACCTAATCGTGAACTTTTTTTCCAGATAGAAATAAATTTCTGCCGCGACGACTGACCGCCCTCCATTCTGAGTCTAGTCCCAAAATGGAAACTCTCCTCTCCCTTTCACGAATCAAGGTCCATAAATTTGTATACCTAGAACATTGGTTTGTATTTGTATACATGTTGCATTGGGTTTTGTAGTTAACCACGCGTTGTATGCCATTATTTGATTTATATCGTCACTCCATAGATGTTTATTTAGGCTAGATGAAGAATAAGACCTGTAATTCTCCACTACACTTTGGAAACAAGTCTTTAAGCTTATAAATGCTCTAGGTAAATCTTGATTACTAGTAAGCCTCGTCGAGAACGAGTTGGTCCGTGCCAGGTTTCATGCCACTCGTGCGTGACATTGTCTGCGAGGACGGTCCCATAACACGCTACCACGGAGCATCCTCAGTTGCGGCAGCACTAGGTATCCTCACTCCGTTGTGGATGAAAGCCTCATTCAACGTGTCCCAAACTCCGAAAGAAACCCTTTGGCATCCTACTGTCGGTGCTTGTCTCCCTCAAAAGGTGCCACTGGAAGGGCAAGGAAGAGTATGATGTCGAAATGATCGTACCAGGTGGGAAGTCAGCCCCCGATTTCGATGGACGATTATAATAGTTACTTGGAGCATAGCTTTGTGATTCCAGCTATTGCCGTATTAATTATCTTTGCCATGAGCAGCGATGTTGTATTCGGTATCGGATACGGGCTCCCTTGGTCAGAGGCAACAATATTAAGGGATCCGAGCAAGGTTGGATCTTGCAAGGGGAGATATTGGAGGGGAGAGTGGTGAAAAAAATATACAGTGCTGCATATAGTTATATTAGATGTGTTTATTACGAGAATAATCAACAAATTACTTACTATTCAAATACAATAAACTCTGCCAATGACCCATTTCAAAGCTGTGTGGGGCCTCTCTAATTAACCATTCTCCAGAAACCCATTCCTGCAAGAGTCACGGCAATGCTGGTGATGCCTGCTTGTCGACTTTTTATCCCGAACATGCTCTTGCTCGCAAGGATTTTTGCCTGTTGAGTATTGAGTTGAGCATGGCCTGAGAAATACGTATAACCACCTAGTGCAATGAAGGCAGAAGCTCCTAAGTCCAAAATCAGCGAGTAATTGAACATATGGGAGGCATTCTAACCTATTACTCTGCATGGCAGACAATCATCTGCTCTGTCTTTTGCGAGCACATCTTGTAAAGGTTCCGGCCGGTCGAGCTGCCGCACAGTGGGAATAACGGGACCTGCCATAACCTTGGGGAGAAATAAACTTCGAATATCTTCCGTGTTCCAGCCCTCTTGCTTGTCAAAGTTTCAATGAACGCTTATTTGTTGTCGACGACAAAATGGTGTTCGCGAAAAGAAGCTCTGCGCGCGTCGACGCGGAAGTGCTCTGACTTTCGGCCGCTTGGACTGCCCCACGTTAACTACTTCAACACACCCCTCCTCCACATTTAACTTCAAATGAATCGATAACACCTGGATACTGACCATGAGTGGCGCCGTGGAGGCTTTACACATCTATGATGAGCACAAGTACGTGATGTATCCCTTCCAACAGCTCCGTAACTGACTGTTTCACTCCGTGCCAGCCGCCCAATTCTCTCCCATATTTACACGGGGCGCCCCCTCTCAGCTCCTCAACTCCTCCCTCTATACATGAGCCATGCACAACCGCGGCCGAGCTTCATATACTTGCCGAACACCTCCCCTCCTACACTGGTCTTTAGTCTCATCCATTCCAACCTTCTATTCCTCCTCACATCCTCCTCCGAGATTGAGCCCCTCCTTGCTCTCGAATTCCTACACAGAATCATAGATGTACTAGAGGAATTTGTCGGGTCCCCATTATTGGCACACAAAGTGGAGAGCAGTTATGATGTAGTAGCCCAGCTTCTAAATGAGATGTGCGATGCTGGGGCTGTGAGTACAACTGAGCCAAATGCGCTGAGAGATGTGGTAGAGGTTGAGGGATGGCTCAACAAGCTGTTGGGAGGAATCAATATTCCTGGGTATGTTATATCTGCACTTCAGAAGGGAGGAAAGTCATTAACGATTCTGTTACAGGAAAACAGGCTTTGCTTCTGCACCCTCGAGTTCAAATATGTCTGCAATATCTTCAACAGGATCACTAGCAGCAAATACCCCAGCACTACCTTGGCGAAGGGCAAACGTACGCCATACTTCTAATGAGCTCTATGTGGATATTGTAGAGACTTTGTCCGTCACACTTGCTCCTTCTGGACGACCCCTAGCTGCTTTTGCCAATGGAACGATTGCTTTCACGTCCAAAATATCAGGGGTTCCAGACTTATTATTGAATATTTCATCACCATCTGGAAAGCAGAATATCAACAGTGTCATGCAGCTCCCCGTTTTCCATCCATGTGTGCGATTAGCTAGGTGGAAGGAAAAGCCTGGAGAAATGAGCTTCGTACCACCTGACGGACGCTTCATATTAGCTGGCTATGAAGTTGATTTACTTCCTTTTCAGAACGGGCACGTCGGCAGCACAAACGCATCAAATTTGAAATTGCCGGTCCAGGTTGAGGTAAAGACTGGTCTAGGCCCAACAGGGTCTGACTTTGAAGTTAGACTGTTCATTACCAAAGTCTCTGGTCAAGGCAATTCGTCTTCCTCGGCTCTGTCTTCAAGGAGCAGCAACCAACTTGGAGGTCGCGGTGGTTTTGGGGCACAACCTGGTACCTCCTCAACCCCAACACTGGAGGATCTCGTAGTCACGATACCTCTACCAACAGATGTAAGAAACCTGTCAGAAATGAGAGCCAGCAGAGGTGACACTACCTACAACCCCGGGGGAGAGAATTTAGAATGGCACATCCCAGCTAAGGAAGCCGTTACTGGAGGAGCAACCTTGCGCTGTACCGTTGCTGGCCCTCTTGTTGACGATGAAGATTTCGAAAGTAATGGCTTCAGACTCGACGGAAGATATGATTATGATGAAGATACATATCAAAGCACACCAGCAGAATCCGAAAAGGAACCCTTAAAGGTGGATGAGACAAGCAATGCACGTAAGGTTGCCCAGAACAAAATCCTCATGCCTAGCTCTGCAGCAGTCAGCTTCTCCGTAAAGGGCTGGCTGGCTAGTGGAATCAAAGTCGAGAGTGTGGTCATCGATACCAAAAAGAGTCGTGGAATTGGAGAAGGGGTCAAACCTTATAAAGGCGTTAAGTATTTGACGATCAGTAGGGGTGGGATCGAAGCTCGATGTTAACAGCATAGGAAGAGCCAGGCCCCAGGAGTTCAGGGGAGCATACAAGCATTTGAAAACTACGTTGTTAAGTGACAAAATATGTCCCAGTGCTACCTAATTCTATATGTTCTGTGTATTCTTAAATTCATCGTCCGTTGATATATGCTCTCAAGTTATTGGAAGCCCAAAAATAACGAGGTAAAAGAAGACAAGGGAAACAAAACACCTACATCTTGGCTATCGTTGGGAGGGGTGGGGAGGATTCCAGTGCGTACTACTTGTGTTCTTGTCGACATAGTGCGCCACTCCTTGTGCATTTTTTCTTGGCCTCCCAGCCCGGAGGCAAGCTCCCATGTGTATCCTCAGGAGCAGCCAACCTCCCCTCCTTTCTGGATCCTGATGCCGCGGCAGTTGGTCTCCTCAAGTGAGCGGGAGGCATGCTCTTCGCCGCTAGTCCCTCCACCACAGTCCTCGCCATATTCCCCATTTCACACGCTGCCGTAGGCGCAGACACCTTCGTTGGTGACGATGATGCAATGGTTGCAGGCATTCGTGCTGGCATAGGGCGAGCTGCGTTTGATTATCGCGCAGTAGGCATCCCAGGCACCAAGCCCTCGACAACGGTTCTGGCCATATTTCCCATTTTATAGGCTTCCGTAGGCGCCATCTTCGTCGGTGACGACGAAGCCACCGTAGTAGACATAGAATTATCGTTTCGTGCTGGCGTAGGGCGAGCTGCGGTTGATACGCGCCCAGTAGGCATTCCAGGTACCAAGCCTTCGACAATTGTTCTGGCCATGTTCCCGATTTTGTAATTGGCGGTCTGGTTGCTTCTTACTGTGTTCCGTGATGATTGTGCACTTGATGCAGTGTCCTTACTGTGTTGTTCGATTTTCCTTTGCTCTGCCGTATTACTGGGGCTGGCGCTCCCTCTCACGCCCCCAGCTGTTGCCTGTGTTGCCTTTTGCATATTGAGTTGAGATAACCTAGTATTAGAAGATTTAGAAGCCCTTTGTTGTTCGCTGGCGCCAGCACTTGGTCTACGCTGCTGGCTTGGAGCTGTAGATGGGCCGCGGAAGCTGCCCCCGACTTCCTCTTGGCTTTGGCGGCTTGGTCTGGGATGGCTTCCTTGACCGGCAGGTGCCTGGTTCCTACTACCTGCCGACCTTACGCTTCCCCCAGGTCCTCCAACAGTAACATAGGAAGGCCCACCTTGTCTTTGACTAGGACCCGCATATCCAGCTTGACCGGCAGCGTCTCTCCCCCTTTCTGACTGTCCGCTCTGCGCTGCCTCTTCAGCACTGACGGGCAGTGCCCCAGACATCTGTGCAAGGTTTAACGACGCCTGTTGTCTCAAGTCCTGATTTCCACCTGGAGCCATAGCTCTTCCAGGACCAGAACCCTGCCCTCCTCGCCCGAACCACTGTTCTCTCAGCTTCTTCAGCTTCTTATCATCCTTTTTCCTATCTTTTTCTTTAGAGAAATGATCAGGATTGTCCACCCTATAATCCTCTTGGGCCACAACAAACCCCTGCTGTTCATTCCTCTCTTTAGCTGCCCATATAACCGCTCTATTCGCCGCTTCTGTCGCCTTCCTGTCCTTCCTTTCCTTCCTAGCTTTAGCGTCGAAGATATTCTTCATTTCGTTGTCATGGCGGAGCCCCTCGATGAGTCTGTGTTTCTTCTCCTCTTTATTGGCGTTGAAGTTGTTGAGGCTGTTTTTCACACTCTGTGTCCAGGCTGGGGCTATGGTTGGTGCGGGTGGAACGAAGCCTTTGTCGTGTTTCGAGGGTCTAGTTGGACGGTTCCATTTCTTCTCGTGAGGGGTTGGTGGTTTGCGTTTTGGGGAGCCGCTGTCACTGTTGCTGTCGCTCCTGGCCATCGTTTGTTCTTCAAGAGCTAGTCTTTAGGCGGGGTTGGGTGGGGGAATTATGTCTTGAGTTGTACATGGCGAGAGAATCGGAAGACATGGAAACAAGTGAAACATATATACCTTTCATACCTAGTGACTGAAGCTGTGCTTATTCATGGTGTGATTCACATATTGAAAGCCAAGTCACACGCAGGACCTAATGAAGTTCACCCCCTTGTGTTATTAGCTGTCCTATAGTGTTTTACGGCCTCCCCTCATAATATGACCGCTATTCATTGAGGTGCTTTGCTGCTCTTCCGTTCTGGATCCAGCTTGCGATTTGGCAGCTTCCGCTCTTCTGGGATATAACCAGGTACGCCATGCACAGGGCACGGGTTCATAATGGAAGGCTTGGATATTCAAGCGAGTTTAGGTGAAGAGGTAGACAAAGTTTAGAAAGGTGGTAAACTGGCGTAGATACTTACAATTGGTTTGAGGTTTGATTTTGAAAGCATAAAGTTGTACTTCTGCAATACTAAGGCAGTACTCGCTCAGAGTCATAAGCTTTGGAAACAGAACGCCGTGATTCTTGTAGTACACAATGTTGATTGGCAAATTAAAACGTTATATTTCCGGCCTCAAATGAGACTTCTCATAATTATCTAGGGAAGTGCCTAATTTGGAGTAATTCCAAACACTACTCGGTTCTCCTGGGTATTTGTCGCAGGAGCTAAAAAATACTTAACTTACAAATGGCTTGGTGACGAAGCCGTTCTTCGGAATAGCGACTTTTGATCGAGCTTCTTCTGAATAATCGCAACTTGATTCTGAAGGAAAGAGAATAATAGTGGTGCTGATGAACATACATGTACTCGTAAGAACAGACAGGAAAAGTCTACAGCTGCAAGAGGTATTTCGATGAAGTTAAATTCGCCGTATGCCAAACCGCTGTCTATACCAAGAAAGCCCTATGCCCATATTTTTTCTATCTAATCCCCAGTGTTTCCATCCACACAAACCCCACCAACAAAGCAAATCCATAAAACGCTTAGTATCATACAACACATATATTTCATCCCTAATCAAACAGCAAGTATGTTCTCTATGCCCGTCCAAGATCCCTTCGCCCTCTCCTCCCAATACCCGTCTTTCCCACCTTTCAACTTCCATACCTCCTCCCCATCATCACCGCCGTCGACCTTGACGAACCAGCGCGGTATATGCACCTCGTCCTTGGCCTCCTGTTCTTTCCGTCTAGCACGCTGGCCTTCTTCTAGTCTCGCCTTCAGCTCCTCCGCATCATCGAGATCCCCATTCTCAGCAGCCCGCTGATCAGGCCTCAACCTACAGTCCGTCGGCGGCAGCTTGCCCTTCTCCAGCTCCGTGATTTCATTAAGCCCAGCCGCAAAAGTCGTAAGACCATATCTCTGCGCGAAATTCTCAACAAGTTCACCAGCGCGCCAGATTTCCGCTCCTGACTTTTTGTCCGGCTCGCTCATCTTGAGGTGCGTGGTCCAGGTTCCAGTCAGGCCGAATCCAGTGTGTCCTCCATCTGGTCCGTACGTATCGACTTGTACGTCTTCACTGCGACCGCTGAACATGCCTTTTTGCTTGAATTCGATGGTTGCTTTGGCTCCTGTGCTTTCGTTCGTGACGGTCATGGTGCCAACCGGCTCTACGTATTTCTCGCCCATGACTATATTACGTAAGAAGGCAGTGGCGACATTCCAGCTATAGAGCTCGTCGCTCCCGTCTGCTAGACGTAGTGAAATTCGTACGCGGCCTTCGGTGATGAGCTCCGCGCTCTTTCCCCAGAATTTTTGCGTCGGTGCTGGACTTTGGCTTAAGGACCAGTGAGCGGAATCGGCTTGAATGGCCAATCGTACTGGACGATGAGAGATTTTTTCTACGAGTACTCTGAATCCGCCTGGTACTTCCTTTTCGGTTCTTAATAACTCAAATGTCTCGCCAAGCATGGGATTGAAGGGTTTCCGGATTGCTCGTTCTTTAGCCCGATTCGCGCTAAGTTGAGAGATTGCAAATGCGGTAACGTGGAGTAACCGGTAGTCAGCGTTCTTATGCGACGATGCTGTATCTAATAATTGAGCATACTCAAGCTGTTCAGCCGTGCGTTGTAGGAGAGATAATGGTTCATTTGCACTGACAGGCATACTCAGTGTGGTGAGATCTTTGCCTACATTTTTTCGTAGGAAGCCTATTAGACTCGGTGGCAAGACAGTGGCAGGAGGGATAACTTTGCGGCGTTTAACAAGAATAGGGATAGGAAGAGGGTCCAACGATTTTGGTTTTGCGGGAAACAGCCCAGCGGCACCACTGACGTGAGCGTTGTCATCTTCCGCGGATGACAATGAGGACGCATCTGTTGCGTCAAATCCATCGTCCGCTTCGGAAGGTTGAGTATCTTCCTCGCTCTGACGACCAATTATTACGACCGAACGATCCGGATCTCCATTTTCTGCGTCAAAGAACTCGCCCGTTGAAGTGGAATCAATGCTAGCTCGTGACTCAAACGTGGGAGCAGGCATTCGACGGCGCTTACTGTTTGTAAGTAAGGTTTTGAAATCAGCCAAGACAGCATCCAAATCATTGAGCAACGAAGCGCAGTGATCATGCATGCTTATCTCTTCATGGGAACTTCTGGACCTTTGTGGAGATGGCGAGCCATTTGCAGAGATCGTGGTAGCAGTTGCGGGAACCGGGACTGCAAGCTGTGATGAGATACCACGCTGGATCATCTGGGGGGTCGTAGGTGTGCTAGGCTTTCTCTTCCAAAAAGGTCTCTTTTCCTGAACTTGAGATGCTCCAAAGTAATCGCCCCCTTCATCTCCGGTTGAAGGGCTTGCATTTGCACTTGCACTTACACCATTAAGCACCCCTAATCCATAATGACTCCTCCTCGACCCTGTAGCTGTGTCTTTTGGAGCGGTATCTTTTGATAACCTCCGAACAGCGTCGCGAGTACCAACAATTCTGCTCACCAGGGCTTCCACTTGTTCCCACTCTCGTTCCTCTGCTGCACTTGAAGGTGGAGCTTGCGTTCCAAGTGGTCTCAAGCGGGATTCGCCTGCCGGAGTATTTGAATCTGTTTTGACGCCCCGTGCAGCATTGCTGGCTCTTTCGAGAGCCTTGGTCCAATCTTGGAAATCCTTCAAATTTCCGGCCCTGAGATGCCACACCTCTGCCCCAGAATCGATACTGATCTCCCTTCGCCTCTCATCAGCTGCTATTGCAGCTAAACTCAAGGGTATAGCTCCTCTAAGAGCAGACGAGTTTCGACTATAATAGTATGACAATGTGCAGGAAGCAAAATCCAACGAAAAGAACCGTCTTGCATAGCCTTGACCCCGCTTCCGCCGACGCTTCTGGAGAGCGCCTACATGGTAGGTTGCCAATGTATCGTGGCTCTCGGTTCGACCCATTACTGAATTGCCCCTGCTACCACTGTTTCCATGTGCTAAATGACTCTGTAGACTGTCCACGGAGTCCGAGGCTGTCGCCGAGAGTTTCGGACTTTGGTTCTTGAGAGCTGCACCTAAGGCGCCTTGCAGATGATGCGTTGAATGTGGAGGCGCATTCGAAGGGTATGTGAGGAGGACGAAGGTAGCTGTCTTTGAAATTGCCTTTGAAAACGTATTGTCGAATACCAAGCCATACATTCCTCCCTGCCCCGGGCTTACTGCGTAGGTCCCCATAGATACCTTGTCCGCTTCGCATTTGCCGTACCATTGTATCGCTATGAAGCCCTTTGCCTTAAGTTGTTCTTGAGCTGTAGATGCATCGTTTCGCGTATTCGAAGGCCGTCGTGAGGACTTGTCATCAACTTGTTGGAGAGAGGCATCATCGAGGGCAGGATACTGTGGTGTTCCACCAGGCGTTGCCAAATTGCCTGTACCAGGGTGCTTGAATATCCCAAAGTTTCTGTCAAATGGTCAATGGCGTACTTGGGTGTTCAATGAGATTTCATACATGGACTTCTTGTGTGGCTGAACACTCCAGGAAATGGTATGCCCTTCCTCTACCTTCACCCAACGGACAATATACGACTAATCGCATCAGTTCAATGTTTCTTCGCAGTGGAGTCAATCGCCAAATCGCATACCTTGCTGTGAATCTCCAATTGCTCTAACCCAGCCATTGCGCCGGTAATTCGTTCAGGAACTGCTGGCGCATTCAAGCCTCACAGGATGCTCGAGATCGCGGTTGTCAGGTACTAGCGGGGAGACCGTGGCTGGGATGCCTTTCATGTAGTCTGTATCTGGTACAACAACTCGGTACGGAGGACTAAATAATAATCGAAGAGGTTTTATTCGGGGGGTTTTGTTTACTCGGGGCTGAATGACGTTGGTCCGGAGAGCTTGCGATGCCTACGTAAGTAGCTCCTTGGTCTAAATTGGCGTGTGCAGAGTCATAGAAGGCTGGCGAAACGAACAGCGTAAACACAAGGATTGTTTTTGATTCTGATTTGATTTTCAAAGAAAAAGACGTCAAAAGAAGCGTAAAGAATCTGGGGAAATCTGCGACGAAAGGACCATCTACCAAGTAATCTTACCTCAGAAGGATTACGGCACAGAAAGAAGACGTGGACGTGGTGTTAACGTACGCAAGAAACAACACCAAGCCGCTTCAGGCTGTGTCTTGTTACAGTACCCTGCGAACCCTGCGAACCCTGCGGACTCCGTAAATAAGTCTCTGCGGCTGCTACCGGCCGGTTGGGTTGGGAACATGCTACGCAGGATCCTCTAAGTTGCCTACGACTCACCTCAGCAACTTACTTCACCACTCAGCAATCAGAAATCAGCAGTCACAGTCTTAGTCAGTGTGCTAAACAAAAACTGCCGGCATTTCCAAGTATGTCATGCTTATTGCCAAGTATTGCTTGATTACTATGGATTGTAGTTTTAGCTCTAGGCGGCCGGGTGCTTGGAGAGCATTCGCCCACGTCAATTTCCCCTCCAAGTATGCCCCCAGTAGTTTCTCATTTTTATACACAATATGACAGGCTCATCCCAAATCCAGCCTCAATAACTCCCCAGATCCAGTATTCTTTTCGACCCAAGTGATGTTTCGTCTAGCGTGGCCTGCTCACCTCACTCATATGCCGCAACTTAAATCCGTTGCACAGAGCTTTCATGTCCGGGTAGGGGCTCTTCATCAATTCAAAGGCATTCGGGACTACTCGCACTGGCCATGCATTGACTCTAGCCTGCTGCCCAGCTTTGAAGCAAAGATAGAAATATCCAGGATGTTTGGTATCCAAGCAGAAAGCGTAGACAGACCTCTTTGGGTTGGCTTCGGTGTAAGTAGTCAACCATTTTTCTAATTTATAGTTAGTAGTGCTACATTTCTCACAAATGCATGTTGACATACCTGTGTCGGCCCTGCTACCAGATTGGTACTTGTCATGTTGCATCATCTCATCAACCTTCTTGGCCATAGCCTTCACATGGTCCACGATCAATTCGTCCAGATCACTGTAGGTGTACTTGCCACCAATACGAAGGGTCCGCCCCACAGAGAATTCGTTGTCTTTCTGGAGCTCCAGAACATCGATGTGCTGATACACACCATCCGCAACTTTCCAAGTAACAGCAAGATGATCATTGCCCTTTGACGAGGGTCGGATAACAGCATCACCAGGCGCTTGTGATCCTAGATATTCTTCTGCTTGTGTAGAATTAAAAGGCCTGAAGAGGGGATGCTTGACGACTCGCTGAGTCCGGCCAGTCGCTTTGTCTTTTTCTCGCAGCTCCTCCTTGTCTTTGGCTTCTTGTAACACATCCCAGATCCTAGGATCAATTTCGAGATTCCTCTTATATGGAATTCTCAACAAAGATTCACGTAGAGAAAGGCGGGCGCTGAATTTCTGGCGGTCGATCTCCAGAATTTTTGCTTGAGCAGTCTGGCCGTGGGAGAACAAAGTATTGAGGAGCGGGGGCATATCCTTGTCTGAGCCCTCATGGTGCTCGACTCTGCCCTCGATGCCCGAGTCCAGCTTTGCAATGATGAAATCTTCTTTCGCGACTCGAATATTGACCGGTACGATCATGCCTGCACATAGAGACTCTTCAGTTTCTCCAGTCAACATTGTAAATATCTCGTCATCTTCAAGTGTAGCAAAGTTCCTTCTAAGTTCTTCGTATGGCTGTTGCAACTCGGCACGGATAGTCTCGAGAGTTGCACGCTTGCGCTGGTTAAAATTGCTTTCAAGTTGCTCGGCATATTCTTCCAGAATCAGGTCATTGACCTTTTCCTGCTCATCATCCTTTATGAGTTTGCGGACAATTGCACCAGGGCCACCCTCATCGACCTCGGCCTTGACATCTTCCTCGTCTAACTCCAACGCATCAGCAGCCATTTTCCGGCCCAACTCGTAATCTTCTGGATGCACTCGAGTATTGTCGAGATAGTCAGACATGGCGTTGGAGCTATCATAATCAATAGACAGAAAACTTGCACAGTTGTTCCAGACTCGGGGTCCTACAACGGGCAGTTTGTGACTGTCGGGATCACCCACAAGCTCGTCACGAGTATTAACAATGCCGCCATTTTGATTGATCGTCTTCAATACAGCAGTTGCCTTTCGGGGCCCGAGGCCGCACACAAATGGGAGAAGTGTGGCCGTGTAAGAATCGCCGACTGCCTCGTTGATATCGACTCCGCAAAGGTTGACCATATCTACCATGGCCGTCTCAAGCTGTTTGCGGAGTTTCTCCACGGGAAGAAGTTGCTGGCAGGAATGGAAAAATAGGGAGACCACATCTTTCCCTAGTGCCGCGTATTCCTTCATTGGATTTTGCATATACTTGGCCAATGCAACACAGTATCTGGCGAGTGGAGGAATATTTGGATGATCAATGGCAGCGCGTGTACTGTCCTTGTAAAGTCGAGCGACTTCGTCATTCACCACAACAACATCCAAGGGCTCGCTCATATCGTCGCCAGTTTCGTTGTCCTCAAATTCTGCGCCCCTTAATCCGTGAGATTCTACCAAGTCTTTGAGAGTTGTGATGAGTCGGTGTGTCTCGACGGAAAAGCCGCTGATTGCGAGAACATCGGGTTTCCTGCGCCGCACCAGTTCCACGAAGTCTGCTCTGGCCTTCTCATCTTTGGTCAAGTTGTTGAACTTGCCATTCTCTAGTACTCGTCCGTCTTCCTCCACCCAGGCCCAGCAGACAGCATCGCGGGTTGGATCGCCATTGCCATTTGACAAGGCGAGTACTCGAGGAATCGTTCCAAGTATCATGCCCTTTGGTTTGTAGGGAGCTTGGTCGAGCTTCCTCGAATATTCCTCTCGGCAGAGTTTGAGAATAGAATCTTGGCATTCTGTTCGCATGCTTTCCTTGACACCTTTTGTGATAACACGCTCTAGCTTGACGAACGCCAAATCAAGAACCCTGCTGCGCTCATCGTTCCAGGCATCCGCAAGCTCGCTGTAGTTTTCAGATTGGAATTCCTGGAAAAGTGCTTTGCGGAACTCCTTCTCATTTTGCAGAGAGACCTTGACTTCAATGAGGCCCTCCTCTTCGGCCTTGAGCATCTTGAGAAATATCTCGGGTTTGTTCGCGATATCACCAAATGTCTGATTTTTGAGGTATTTTAGCTCATAGTATGGGTGTTGCTCGTCAATTTTCCGCAAGCCTTTGTCAGTCCTCCGGCAATCGACCACGCCCATCATGTAGTAGTGCATACGGAAGTGTTTTCGCATACGAGGATTCATAAAGAGTTCTTCGGCAAACATTTGACGGGCCGCAAGTAATACTGCCTCACCAGTATTAAAATCGCTGTCGGAGGTGAGGGAGTCGGCGAAGTCAATAGGAGTGCTGGAAGCGTCTTCAGTATATTGTTTCCGGCCCTCCCGCAACGCATTTTGAGCGACCTGATCTGGCGTGATGCCGTAGGCTTGGACAAGCTGGTAGGCTCTCCCTTTTCGAATGCGATCGAAGAGAGATGACTTCCCCCCCGCGCGACGTTTTTCTTTCACGTCACCATTCGTAGCCGCAAAATCCTTAATCTCTGCTGAATACTGAAAGTATATGTAATCTTGGATGTCCTGGAGTTCTTCCATGGTGACAGCGACAGGAAGCATAGATTCGACCATCTTGTCGCGAATGTCGGAAGCAAGCTTCAAATTGTCGTATGTTCTTTCAAGGACGTTCCGTTTTTCAATGAGAGCTCTAAACTTCAAATCTAGTTCCAGAATCCGCCAAAGATCGTCTTGGTTGAGAAGTTTCTCGGCAGTGACATTGACCTCGGGTTCATCAGAGCCATTTTGATAAGATCTGTTTCTTGTGGCATGGATCAAGTAGTCTTTACGATGTTGAAAAACGTATGGAACTTCAACTTCATCCACCACGAAGAACTCCAGAACTTTACCAATCGCCTTGGTGAAAGGAACATGCAACTCGCTGTGCAACTGCTTCTTCGGCCAAATGAGACTTGTGATCCAGCGGGCCTCCTCTTTGAATTGCTCGTCGGTAATCTGAAGGTTTTTGTAAGGCATTCGGTCCAATTGGAATCGTTCAGGCTCATCTGCCCAGCGGATTTGATTGTCCTCATCCGTGAGAAGCTTCTCAGCCAGTTGTGAAGGCTCAAACACATGCTTAAGTTCAAGATTGTGTTCCCCAGCCTGTTGAGCCTCTTCCTCATCTTCCAATGCCAAGGCCCAATCGTAGTCTTCGCCATTACCAAATATGGCTTCCATATCATCCAGGGCATCCTTATCTAGACCAGAAGCTTCCCCGGTACCAACAAAGCCTCTCTCGCGTGGGCGGGCCACTTCCATTTCCTCCTGGTGCCGCTGGCGCTCATCTTCATCCTCCAGCTCATCTTCTTCGATGAAATCCGCGAATTCGTCAACCCTATGATGGTCAGGTCGATTAAATGAACGTTCGTATTCATGTGGTGCATCTAGTTCCTCGTCATCAGAGAATATCTGGTCCAGGCCACGCTCTCCAGGTTGGTCATCATCGTCCCGGTGGCCACGCTTCAGCCGCTTGAGCTTTGGCTAGAAAACTGTCAGCGACTCCTCAGTCAGCGATGCCTAAATATGTGTACCTGTGCTGCAGCTTTGCGCTCCCATTCAGGGTTTGCCTCCCCAATGAGATCCAGATCTTCGTCATCCAAGGCAGCTTCCTCCTCCTCACGATGGCGTTTTCTCCTGCGCTCTCTCTTCTTTCGCGCACGTTCTTGATCGTCTGGTTCTTCGTCTTCGTCGTCGATGATGAATCCCTCGCGGACCTGTGGGAGGTTTGGTTAGATAGCCTTATAGACTTGTAGAATGCTCGCATCATACCTCGCGTGCTGCCTCCTCATCATCATCATCGTCTTCCTCCTCACTAGAATCATCAATCCGGCCATTTTGCTTTCCTTTGCGCGGGCGAACTTCGCCGGTGTCTTCATCGAAAGAATCATCGTTCTCCTCGTCGTCGAGCTCGGCCTCCCCTTGAATCAAGTCTCGCATGCTCATCTTTGCGGTTGTTGGTTTTTGTGTGAAGATGGAAGAGATGATGGCAATGGGAGAAGTGGCGGATTATTGCAGAGGTATGACAGCTTTAGGCAGCTAGGTAGAGGGATGATAAGTTGCGCCGACAGCCAAAAAAAAATGTCGCGTCTTGAACTCAACTCCAGAATTGAAGATGCCCAGCTTGTCGCTAGTCCATTATAGGTTAGTATATGCCGGCTTTGTTTGGGGGCTAAAAATGAATGTTTCGATTTACTGCCTTCATTTACCGCTCGCAGCTCTTAACAGGACAGGACAGGCGTCTTGTGCAAACGGAACGGATCTAGAACTTGAACTAGAACTAGATCCCGAGTGGGACTGAGGAGCTATTTCAATAATAGATTTGGTGTCTGCATGTCTCTTAGTATTATCGGACAAAGCAACTTTCTCCTTTCTCCTGTTCCTGCCAACAAAGCAGCCAGTCCAGTGAAAGGAAGGGAAAGGGAAGCCAAGGCTCGGATCATCCCTGAGTCTGCGCTGATGTGGATGTGTACCTGATGCAAGTGAACGTGCCTGGGAGCTGGATGGATCACCAGATAATTGCAAAAGAGACCCCCAAAGATGAGACGTCGCTATTTGTAACGAAGTCCATGCGATGGGCTAACTATTATTGACCCCTTAAAAGTTCCGACTAATCCTTTGAGAGAGAAACATAAATAAAAGAAAACAATTGCTCTCTTTCCCTTTCGTCCATCCTTTAAAACTCTGTGCGGTTCATGCCTAACCTCCCGTTTGGTTGCATCTGATTTCTGCCCCTCGTTGGATAGCGTCGGACAGCGCCAACGCCCACAAGGTCAACCACCATCAGCACCTCTACCGCCTCACAGAATAGTGTAACCATCCTTGCCATATGCCACGAACATCGAGTCTTGCAACCTTACACAGCCGACGAAGTATCGATTTCTTGATATAGCTGGCCCAAATACCTCGAGGATTGCTTACTTTCAGGAGCTGCGCACCCCGCGCTTAAAACAACCGTCCGCTGATCAACTCTGCGCCTACCGACCAGATAGTTGAACTCTTCAACATGGCAGACAGCGGCAGTATTGGAGCTGTCCGGACATTAAAGAGGAAGAATGTGAAGGGCGTAAGATACTCGATTCCTTGAATTCTTCGTCTGCTGCTCCTGAGACATCTTCATCTCGTATTATGCATCATGAAACGACATGTTTTGTTCTCTCTTGTTACGTTTCTTTCCGCGTCCGCCGTAATAGCTTTTAGAATACCAAACTGACTCTCTCTTTGCCTACCAGCTCGCTTTAGCAAAGCCCGCAGCTAGAGCTGTCCAGCCCTCGGAAAGCGATCTCCAGATGCCAGGCGGAGAAAAGCACGATGCTAGTAGACAAACCGCACAACTAGAGATTGGGATCGAATATAAATTAGACTTGAAGAAGGAAGACCTTGCGGTCCTAAAAGAACTTGGTCATGGTAATGGAGGGACTGTCAGTAAAGTTCGACATGTAGCCACCAACACTGTCATGGCGAGGAAGGTACGGTATTATGTTACGAGAAGTCGCTTCCAACTGGTCTGACTTCTCTAGGTTATACACGTCGAAGCCAAAACCGAAATGCGTCGTCGGATAGTTCGAGAACTGCAAATTATGCACAATACCAGCTCGGACTATATAGTCAACTTCTATGGGGCATTCTTGAGCGAAAACAGCGATGTTATTATGTGTATGGAATATATGGATGTAGGGTATGTATGTGTCCGCAGTTGGATATAATTCCCTGCTAAGAGCGTTGTTAGGTCCTTGGACTGGGTCTCCAGGCAATTCGGGCCCGTCCGAGTCGATGTATTGGGAAAGATCGCAGAGGCCACCCTCGGCGGACTAACTTATCTGTACACGAACCATCACATCATGCACAGAGACATCAAACCCTCCAATATATTGGTAAACTCAAGAGGACAGATAAAACTGTGCGATTTTGGGGTCTCAGGGGAGCTAGTAAACTCCGTTGCGGATACCTTCGTCGGTACATCGACATACATGGCCCCCGAGCGAATCCAAGGCCAGAAATATACCGTGAAGTCTGACGTATGGAGTTTTGGACTCTCTATTATGGAATTAGCTATTGGAAAATTCCCCTTTGATGCTAGCGAGCAATTGTCGGACGGGGACGGAGCCCCAGCGGGTATCCTGGATCTGTTACAACAAATTGTCTATGAGCCAGCGCCGAAGCTTCCCAAGAGTGAAGCTTTTCCATCAATTCTCGAGGACATGATTCAGAAGTGTATGGCAAAGGGACCTGAAGACCGACCCACACCGGCGGAGCTCTATGTAAGTACCCCTTCTGTAGATAAATTATTCTTCAAAGTGCTGATATATTTGAGTAGGAACGTGAGCCTTTTGTTCAAGCCGCTAAACGTACTCCTGTAGATCTGAGGCAATGGGCTGTGAGTATGATGGAGAGAGATAACCGTAAATCCCATCTCGCCCCTCAACTATCACCCTCGACGGAGAAGCTCCTTCGCTCAGTTGACTCGCCTACTGCGGGGCCCAATTCAGCGGAGTACTCTTTGCCCACACCCACATCGGGCGATATTCCCATCGGAGGAGCTGATGTGCGTTCCGGCTTGGCATCTCCGCCATATGGTGATAGCAGCAGGTCACCTACGAAGAACGGTTCAATGAGCCTGGGCCGTGCATCTGGTACCTCTGTCTCTGCCCATCCCGGCCTCCCTCCCAGGACTCAAACCTCATCCTCAATACCGAAAATGACAACTATGAATGCCCCCGACCGTAGTGGAAGTAACGGACCATCAAGCGCCGGTGCCGTCACTTTCAGCACCGCATCTCTGCCAATGCGACCTGCGCCACCCGCTGGGCCTCTTCCACCGCCTCCTGTTCCAAATAAAGAGATCAGTGATCTTGATGTCAAGAAGGAGAGTCGGAGACAAGCAACTTTTGGAAACAGCTTGTACGGTGCGGGAGGATACCCAAGCGGCAATGGCCAGCAATACTAGCATGTCTCGTATATCATCTTTGTGTGATTCTATACGTTGACCGTACTAGCATCTTGAAGCATCTGTCGGCGTCTCATCTGTGCAAGCCTTTATGTGTAGTTCGAAGATTGTTGGATATGAAGTTGTTGTTGGTAGCCTCGAAGCCATTTTCAGGATCAGGAGAATACTGTTAATCATGCAAATGCATTGTTGGCTTGCAAAGCGAGGATGTAGCGTTGTTTTGGCCATATTTAGATAAATAAACACTTGGCTGAATGCCGATTCCATCTTATCGTCTACGTTGATATCGCTGCGCTACTCCTCTCCCTTTCCGTCCCGCAACACACCCTCTGCGCGGCCCTTCAAATCATCATCCTCATCTCCCCTAGCAATGCGCCCTACGAATCCCTTTTCCAAGATCTCAATCAGTTCGTCTAACCTCGAGATAACGAGATCTGTATGCTCATGCGTCGCAAGATGAGCGTTCATCTCATTCACAAGCAGGACCGTCGCAGCACCAGCTCTATATCCGGCGGTCATGTCATCAATAGAATCACGAAAAATTGGTCAGTAATGCCATCTTCTAATCTTAGATTTCAACTCACCCAACCATAATCAACTCTTCGCCTAGGCCCTTTCCGTCATCTCCCACGAACCCCCAGGTTTTCGCAATAAACAAGATCCCCTCTGGACTTGGCTTTGGCGGCCGGAAATCCCTCGTTACAATCGGACTAAATGTCTTCCCCTCCAGAAACTTGCTCAGCAAATGGTTAACCGGTGTTTCGAAGTTCCGTGTACAGATACCCTTGGGTAAATTCTTGGATTCTAAATAGGTCATCAAAGGGACAAGACCCGGCTGCGCTTCTTGAAGCACCATGGCTTCGCGCTCGACGTTGCGGATCTTTTCGAGGGCTTCTTCGCATTCGGCTGGGGGGAGAGAGTGGCAGTGGTCGAGGATGTCGGTGGCTTTGGTGATGTTGAGGGCAGAGCGCATTTGGCCGAACATGTAGTTTTGCTGGACGCTGGAGGGGGTAGTTAGAATGTCTCAAATCCAGTAGAACATTTTCACAGGAGTCTCTTTGCTTCAGATTGTTGACTTCGGCTGAACAGGTATTAGGATCTCGGATGCCCAAAATTTTGAACTTCTCGGAGAGCACATAGAGTATTTGCTGGGAAAGAGCAACTTATGATTTTGTAAAGCAAAGCATATCCCGACGCAGAACTGAGAGAACTAGCGGATACTAAAAGGAGTTCGAACAAGTACTAGGCAGCCGAACAAAGCAAAACGGGATTTGCCCAAACTCCCAATCTCAGCTCTATCCAGGGAGCTACTAAACTCTAGGAACTTCAAATCTCTCCAGAATCAAAAAACTCAAGCCATTTCGCCTTCAATCATGATCACTTGACCTAGTCAAATAGGTACTTCCCACTATGAAAAATCATAAAAAAAATACGAATGACTGCATTAGAACTCACCACAAAGTCCCATCAACATCAAACACAATACCCTTCAACTTCGGCGCCCCGCTAGTATTCACAACCCCTTCCTTCAGCGGAGCGAAGCGTCTCGGCTCTTTCAAAAGTGGAGTAGTCATTCTAAATCCTCTTGCGAATGTTCTGGGTACAAATGTCTTGTTGCGAGCAGGCTTGCTAGATTGGGATATCGCACGAGGAATTTGAATATACCGCATTGGTGTGTTGTGAACTCGAGATTGTAAACGTGGGATATGTGGAGCAGAGCGGAGCCATCATCGAGGTGAATCCGCTTAGTAAGCTAGGAGCTAGCGAGCCCCTATTAAACATCATAAAGGCCGAATTTAGTAATTCTTGGGGAAACGTGAAGTTGAGAAGGAGTACGCTTGTTTAAGGTAATCGTTGTTAAAGATGTTATTTCTGTTTAAGTATAGTTTTTCAGTTGTACAATTGAATTTCCCAAGCTTGCCCCTCACAATTTGTAGGTTGAGAGGATGACGAGGTAACACAAGCACAAGCTACCTACCTATCTCGTATGGTATTTAACGGCCTTCTCTACAATAGGCCCTATGCTACTTATGCTAGATATGGGGGGAAAGCTCCGATTTGAAATGTGCCAGGACATTAAAAGTTATGTGGGTGCAGATTTTTATCTACCATAAGGAGTATAGGCTTTTATGGAGAAGACCGTAAAACACTATAGGAATTATGTAGTAAAGTCTATTATCAAAAATATCTAACTATGGTTGAAAAATCCGTATGCTCTGGTTCCTTAGCAAAATAGCACTATCCCATTCTCGGTTTCGATAGACGACATTCCCTTTGCTGCAGTCTTCATATCCCTCTATTCCACCCTTCAATTTATATGTCTAGCCGTAATCACTGCAGGCTCCTCATCCCTACCATAACTCCTTGTATACCGATGGGATACCTCACATCACAGTTAAATAACCAGAGACGTGCCAGTGCCACTATACCCATAAAACTCACAGAATCACCAAAATCAATAGGTTATGTTATGGTTGGTGCAAAATTTATTGCCGCTGATTGCATCAAGTCTCCCCACGGCTGTCCGTGTAGCTCGCATTACCTAAGTCAATGCCAACGCCTCCTAATGCTACCCCTCATGCAATCGTCCTGCCAGAGGCGTATATCTGTCTCCAAAGACTCCTCCAATGCATTATAATCATCTAATAGAGTGCGTATTATGACCCCGACGCAACCAATATGAGTCCGAAGTGCGACAAGACAGCGCTTACTGCACATAGCCAAGCGGCCAAGCAGCTTTGGGTATCATAATCATCGCAGAAACCGTCAACCATTCATGCAAATCTCCCACGCTTTCCACCCCCACCGGAACCGTCTTTGCCATAGTCTAGATTTCCAATGTCGAAGAAGTCGAAGTCAGGCAAATTAGCTTTCCGTTTATGGCCTACTCTAGTTACGGCACTTGGAACCCTGGGACCGAGTCGTGCAGAATGGTTACTGTGTCTCGAGGCCGTTCGTGAAGGTCGTGAGATCGTAATACCCGGATTGTTCGAAGAATGCGTGGGACCGTGACTTTGTGAACGAGTGTTGTCTGTTATATTGAGGTCGGATAGCACAATGTCGGCATCTTGTGGGTATTGTTGTGAAGCTCGAAATGTGAATGCTCCTTGTTGAGGCATACTTGGAGCTGGGACCTCTGCAGGAGTTGGAGCTGCTGTAGGTGGACCTGATGATTCTGTCCGCATGGGAGATGCTGTTCGAGTAGGTTGTGGATTTGTGTTCACTCTAGTGTCACTCTGAGACCTTTGAAGAACAGGGGATGATGATGCTCCTTCAGCCTTTTCGACCGCCTCATCGTCACTTTCTGCGTGTTGAGAAACCGAATCTCGTCCGTCCAGCCTTTCCGTTGCCCATTGCCGAATCCTCCATCCCTCCCCATCACTAAGGCCAATATCCTGCTTATCCAAGAAGGTAAGAAGATCGTCCAGGGCGTCCTGGTAGCCTTCTGCTCTAGACTTTCCCAGATCGTCCGCGGCGGTTTTGTAGAGTGTCGTGATGGAGAGAGCAGCTGCTCTGAAGGCTTGAATAAGGTTTCCAGGGGGTTCGACGGTCTGTTGTTTTGCAGGTGAGGTACCGGCACCAGGAAGGGAGGTGTTCAAACTTCTCATGGAGTCCATGGTTGTATGAGGTTATGACGAGTAGTGGTCGTAGTTTGGATTCGTTGTCAGCCGGGGGCTTGCAGATCAAAGGAAAATGTCAAGAGAGCGCTGGGGGTAACGAATATACAGTAGACTAGCAACAGGGCACCAAGAAATGAATCAGTTAGGTGTAGTCCTTCGAAAGGCGGCCAAATAAGATTTTCGCTGTAATGTGTGTCTCCAAACAGTCGTAGTTGATCATCCGTGCCTTTCTTGGAGGGGAAGCCAAAAGAGGCTAGAACAGCCCTAGTCACATGTGCCCCAGAATTAATTGATGGAAAAGGAACGCGTCGACCAAGGTTGTTCCACGCCCCAAATAGAAGCAGTCTCCTTCTTTAAAACACGTCCGCAACCTCATCTACACAGGGTGATTCCATCACTCACGCGACCACGAATCTCAACACTTTAATTACGGCGCTGTCTAAAGTCCTATTCGGCGCATCAACTAATTCGCTCCCTCTAAAGGGATAACAGCCTCAATATGGCTCCCACGCGCTCTTCTCGTAACAGCGGGGTGGACACCGATACTTCCATGGCTGATGTTTCAGAGATCAGACAGCTACCTGTTGATCCGATGGTACGTGGCACACTGCTCAAGCGGTCTTCAACAGCATGAAATCCACGCCTTCCATCTCCCATATCTATCAGCCGAACTAACTGTCCCTGTTCTATAGGATGTCGACGAAACCCCAGACTTCACAGAAGATTCTGATACAAATCCCAACACTACAGCAAGCAGTGTCGTTGGTGACGCTGTTACATTTGACGGCCGAAAACGAAGATCAGAGGCTACCCAGCTTCGTAGAAGTGTTTTTGGCAAGAAACATGATGTACTTGGCGAGTCAAAGGTGCGTTTGAATCAAGCACTGGAAGTCCACCAAGCTCTATAGACTAACATATATTTGTATCATAGGAAGATGACTCTATTCGACGATTTCGATACCTCCTCGGTTTGACGGACCTTTTTAGACATTTTATCGAGACAAATCCCAACCCGCGGATGAAAGAAATTATGGCTGAGATTGACAAACAGAATGAGGAAGCTGCCGAGAAGGCCAAGAAGGGTCGTAGTAGACAAGGCGGCGCAGCCAGCGAGAAGCGACGAAGAACAGAAGCGGAAGAAGACGCGGAGCTGCTGAAGGATGAAAAGGTTGGAGGCTCTGCAGAGACTGTCTTTCGAGAATCTCCAGGATTCATTAAGGGTGGTGAGATGCGTGACTACCAAGTTTCGGGTCTGAACTGGCTTATATCCCTCCACGAAAACGGTATCTCTGGTATACTCGCAGATGAGATGGGTTTGGGCAAGACTCTACAAACCATTGCCTTCCTCGGCTATCTTAGACATATCATGGGTATTACAGGACCACATCTCATTATAGTACCAAAGTCTACCCTCGATAACTGGAAGAGAGAATTTGCAAAATGGACACCCGAGGTCAATGTCCTAGTCCTCCAAGGAGCTAAAGATGAGCGCCATGCCTTGATAAACGAACGTCTGATTGACGAGAAATTCGATTGTTGCATTACGAGTTACGAAATGATTCTACGAGAGAAATCTCATCTGAAGAAGTTTGCTTGGGAATACATCATTATTGACGAGGTGAGTTTATCGTCATATTTAATGCATAGATGGCCTATACTAATTTGTCAAGGCACACCGCATCAAGAACGAGGAATCTTCGCTGGCCCAAGTCATTCGTCTGTTCAATTCCCGCAATCGTCTTTTGATCACGGGTACTCCTCTTCAAAATAACTTGCACGAGCTTTGGGCGCTGCTCAATTTCTTGCTTCCCGACGTTTTTGGCGACTCGGAAGCCTTTGACCAGTGGTTTTCTGGTCAAGGTGAAGATCAAGACACGGTTGTCCAGCAACTCCACCGTGTCCTTCGACCCTTCTTGCTCCGACGTGTCAAAAGTGATGTCGAGAAGAGCTTGCTTCCAAAGAAAGAGATCAATCTTTACATTGGCATGTCCGAAATGCAAATCAATTGGTACAAGAAGATTCTTGAGAAGGATATTGATGCAGTCAATGGAGCTGGTGGAAAGCGCGAGTCGAAAACACGTCTCCTGAACATCGTCATGCAGTTACGAAAATGTTGCAATCATCCATATCTTTTCGAGGGTGCCGAGCCAGGACCGCCTTACACCACCGATGAGCATATTGTCGTCAACGCTGGAAAGATGGTTATGCTTGATAGATTGCTCGTGCGCCTAAAGAAACAAGGAAGCCGAGTTCTTATCTTCTCTCAAATGAGTAGATTGTTGGATATTCTGGAAGATTACTGTGTCTTTAGAGAATTCAAGTATTGCCGTATCGACGGTGGTACTGCTCATGAAGACCGTATCTCGGCTATTGACGACTACAACAAAAAAGACTCCGAGAAATTCGTCTTTCTCTTGACCACTCGTGCAGGAGGTCTTGGTATCAACTTGACAAGTGCAGACATCGTCGTGCTCTATGACAGCGATTGGAATCCACAGGCCGATCTACAAGCTATGGATAGAGCTCATCGAATTGGTCAAACTAAGCAAGTTGTGGTCTACAGATTCGTTACAGAAAATGCCATAGAGGAGAAAGTTCTGGAACGTGCTGCCCAGAAGCTTCGTCTTGATCAACTTGTCATTCAACAAGGTCGCGCACAAACTGCTGCTAAGGCTGCCGCAAATAAGGATGAGTTGCTTAACATGATCCAGCACGGTGCAGAGAAAGTTTTCCAGACCAAGGGCGCAACCGGAGCTCTCGCACAAAATGGTGCTGACTTGAACGACGATGATATTGATGACATCCTCAAGCACGGCGAGGAGCGCACAGCGCAACTGAATGCTCGTTATGAGAAGCTTGGGATCGATGACCTGCAGAAGTTCACGTCTGAGTCTGCATACGAGTGGAACGGTCAAGATTTCACGAACCGCAAGAAGGAGATCGGCATCAACTGGATCAACCCTGCCAAGCGTGAACGCAAGGAACAGTCTTACTCGATGGACAAGTACTACAAGCAGGCTTTGTCTACTGGTGGTCGCACTGCAGATGCCAAGCCAAAAGCCCCTCGTGCGCCAAAGCAAGTAACAGTCCACGATTATCAATTCTTCCCAGGCATGCTCCGAGATCTTCAGGACCGCGAAACCGCATTCCATCGCAAGGAGATTGGCTATAAGGTTCCGCTTCCTGACGGTGAGGAGGCTGATCTTACCGACCGTGAAGCCGAACGCTGTTTAGATCAAGCCGAGATTGACAATGCCACCCCACTTACGGAAGAGGAGCAGGAGGAGAAACAGCGACTATCTCAGCAAGGCTTCGCTGACTGGAACCGCCGAGACTTTCAACAGTTTGTCAACGGCTCTGCCAAGTTCGGCCGGAAAGACTTTAATGGAATTTCAACCGAGGTTGACAGTAAAAATGCAGATGAGATCAAGGCTTATGCAAAGGTTTTCTGGCAGCGTTATACTGAGATTGCCGATTACTTCAAATACATCAGCTTAATTGAGGCAGGTGAGGAGAAGACTCGCAAGATGGAACACCAGCGAAAGATGCTGCGAAAGAAGTTGCAACAGTACCGAGTCCCATTACAACAACTCAAGATCAACTACTCAGTCTCTACCACAAACAAGAAAGTTTATACTGAGGAGGAGGACCGGTTCCTGCTTGTCTTGCTGGATAAATACGGTGTTGACAGCGACGGAATTTTCGAACGCATCCGTGACGATATTCGTGAAAGCCCACTATTCCGCTTCGACTGGTTCTTCTTGAGCAGAACTCCTATCGAGATTAGCAGACGATGCACTACTCTCCTCACGACCGTGGCTAGAGAATTCGAGGACGCATCTGCGCCCAAGGCAACCAATGGCAAGGGCAAGAGAGAGCCTGACGACGATGAAAATGATGAAGACAGTGTTCTTGGTATGGGGCCAGCTAAGAAGAAGTCTAAGAATGGCGTGAAGGTATTATATTCCTTCTTCAAGCTACTTATCGTTTACTGATTTTGCGACAGAATAAAGCTCTTGACAACGTCAAATCGGCCGCCGGAAGCAAAGCTGGCTCTGCCACTCCTTCCTCGCGAGCCTCGAGTGTTGCTTCTAGCCCTGCACCTACCTCGAAGAGCAAGTCCAAGTCTAAAAAGAAATGAGCGCATGTTATGTATGTAATTATTAATGGTTTCCTTACGGCTCTGTACTGGTCAAAATAGGGGCGTAGCGAAGACTTGGTGGCATCATTGTTTTGGCGTTTTGAAGAAGCTATGGGGAAAACGGGGGGCGATATATTCCTTGTCCTAGAAAGTGGAAGCGGAAAGCAAAAGATGCTATGGAAGCAACTGTAGAGCTATTTGCAATGAAGACTATTTTTAAATTCGTCCCCCCTTTTTTTAACAAACAGTCACATGATTATTCCTAGCGGATATGCTGACTAATGCTTTCTCCCAATTTTCAAAAAATCCGTTGCCGGACCCAGAACCCAGCTTCAGACATTCGATTCTCATAACTCTTGTGTGGCCTTTAGAAAAACTCACCAAATTGAGGTACGTAGTACAACCGTTTTTTCTTGCGGGGATGTGGATGGAAGATATCAACAATATGAGTTGCTTTTTTTTGGCGAATTAAAACCCGGGAGCTCGATAGCGGCAGTCGCATATATTTTCTTTCAAGTTCATATTCCACCTCCTGAACTAGTGATTATTGAATTCGCAAATACGAAGATTCACTAGTCGTCTTCATTCAACTCTTTACATCTTAAAAATCTAGATAAACTGACAATTCACCAGCCACCACCATGCCACTCTCAGCCAAATTCAACGGCTTGGAGCTGCCAGCTTCAGCAGACTTCCACGTCCATCTCAGAGATGGAGCTATGATGAAAACAGTAGTCCCAACCATCCGCGCCGGAGGATGCAACACGGTCTACGTAATGCCCAACCTGATCCCCCCGCTCACCTCCGCCTCAGACGCCCTGGCATACAAAGCCCGGCTGCGCGAACAGGACCCCAGCATCAACTACCTCATGACGCTGTACTTGCACGAGAGCATCAGCCCCGCCGTCGTCAAGGGAGCGCGCGCGCAGGGTATCGTGGGTATTAAGAGCTATCCCGCCGGCGTGACGACGAACTCGAGTTCAGGCGTTCTGTCGTACGAACCCTTCTATCCTGTCTTCACGGCCATGGAGCAATGTGGCTTGGTGCTGAATCTGCATGGGGAGTGTCCGTCGGGGAAAGACATCACGATCCTTAATGCGGAGAGCAACTTCTTGCCCACGCTCAAGAGTCTGCATGCCAAGTTCCCGAAGCTGAAGATCGTGCTGGAGCACTGCACTACTAAGGATGCTGTTGAGGCCGTGAGAGAATGCGGTCCGAATGTCGTAGGAACCATCACGTGAGGAGCTATTTCTAACCGCCGTCCCGTTGGAGTTTGAGTTTGATGGGAGATTGACTATGAAGCTAATTGGTATATTCACTTTCGCAGAGCACACCATTTATATCTGATTGTAGATGACTGGGCAGACAACCCATTCTCGTACTGCAAGCCCGTTGCCAAAAACCCAAGTAACACACATAATTTCTCCTAATCACTCACCCGGCTTTTTAAGACTCCAAACTATACTATATCATACTAACCCATACACAAAGGTGACAGAGAAGCACTCATTAAAGCGGCCCTCGACGGCACCGGGAAGTTCTTCATGGGCAGCGACTCCGCCCCCCACGACATCAGCGCCAAGAAAGGCGGCACGGGCAAGACAGCCGCAGGCGTCTTCACCCAGCCCTACGTGACGCAGCTCGTGCTCGGCGCTTTCGAAGAAGCCATCAAGCGAGAAGTTGTCACCGAGGCAGACGTCACGGCGGAGATACTAGAGGGTTTCCTAGGAGGCTACGGACGCAAGTTCTACGGTATTACAGACAGCAGTAATGAGAAGATCGTGTTGGTGAAAGGGGCAGAGGCGGTGCAGGAATCGTTCAAGGGGGATGGCGTAGAGGTTATACCGTTTCGGAAGGGACAAAGCACGTGGAGCATACAGTGGAAGTAGAGTAGGGTATGGAATCGATTCATCTCTATGAACCGAATCTGCAAACGACTGCGTCGCTTGCGATGCCCCAACTCGCCTCGCCAAAGCAAAGCATCTAAATGTAAGCGCCGACCCATGATTGAAAGTGAAGAAACGAATGTAAGTGCAGTACAAGTGCAAGTACAAATACAACCAAAAATTAAAACTCCACCAACATCAAAATCCAAATCCACCAATCTCGGGGAAAACGCCAATTGTATGCACGATGGTTTCAAGCGCCAGTAAATGCACTGCCCGTCCAGCAGAGTAGTGAGTGAAAACGCTTCAAATGCACCGCACCGTACAGAATCTTTGTTTTCCAATCCCACCAGCCAGTGTAAATGCAAACGACAGCGCCTTACGATGTATGCTTTGTTTGTTGTGTATGTGTTTAAAAAGGAGAAGTAAAAGGGGGGGCCAGTCAATAGCCCGTTGCAGCGTCTGTAACGAAGGTGATATAACGAGTGCGTGACGAAGCAGCAGGAAGCCCGCAGGCAACGAAGAGAAAAGTATCGCTGAGGGTAAATAGACACGCTAGTTGGCAGAATGGAGATCTGCTCAATGCCATAACGACGAAAGAGTACTGAGAAGCACCACCAGTCGTGATATAGTAGGGGGTAAGTAAAGCAAGGTTGAAGATGCCAGTCGAGCAAAATGATGGATCGGGAAGGAGCGAGGGGTGCCAAAGGATCGTCTGCGGTTTTCAATGCTCGAGAGCTGTCAATCTTCAGGTCTGACAGTGTACTCAACGAGGCTTGAATAAGACCTCATCCTCATCATCCTCATACTTGGGTTCTCCATCAGTTCGGATACCGTTGTCACCCTGCAGCATCGAGAACCGATTGTCGGTGTTGAATACGTCTTGATTGTGTTGAGGTTGCTGACCGATGGGACCAAATGAGCTGCCATTGCTCGCTATAAGACAAAGTCAGCTCTCAGAACAGGAAGCAACAGGAGTTTTCTGGATGACTTACAGTGGCCCTGATGCTTATTTGGGTCAGAGTAACTGCCCATGAATGGCGGAGCCTGGATACGGCGACGCCATGGCCCTGCTAGCCTACCAGGGTTACTTGGGCGCCTTGCCAAGGCTGGCGAGGACAATTGCGCAGGCGGGGATTGCGGGGACAGGGGCGTCATGGTAATGCCATATGCTCGGCGATACCAATTTGGCACTCCATGAGCCAAACCCAGAACATGTTGCGTGGCCTTGTCCATCGGCATCTCGTGCTTGTATTTGCATCCCATCTGCGTGAAGGCACAGACACCCTCATGAATCCACTTGTCGCAATATATCTTCTCTCTACGCATAGGAGGTAGGGGCCGGCCATTTGCCATACCTGGTGGAAAACCCGAAGCTTGAGCGATAATCGTATCAATGTTACGCTGGGATATGTGTCAGGGATTTATCTGCAAGTGTGTAGAATAGAAACACACCGGTGGGAAATATGAATGTTGCAGGCTTACCTGGACTGCATTGGGATCAACACGAGATACGGCTCGAGAACGGCCTTGTCCATAAGTTGGCAGACGGTCGAGAAGCTACCAAAGTTAATAGACTGCCTTCCCACCACGAAGAAGAGCTTACATCCGAGGGAACAATGGGATCATCACCACCTCGGCTGTCGGGAGAAGACTGACGGGGGGGAGGAAGGATAATCAGACCCTCGCGACCCTGTTGCTCTCGAAATGGACGGTTGAGATTGCCTACAGAACCCAGTCTTGGGTCGTCTGCACGAATCAGTCTAGTGTACGATCCATCATCTCGTCGAATAGCATAGCCAAATGCAACATCCAGCTGCGCATCTTCAGGCTCGACGGAACCGGGTCGGACAGTGCTGAGTAGTTCGCCAGCCCTGAGGGATCCATTACGGGAACGATTCGGAAGAACAACGGCATTGCTATGGGGTGGGCTGCGGCTCCAGGACGGGCTCATTCCTGAAGAAGAACTATGCTCATTGTCGCTGTTCTCATTACCGTCAACGAGGCGTTCAGAACGTTCACGGGCAGAGTGGTGCGAGTTTGAGTTCGACATTTCCGCTGCGGCTATAGATGATTTAGATGTGGTTGTTGATGTAGCACGGGCTCTGTGATCATCAGTTGAAGTCAGCAACGGTTGCCTTCCATTCTCGCTCGTGTTTTGGTTGACGGTCTGAAGAATAGACTTGAAGGGGTCAGAGGATATTCGAGGCGAGGCGAACAGTGCCTGCGTTGATGACATTATCGGAAGCTGAGGGCTTGACCAAAGCGAGCGTGGAAGGCAAAAGTATTGGGAAGATGAAAAGATGAGTACGAACAAGAGAATCTATACAGCCTATGGAAAGGCTGCAAAGGCACTATCTGAAGAGAGATCTCGGGTCAGCTAACGGAAGCTTCAGGGAGTAGTACGACGGCAAATGTACCTTTTGGAGAACAGAATCTTTCGGAGAATTCTTTAGAGTTAAATACCTAGATAGAAACATCAGTGCCCTTGATTTCACGGCGTTTGCCTGGTAGCAAACGGATCGCTGCAGCATACCCGATATGCACTTGACCACCAGCACAAGAGACAAAGCTGGCCACAAACAGTTGCAAGTTTTGCAGAAGCTGAAATCAGTTTGCAGTTGATGATGAGCACTTGCATCTGATCTTGCAAAGCTTTGTGGTAGTCAAAGTATGTTCGTCCAAGTCAGGCACTGGGGAAGCAACATCAATGGAGCAATTATTTGACGAGCCAGGGTGCATGGATTGCGGGAGGGTAGGTGAAAATTTCCGATACACATAGATTTGCTTTCAGAACGTACCTGATTGTGGTGAATGGCGGTATTTCGTATTATTTCCCGTTGTAAGTTCTGGCTGATCGCCAGCAGAATGGCTATCAAGTGCCTGTTATTATTAGGCACGCCTATATATAATAGAGACAAAGAAATACAGCCAATGGAAAGAGACAGTCTTACAAATAAATGTGTACGAGCCGCGTATAACAAGGCGGCGTATATGTTGTGGGTGGCTCACAATGACCTCGCTCTGTGTTTGAGGATAGGGAAAAGCGAGCCTGGGAAGAAGTCTGGCTTCGATCGAATTAATACAACGTTCTTCAATGACACCAGACCTGGCCTTAGATATAAACCAAGTAATAACTGACTTAGAGTTGCGACTGGTAGTGTCTGAAATTTGATCGCTGGTGTCGAGATGTTGAAAGGGAAGGTGGAACCTCGAGGGGAAAAGGTGAGTGCTTTATAGCTTCGCTACGAGCAGGAAATGTGTACATTGCTGGTGATTGAATAAAAGGAGGCGGAGGTACTGTATGTCCGGTGGCAGTTCTGCCGCGCAGCACAGTGCTTTCAAATCCTATTCACAGGGGTTGAAAGATGTGTGTGAATCGAATTTGCCGATGTCGAAAGCATTAATAATATACTTATTCGGGAAATGCAGGCCCGCTTGACATCTAATTCTTGATTAGCATTCTAGCCTCTTGTTATCATCCTTATAAGACTTTGACCAATGTAGAAGATGTTAGAATTGTTATCCGTCCTTCATCAAGAGGATCAAGCGAGAAGCTTAGCTCGAACACCACTTAAAGGCCCCAAAATTGGACCCAGCAGAAGCATACCTCTATAGGGAAAGCAGACTGATGTTCATGTATACTATTGTTGCATTAAATTGTCTAATATTTCCTTGAAACGAATAGCACAACACTATTTCTCACTATCTGTGGGTGAGAAGTAAACCGGGAAGGTTTTTTACCCATCCCGGTTCTAATTTAGATTATGAAGACTTCTTGGAGGTTGAGGAATAGAACTGTGTTTGAACGCTCGCGGGTGACAATGTGACAGTGTGACAACAAGAGACCGGAGGACCCTCAGCCTCCGACCCTCAGCCTCCCGAGGCGAAGCGCATTTGCCCGCCGTCGGAGAGAAGGCCCTTTTTAAGTCTCTCTAAGCCGGAGAGCTTGCCAGCTTTATAGATTTCCTGTGCTTTCTGGCTGGGGGGAGGAATTCAATTGCTGTGGAGATCGACACCTCGTCTTTGTCGGCCCAAATGTTGACAGTAAGGTCCAAAAAGTAGTCCTCTAGACGTGCAATATGAGACTAGCTATAAATTTCACCCTCATGCTGTTTTGAAAGGGCATGTTTGCCTCCAAAAAATCCCCCGTGCAATTTTAAAAAAGGAAGATGGAACTTGGTGATCGGCGTTTTGATGAATATCCACCAAACTTGCAATTACAATCCCAAATTTTGAGATGTTTTGAGCCAGAGATACATACTTTTAGAACTTTGGCCCTGTTGCGGGCATGGAATCGCGGTATGATTGCTGCCGATGCCAAATGACACCCTGGAAACTAGTTACACAGAGGGAAATATATGCTACAGGATCATTGCTTCTTGATGTATCAGTTCAGAGGCTACTAGCAAGTGCTCAAGAGCAAGATCACAATCAAAATAGTTTGCCGTGGAGAAACGATCTCTTCATGCATAGAAAGACGCTGCAATTTCAAATACATACCGGGCTTCTTTCTTGCTGAAACTATTCCTGTTTCTAGATTTCATATAACGATCGTCTGATTGGATGTTTACAATTCTATTCCCATAGTCGAAACTGGACATTCACACCGCGAGGCTGACTCAAAAGTTATCTTTCCTTAATGAGCCACTCTAGCCGGCAGTGCTGAAGCTCCAACTGCAATACAAGATGCAAAGCTTTGTGTTTTCCCCAACTCTTGATTTATAATAATACCGATGGGTTCTTGGGCTTGAAACGAAGAACAGGTAGAAGAATGCTGGGGTCTGTTTTCGTATAGCTTCAATTTCTTCTATCGCTTTGGAAGGATTTCGCATATTCATACTTCGGGTTTATGAGATACTTTGCAGTTAAGACAAGTAGAGAAGTTAAATCTACAACTAGAACATGTTCAAGGTAAAAGCTACCGATGCAAGGCATTTCGTCTCCAGGTCTAATGGTATCCTTTCTTCCCCCTTGAGTCTCATGGGGGATGCTTCTATATACTGGTAACGAGGAAAGGTCATGTAGCAAATTGATGGAAAGTAAAAAGCAGAAGTAGCAAATCGATTACAACAAGAACTCAGGATAGATACTAGACAAGACTCAAATAAGTCAACAAAGGTAACTAGCCAATGATTAAGTAGTCCTTGACCATCGCTTGAGCCGCGAAAGAGCTATCATTTCATTCAAAAGTGAAGGCGCCAAAACATTTGGTTCCGGGATATCAATGTCGAGAATGTACTTGAAGAGTTCTGGCTGTGTGGTGGGCGATCACAGGGCTGTGAAAGGGTGATTGATGAGCTCCCCAAGTTGAGTTTAGAAGCATCAGAAAGTATCAGCAAGCGCACGGTTTCATATGGGAAAGGGCTCACTGGGGTTCGTACCAAACTTCATTAGGATTATGAACGTTCGGTTTCAGGCAATATTGCTGAGAAGTGGCATCTCCCACTTTGAACGCTCTAATATCAAGAAGGCGCGAAGCACAGCAAAGCGATGACGTTGCTTGATTGGCTCACGCACCAGAAGCGCGTGGGCGCAAGTAAACCCAGAGAAACGTAGAGTCGGACTGTGGGTTTTCTATGAGGGTACCTAGGTATGTTGATTAGGGCACGAGGAGAGACCCGGTTGCCTAACTGAGCATGATGAACGTCCAATGGTACTACCACCAAATTGCTCCTCCACTGCTGACGCATACTCACTATCGGATCTGACTGCTGTGGCTAGGTACGGTACTATATGCGATTTTGTAGGGCTTTGCTGGTCTGGTTAGATATAAGGATGCTGTGGATGAGCGAGGGTTGAAGGGGCTATGAAGCGTGTATATGAGAAGGGCAGGCCGGCGGAGGTGGACGTGGAAGTGGAAGTTGAAGTTGAGAGAATAATACTACCGGTACTGGATGATACCGTGATACCGTACATAATGCCGTTCTCACTTCCAGCTCGTGGAAGCAAGGAGAAGGTATTGGCGGTGGCATGGCATGACGTTGTCACCAAGCCAAGTGATGAGACAAGGATGAGTGAGATTGGATGGAACGGGTTGGTCAAAGGTCCGTGCGGTGAAAAGGACTACAATAGCAACAGCATTTGACAGTAAAGTGCCTTATACTTTGAGACATTGTGTCCTACGAGTCCATTCATTCATTTCATTTGCATCATTTGTTCTCTTTTGATTCTATTATATTTAAATATCGTCAGTTGATGATTCTCTCTTGTAACGGGTACACATCCACAAGACCTTTCCCCCTCCCTATGGAAAACCCCAAAGCAAATGAAATGATACAAACACCTAGCTGCAGAGCCAAAAAAATTAATGCAAACATACCTTCGCAGAAGAAATTATGCGTATACTACACCTTATCAAGCATGATCAGGTTATTTATGTCACAATTGATACAAGTCATTACAGTTTATGTATTGGTTTTATTAATGACGCTAGCTCCTTGAGAATGTCTTCAAAGAACTATAATCTATAGATATCTTTCTCTCTCTGTGCCGGGCATGTCTTATGTGCATGCATGAGATGGCGCGGGAAAGCAAAGGCAAGATCCCCAGTTACTCCACCCGCCCTACTCTATCTCCCAACCGGCCAGAATGAACCTTTATGCATGGAAAAAGAAAATATCTATATGGGATGGTTGGTGAGCTTGGTTTATTGCGCAAGCTTACGAGCTTTCTTCCTTTGGACCAGCTTCGCAAGTTCCCCTCTTAGAAATCTCCTTGCGATATCAACCTTCGGGGCTTGGTCAGTGTGTGCCAAGTCTTTGAGTCCATCGAGCAGGACACGGATCTCAGATTCAGTCGTGATCTGAGGGCAGTTGACGATGATCCCGATATGGGACATACCACAGAGCGAACAATCGGTTCCCTCGATCGGTTTCGGTGATAGCCCAGCATTTGACCGCTGAGGATTCGACTGCTGGTATGTGCTTGGGTTTCTTTGGTGTGTTTCCCCGGGTCGCATTATTCTCTCTGGCCCTCTGTGACCTTGCGCTTCTTGGTTGGTCGAGTGTCCACTGACTTGTTGTGGGAAACTCCCATTGCTGGGGATGAATTGGCTTGTGGGGGGGATAAGAGGGGGCATGGGCCGGTTTTGGGAGCTATCCATGTGGAAGGTTGGTCTCTGGATGGGCCCGTTATTGTTAATTTGGGGCTGATTGGATTGAGTTGGGAGACCTTGTTGCTGGGGCTGTCCATATTGGAAGCGTAGCTGTGAGACAGGGTCTGCGAATTGGACCGGGAGGATAGGAGCTTGATTCGGACGATCTTGGTGGTTGGAGGCTCCAGGGGGGAATCTGTCGCCGCTTGGGTATTGCTTCGAGGGTTTTGGTTCGGAAGACTTTTTGGGGGGTAATATGGCTGCCCTAGGGACTCCTTTCCTGGTGTTTGGAGGGGGCTGGGATTGGGGCTGGGGTAGGTATGAGCGTGAGTGTTGTTGTTGTTGCTGTTGGTGTGGATGTGGATGTGGGTGGCCATGTCCTTGGACGTGTTCATGACTGTGAGAGGAGGATTTTGTCTGGTAGTCTGTTGTGTTGAACTGTTAGCATGCTGAGGATGCTTGATGTGTTTTTGTTTAGCCACAGCGTTCTTTTGAATTGAAGTTTGGACGGCTTGCACTTGCTTGCCACTAGAAACGATGACTGGATACGCTGTAGAAATCTGCGTCTTTACGATCTTCGCATTAGAACCTGCGGTCGACTCCTCCATAGAGTTCTTCTGATTTTGAATGCCTTGAGTTGCCAGAGGAGGTTTCGAAATAGTTGATCGCTTGATGCTACTCGTTTCATCAGGATCTTGCGTCTTGCTGATGCCTGCTGAGTTCTTTGTAGAACCATCTGGTGGTTTTGAAGCAACAAATTGGTTTACAGAGCCCTTTTTGGCAGCAAAAGCTTTGTTAGAGCTTAGCGGTAACTTGCCAGCGCCGTTCTGCTTTTTCGCTTGAGGCGCTTGAGGTTTGCTCTTGGCGGTCTTGGCGCTGGGTGTTGTATACTTGACCTTTGTCACCTGTTTCGCTGGCGTCGCTGACTTGGCGACTGAAACCGACTTTTGAGGGGTTGGACGTTTCTGAACTTTTTTGCGCGTACCTTTCGAGCGATCTTGACTAGACTCCAACTCCCGGGGATCTATCCCGTCGCCTGGGTCAGACTCTTCATCTCCATCCGTATTGTCAGCTTCAGCGAAATCTAAATCACTGGCCGATTCGTCGGGACGGCGTTTCGCTTTCGGGTGTGTAGACGGTACCGCATCGTCGTCGACGTCCATGTTAGACCTTTGATAATTGACGTTCTATTTGGTTAGTATCAATGAATTCAACAGAAGGCAGGGCAGCTTACGTGGCGAGCACGTTTTCCACGTCCAAATTCGTGCATGTTCCTTTTTGCTTCTGCTGCTGCATCCGCTTCGCGTTGCTTTAGGATCTGCTCCCACACTGAAATGTCGGGAGCAGCTTGTTCTGCATCTGGATCACCAACGTCATCTGTGAGGGTGCCTTTATCATAAGCCCAAACACGTGCAAGGGAGAATTGAGACTCTGCAGTCTTATCTTCGTCCATATTAGTATTCTCGACTTGAGTTCTATCTAGGAGCTTGTCCACAGATGCCGAGTCATAATGGATGTCGTTGCGATCGTCATCATTGAACAATGCCTCTGTACCATGCTTGAGAATAGATTCCATATCAACACCAGCATCATCCTCGGCGCCGATAGTCTCTATCAAAGCGCCGAGAGCTAATTTTTTGCGACCGATTTGAATGATTTTCTCTTCGGCTGTATCTTTGGTCATTAGCTGGAAGACGAGGACCTTTTTTTGTTGACCGATACGATGAGCACGAGAAATGGCTTGGATATCTTGCTGGGGCTATATTACAGTTAGCAAAATATTTCCCAAACAGGAGTAGAATGTGTTAGTCACATTGAAGTCAGGATCCTAGGATAGAAAAATTAGTTTAGGTTACGACTGAGGGGATTGAGAGACATACCATGATGATAACAGTGTCCGCGGTTGCCAAATTGATGCCCACCCCTCCAGCACGGGTGGAGAGGAGACACGCAAATATCGGGGAGTCTTTGGCGTTGTAGTCGTCAATTCGCTTCTGCTTCTCTTGGGCGCTAACGGTACCATCGATACGCCGAAAGGTAAGGTCAAGGCCTTTCAAGAAATCTTCAATCAAGTTGAGTTGATCTAGGAATTGACTGAACATAAGAACACGATGGCCACGTTCTCTCAATTTAGGCAACATGAGCTCTAGAAGCTGAAATTTGGCGGAAGCATCGATAAGGTTTCGATGCATAGCTTCTTCGCTCACAGAGGTCTCTTCAATAGCAGAGCTGTACAAGAAAGGATGGCAAAGACATTTGCGAAGTTGCATCAGTATGTTGTTCAAATTGCCCCTTTCTGTAGGACGAAGAACCGCTGTGCTTTGACCAAAGATTGATTTGATAAGTTGCGGGTTCTTAGCCAAAATGGACTTGTAAAGCTTTTTCTGGACAAGGCTCATGGTTACTGGAAGAATCACTTGCGCAAGCGTTGGCAAATGTTTCAAAACTTGAAGTTTTGTTCTCCTAAATCACAGAGTAAGAGGGGGGTCTCGACTAATTGACCGAATAATTACAACTTACCTGAGAAAGAATGGTTTGATAAGGTCCTGGAGCTCCGGTATGTTCTCCTTTGTCAGCTCCTCGTATTCATCGTCCAGTTTAGAAGCGTTTAGGGAAGAGTCAAGGAATTGAAGAAGATTAAACAGCTCGCGTTTGTTGTTCTGAAGCGGTGTACCTGGGCCTCAAAATCAGCAGAAGTTTTTACAAGATCAGTGATTTTACTGACCAGTCAGGAGGACCTGGAAGGGTGCTTTCAAGGCCTTCAGCGCTCCATACAAAAGATTTTCGTCGTTTTTCAAACGTTGGCCCTCATCCACGATCAAGCCAGCCCACTTGATTTTCCTGAAAAATGATCGACTATGATCATCCACTGGTGCCTCGTAAGATGTGATTACCACATGGGCTCTCATTTCCGAAGAGTTACCAGGATATAGTTCATATTCATAGGCCATTTCGCGAGCCTTCTTAGCACCATAGTAGGCTACAACGCGGAGACCGGGTGCCCACTTCTTAAGTTCTCTGCGCCAATTTGGACACGTCGAGTTAGGCGTGACTACGAGGAACGGCCAGCACTGACAAGATCAGTTGGGTTGCGGTAAGAAGAAAGAAAAAACATACCTTGGGACGATCCTTCACGAGATAAGCCATGAGAGCTATAAGTTGTACAGTTTTTCCTAGACCCATTTCATCGGCCAGAACGACGTTCTTCTTCTGGTGAAACTTTTCGAGAAGCCAATTGAAGCCTTCGATTTGGTACTTGAACATGGGAAAAGTAAGCTCGGGGGGCTGTTTCGTTTGCAGCCCAATCTTCTTTTTGTAGTTGAGCGACCGGAACTCGTCAGCACGTTGCTTTAGAATCAGTGCAGAAGGTTGTTTAAAGTATTTCCCAGCAAGATATTCATTATAGGCTGCCACGAAGGCGCTCCATCGGTCCGTCTCCTCAGGTTTGGGGGGCGCCTCCCATACCGCATCGTCATAAGTGAGACCTTCGAATTTTACAAAAACTTGATCGATCATGCTGATTTGAGCCTTATCGACTTCTTCAGACTCGGGCTCGAATTCGGAATCATACTCAACGTCCAATATGATTTCCATGGTAAGATATTCCTCGGGGATCGCCTCCTTTTCAGTCCATTTGGGCTTCTCATTGGCACCTTCGTCACGGCGAGCGAATGCATTTCGCATAGTCTTAGCAGTGACGCCCCAGACCCAACTGCCAGGCATCCAATTGCATTGAAAGTACGACTTGTCCTCCCACTTGATCAGATATTCCTTTTGGTCTTCTCTGAACTCCTCAAGCGTATCTTCGGGATTGTACGATTCAGGATCTGCAGGTCTCCAAGCAACTAACCCTTGCGGCTTTTCGGGCATGTCACAACAATCTTTGCACTGCCATTTGGGAGTATATTCCTTGAGTCGTGCTACGCGAATCCCCTCAGTATCATTGGGGGTCTTAGAAGTCTTCTTTCGACCCGGGAGATGTACAAAGTGATAAGCCCGCTGACAACGAGTGCAGCGAAACAAGACATTGCGGGGATTGTTGATGAGCTCCTCGGCCACTTTTGTCACGGGATCGTCTCCGTTATTTTCTTCTCGTAATTTCTCTTCTTGCTTTGCTGTCTTTTTGGCGGAGAATGACTTGCAAGCGGGTCCAGGCTTCATGCATCCCTGGCAAATGTCCAGGGGAGGCGCTGAAGGATCCTTTTTCCCTGGGACGCCGATACATTTACGACACTGCATAACAAAATTTTCATGACCAACCTTAGTAACCATGTGCTCTCTAGCACTACGATAACCGAGACAGACTTTATGAATCGAGGTAGAGCAGCCTTGGCAATAGATCAATGGACTCGTGCCTTTATTGGAATTGTTTCCAAATCCCTTGCACACATCACAAATATCCCTATGAAAGCTTGCGAATGGAGATTGCTTCGGAACGGGCTGGTATATCTCTCGAATACTGATGACTTTTGGGGCGTTGGATTTGGCGACTTCATCCGCATAGACTTCCTCGTCCATGTCCCGCTCCTTCATGCTTTTGATGATCCTGTCTCGCCCCGAGCGTCGAGTTGGCTGATTGTCCTCAGAAGAGGACTCACTTTCGCTCACAATGCGATGGGGACGTCCTCTGCCAGGCTTTTCTTTGCCTTGGGATTGAGATCTGTTCCGGCCGTTATTGGCTTTCTTCTTACTTTTATGTTGGACATATTGGATATCCGAGTCTTCGCTCTCGTCCCGCGCACCCTCTGCCAGTTCGTCATTGTTATCATCTTTAGCAACATGCTTTGAAGTGAGGCGGGGTTTGGCTTTGATGGACCGTGTAACGCGCCCAGAAGATCGAGTGGCAACTGGTGCCCCGCTGGTCGTTCGAGTGCCTCTCGCAGTCGAGGAGACTATGTCAGAATCGGAGCTCTCTTCGCCAATAGCGCGTGATGGTGGACGGCTGCTACCACCGCTGACAACCCTGCTGCTTTGTCGAGTGCCATTCTTAGTCAAGAGTGTGATGCGGCCCTTCTCATGACGTCGCTTCTTCGCCGCTCCCTGGTCTGCGTAAAGTTCATCCTCGTCGTCAAAGTCAAGTACCTCCTTGGTGATGTCGACGTAATCTTTGCTCTGGGCCTTTGTACGAATACGCTTCCCCCTGCCGTTGGCATTGACGGACTCCAGACTTTCATCTTGAGAATCCATAACTGATGATGAAGATTTCACCTGGCTATCACCAGTATTGTAGAAATTCAAGGCGTTACGACCGTTTCGAAGGGTAAGAAGCTTGTCAAAGGAAACCTGTTTTGCTCGCGTCAGTTCAAGATTCGACAAGTGAATGAGCTAGTAGAATAGAGTTCGACATAGCAGATGACAAAAAGGGAAAGAGTGAAGTAAGAGGAATGGAGTAGTCGGAAGGGGAGCTCGAGAGGATGATGCGCAGTACCTTGAAAAGCGGAATCTATGAAATCCTGGAGGGTTCCATTGATTTTAAAGCACTTCAGAGGTGACCATTGATAGCGGTTGATACGTGATCCAAACGGCGGAAAAGAAAAACCAAGGACGAGGAATTGGAAGGAACAGTTTCGATGTAGGAGTGGGGAAGGTACAATTAGCTCGAATATGAAGGTTAATTCTAATTGAATTGATGTTCATTCACTTCTCTAAAAAGAAGTCTCCTGCGCTTGATTTTTGAAGCCATAGAGCAGCAATTATCCTTAATAAAACAGAGGCCTACACACTTGCGTTGACCACTTCTGTAATTGGCTTTTGCAAACGGTATAAACGGGGACTTCGTAGATAATCACAATTGAGGATGGTACGAGTCTATCGCATAGTAAATTCACACTCACGTTTTCCTTCCGTCCATCCTCAAACTCAATCTTGTACATCTGCTCGCCATCAAGTTCTTCCGCCTCCTCTAGTACAGTCTCAACAGTTGTATCTCCGCGCCACGGTTGATATTCCCAGGGCCGAGCAGGTGCTGGGACCATGACCGCAAAGCCATCTTCTGCGGACTCTCTGCCCTGTGGACGATCATCGCGGGACATTTGGGGTGATTCTCTAAATCTATGAGACAAGGCTGAATGAGGCTGAGATGGCTCTCTTGTGGCGTTCTTCCTCTCGGGAGTACGGCTTAACTCGTCTTCTGAGCTCTCTGAATTCGATATATGAGGAACGTGTGACATGTCGAAGGTGAATACGCGGGTAGTTACAAGTACTTTCGAATGCGATTCGGCACTGAACCTTACTAGGGCTGATAGGAGCATTAGCATCAACAGGGTTGTCGGTAGAAAGTAGAAATATACCAATAGAGAGACCCGAAATTCAGTCTACTCGAACTGCACGAGGCATCGTTCGTGTCGTAGTCTGAGTAAAACAGGTTGGCAGAATGTGGTATTCACGCCAGCGGGAATTACGCGTTAAAGAGGTGAAATAAGACGCGGCTTGATACGGAAGCGGGGACGAAAGGATACTCCGGAAACAAACTCTACCAAAATTCGAAGTTTCGGCACGCGTTTCAAGAGGGTTTGTCGGGACTGTGGTCGAGGATTTACAATGTCGCAAACATGAATAAAGCACTGGCGCGCCGCCGAGAAAGAGGTTTATCGATAACGAACTAGGGCGAGCCTCGCTAAGCACATGATTATGATTATTTCAAGCTAGCATAGCGCAAAAAATGGGAGACAATCTTTTTCTCGCTATGCTTGCCATGCTTCTAGCTTTGATTGATTTGCCTGAACAAGCGTAACCATACTTCTGGCAAAGTCCATCACAAGCGTATTTCCTAGAAAACAATAGACTTAAGTAAATATTTACGTTCGGATAGAGTTTAGTAGATTGTGGATCCAGACCCTGAACAATCCATCCCTTTTGATTCGCCAGCAGTTCTGCAGACTGGGCCGAGCTCAGGAAATATATCCCGAAATTTTATTTTATTTCTACTTGTACAGCCTTCAGACGTTCTTCTCTGCAGCTATATCTGCAGCTACAGCTACCTCCGAATAACTGCAATGATCAACATTGCCCTGTCAAGAAATATCCGCCATGTGAAAACGTCCTTTAGCTCGTCACTCCTTTCATACCAGTTAAGAGAGGCATCTTCTGTCAATACTGCAATTGCACGAGGACTTCGAAAGTCCAAGGGGGTCGGCTTCAGGGAAAGAGATGGCGGTTCTGAAAAGAAGGGGTATGGTTCCCGAGACAAGAACGAAGGCGGCGTCGTGCGCCGCACTGCCGAGCCAAAGGGTTTCCAACCTCGTCAACCACAGATGAGCCGTGAGGGATGGCCAGGCAAGCCAGACAGGAAAGATGCTCGACGAAGCTTCACAGACACAGAAGTACGGATATACAAGGGGGTCAAGCCCGTCAGAACCGATGCACAGCTGGCGCGCAAGAAGCCCAATCCAGATGGCTCATCTCGTAATGGCGGTTACAAGTCTGACAGACACGAAAGGATGCGGAACATGTTCGATGCTGAACATGAGAGCCGTCCGAAGGAGAAAGCGTGGGATCGGCCAAAGTCCCAGGGGACGCGGGGCTTCGATGGAGGATCATCACGGAGACCCCAATTTGGCGCAAGAGGAAGAGATTCCGACTCATCATTCAGGGATCGTGGCAGCAAGAAATTCTCAAATGTAGACTCTGATGGATCCAGCAATCGACCTGATTCGAGGATCACATACCCTTCATTATCTTTTCACAACCCCAAATCCGAGAAGTACCAACAGGGGTCGGACTTTACAAACCGAAGCGCTGATAGGCAGAAAGAATCGAAACCTGGACAGGAATATCATGGTAGGGAGCGAGAGTCCCGTTTTACGAACCGAAGCCCCGAGTCAAAGAATGGAGCCCCGGTCTCTGCAGACAGGCAGCGACCACCATACTCAGCGGACAGGAAGTTTGAGGGGCGGCAACCATACTCAGCGGACAGAAAGCCTGAGGGACGACAACCGTACTCGGCGGATAGAAAGTTTGAGGGACGACAACGAGATACAGATTCTGCAGCAGGATATACTCAGCGGAGCCCTGTCAAGCGATTTGGATCTGACGCAGATGCTAATGAATCATCTGGTCCGTTCACCATGGGCAGGGGCAAAGTCGATACTTTCGTGAAATCCGACGAAGATTCTTCAACCAGCCGTACTCGAACAGTGAAGCCAGTTGACACCCGACTACCCATTTCAGTTCCTTATACAACCCCAGCCTCCGAATTCCTTTACGGGACGTCCGTCGTGGAAGCTGCTTTGAAATCGAGAAGAATCCCGCGAAGACAGCATTACAAGCTTTATATATACACAGGCGAGAACCGTGAAGCAGTCGATAGAGACGCCAACTTGGAACGGCTCGCAAGAAAGAATCAGGTGGACATTGTTAAAATAAACGGTGATGGTTTGCGTCTCATGGACAAGATGAGCGCAGGACGGCCTCACAATGGTTACATTCTCGAGGCATCACCCCTCCCAAGACTCCCTGTCACAGGCCTAGGCGAAGTCACAACTAAGGATGAGCAAACTGGGTTTGAGGTTGCGGTGGACTATCAATCACGAGAAGACGCCGCAGTCAACGGCACTTCCAACTTCGTCCGAATTCCAAAAGACCGTCACGGTCGAAAACCAATGGTCTTGTTTCTTGATAGCATTGTTGATCCCGGGAATCTTGGAGGTATTATTCGTACCGCGTCGTTCCTCGGCGTCAGTGCAGTAGCAATTGCAACTCGAAACAGCGCGCCATTCTCTCCCGTTGTTCTCAAAGCCTCTGCTGGGGCGTCAGAAAACATGGCGCTATTTTCTGTGAGCAAACCCGCTAGCTTCATTCAAGATTCTAGACTCGCAGGCTGGAAGACCTTTGCTGCTGTAGCTCCCTCCAAAAGCAACGAGTCGCAAGGATCGGTGACTTCTATGTCAACTGATGACCTATTTGACCCACTCTCGGAAGATCCCTGTATTCTCATGCTTGGGGGGGAAGGCGATGGGCTCCGCCAAAATATGCGAAGCAAGGCTGATGTGGAGCTCTACATTGCAGGCGGTGGTCGAAGCCACACTGTTGATAGCTTGAATGTGAGCGTAGCAACTGGGATTCTTTGCAACGCTTTCCTCGCCAAGAGCAAAACGGGAAGCGTACTATCAAAGGACCTGGAGGAAGCAAAAGAAAGTTCCCCCCACGATTTCTTGTTCTAATAATGTATACCACCACTCTCGCCGCTCTCGAAGGGCAAATTGTATGAATAGTTAGACGAAATACCCGAAATCAATGTTCTGGGCTGCGATAGAGCCAACCTACCGTGATTAATGTCCAGCATCGGACCCTCTAAAGAACTGCCAGGGGCCGGAGTCCTCGGGTCTTTGCTTATGCCCCTAGAATGGGGTAGTGCATCATAAGAATACCTGGCGATTCGGTTCGAATTCAGGTGGTCCTTCTGGGATGGATAGCCACGTGGATGCTGGCAAGTTTGTCGCACCATAAGACCTTCTTCTTAACGATCTTCTCGTATATGCCCCATCTATCCTATGTTCTACCCTCCGTATGGAGCGACCTCGGACGGACTGTGGGAAGAAATTGGTTTAGGTTTTGCAAGAAGAAGCGCAATGTCAAAATTTTCATCTGCCAAGATACAGGGGGGGCTATAGCGGGACTGACTGATGCATCTGATTAGATACGCGCATTATCTGATCCGCACTTAGCTCCCCATGCTCCCCTAACGTCCTTATCTGATGGCTAGCGCAAGCCACACAAACGTTAACATGGCGTGAAAACCCCCACCATCTGGAATCCAACCAAGGGTCTGTCAGCTATGACCAGGATCCAGGACTTCTATGCAGCCGTGTGCCGAGATTTCATCCGGCCGGTGGGATGTTTGTACCAATCAAGCTTCGGTATTTGCTTTGTTATTTGCGCTGATTGACTCCAGAGTACACTTTAGAAGTACACTACCTTCTGCTTCTAGGATCTCAGATCTTTTAGTTCCAAGCACATTTCTGCCTGGCTACTTTAGCCGTCAGTAGTCGGGACCAATCCACTCAATATTGCTACCTTTTGCTCCACCCCATTTTCATCTACGTCCTCCTCTTCGTATACTTCAGACTTCCTCTTCAAGTTTTCCATTCCCCAGCAATATCTATTTATTATATATCCTCCTTATCGTTTCTGCTCCTCCACGATGGCAAACGCCACTGCTACTGCCGCTGCTCAAGCCAAAGCGGCCAAAGCAAAAGCAACAAAGTTGGCCAAGATTTTGCGTCAGCGAAACAATGAAAAGTCTGCCAAGTTCTTCGCTGCCGCCATGGTTGGCATAATGGTTATTTTCATCTTATTCCACTGGACACGCATTGCGTTTAAGACTTATGAGAGGAGAAGTAGTGGAAAGGCTACCTTCCTGAGATTTCCAGTCCGAGTCACAAGGTAATAAATACACCCTCCTCACACTGCTGAGATACATTTGCTACATTCATTTATTAACTGATCGAAATAGGGCGGCAAGAAGCGTTCTGATACGCAAATTGCCTCTCTTTCCCTCTACAGGTCATGCTCTCGTATTCGTGGGGTATCTTGCCGCAACGGTCACAGTTACGTTTACCAAGATGGACTGGAGTACACCTCTGAACAATCTAGGAAAACGATTAGGATGGTAAGTCTACTTTGAATGAAAGTGTATCTGTGCTAAATTCCCGACTTTCAGGATCTCTGTTGCCAATCTCGGCCTCGTCACCTTCCTCGCCTTGAAGAACACACCACTTGCATTCTTGACAGCCTACTCGTATGAGCGCCTCAATGTCCTCCATCGAATTGCTGGTTACTCTCTCATAGTATCAATGATCCTTCACGCCACCATCTACCTCGCCGGCGACATCCGCAAAGACAACCTGTCTAACATGCGTGAAGATGATCAAGTAGTGGGCATAATAGCCGGATTCCTAATGCTCCTCTCGGTAGTCCTTGCAGTTCTCGTCCGGAAGATGCGATATGAAATTTTCTACGTCACTCACGTAGTACTGTTCATGGTCACTATGATACTAGTAGGAATGCATCGTCCAGACTTCGCAAAGAAGACTGTCATCGGCGTCATAGTCATCGGCTCGCTGTGGTTTGCCGATCGTGTCATACGGTCACTCCGGACGCTGTTCTTCAGCTTTGGCAACACAGCTACACTTACACCTCTTTCACATGGCGGGACTCGAGTCGTCCTGCGCAAGTCTCCCGGTCGTGCTGTTCCAGGCACGCACTGTTTTCTATGGATCCCGGGCGTTCGTGCACTTGAGTCTCATCCATTCACCATCAGTTCGACGAAGCCTCTAGAGCTTGTTGTTGCGGCCTATGATGGCTTCACCCGCGATCTTCACGCCGCGGCTGTGAAGAACCCTGGACAAACGCTCAAAGCGTCCATCGATGGACCTTATGGCAACATTCCTAACTTCGCAAACTTCACCAAGGTGGTCCTCATCGCAGGTGGCAGCGGTGCTAGTTTTACAGTCGGCATTGCCATTGATCTCCTTCGCAAACTTGGCACATCGCAAACAACCACTATCGAGTTCATCTGGACTGTTCGGGAGCCGGGTAAGCCCACTGATCTAATCGTCTCTTGAAGTACACAAACTGACAAGGAACAGAAATGCTTGAATGGTTTAGCGAACAACTCAAGGAGCTCACCGACTCTCCACTGGTGAATGTCCGTCTTTTCTCAACCCGCGGCAGCAAATCAGACAGCACCCTCGTATCCTCCTCAGACGAGGAAAAAACCTCTCCCACAGACCCACTACCGTCATCCAAGAACGAGCATGACATTGAGAAGCAACTGTCCTCGCCTATCTCAACAGACATGGTTTATCCCCCACAAAGAGGCAGGCCCGATATTGCTGCTATTGTCGATCAGATTGTGGAGAAGGCGGAAGATAACGACCGGGTCGCTGTGGCTGCTTGTGGGCCGGATAGCCTGATGCAAGTTACGAGAAGGACCGTCGCTAAGAACATCAAAGTCAATGGACCTAGTATAGAGCTTCATGTTGAGCAGTTTGGATGGTAGAGCACGAAATAGAGGCAACAGACATGGGATAGGTTGGAGTTGATGGTACAATCTTCGGATATATTGTGAGAAATAATTATAGATCATATGAATTACCCCCTCTATACTAAAAGTGAAAGTCTTTACAAACATAACTTTCCTTCCCCAGATGCGCTCGAAATTTCAATCAGGTGATTATTATTACCCTGAGAATCCGATTACCGGATCATCAGACATGCACTCAAGCCTCATCTAGTAATTAGCAAAGCTGATAAATAAACAAGCAATTACTTAGGCAGAAATAGTTCGTCATATATACCAATACAAATATGCGCAAAGCAGTGGATCTCTGTCGCTGGTAATCTAGAAAGTTTTGCGTAGAGTTTGGAGTTGCCTATAAGAGTGCTGTGCAAGCAAGCGTTGTCTTGATGTTATTTTGTGTTGCTGTACTCAAATATGTATATAAATATAGACGTACACACGTGATATTTGCTTTGCGCTGATTGCAAAGCTTTTCCGGTTTCCTTTTTACGCTTCCGACAAAGTTGTACAAAAAAACTTTTAGTTTCCTGGGATGAAATGTATATCATCGGATAATAACGACAATCATCATCTTCACGTCTTCTTCTTCCCACCATTCAACAGCGGGGCCGTCTCATCTACTTCCACTTCCACTTCCGCCTCCTCTCCAGACGCAGCATTACTCCCCGTCTTTACCTGCGTGGGCGAACTACTCAAAGCACCACCTCCGTGACCGACTTGATGCCGTGCACCATTCTCTGCGTTCTTGGTCACTTCGTCGAATGTGCCTTTGCCGGGTTTGATTTTAATCGTGCTGTTTATACCGCAATGTGAGATTAGTAAACTTTTTTAGTAAGTCATGTTCTAGACGATGACAATCTCTACCCAGAAGAACCTCGGTATCTCGAGTGAGGAAGTGAGTGAGGGAGTGGGAGAGTGACTTGACTTGACTTGACTTACTTATACCGTGTCTGCGCAGGTCTGCTAGCCAGATTCGATGGGCCGAGATGTTTGGGCTTCGGCCCAGCGGCGGCTTTCGCACTCAGTGCCGTGGAGCGTCGACGGAGGATTGGCTGGCGCTCTGGTTTTCCGTCCTCGGGGGGCGGCGGCGTGGCGAGGTCTTTGGTGGCGATGATTATTGCTTCCGAGGGGCCGCCTCCCACGATGCCGGAGGTGCGCTTGATGGATTTGCTGACGTCTATGAAGACGTCTGATTCGTCGATTATTTCTCTGTGAAGTGTCAGTTGTCAGTTTTCCTGGATGATGAATGAAAAGCTGTATGCCCGTAGTAATAGATATTACGTAGGGTGTATTGTATTCTGCGATACTGGAGGAGGGAGAAAAGGGGCTTACTCTCCAATCAACTCTTCAATCACGTCCTCCAACGTCAGCACTCCAATAGCACCATAGTTCTCACCCGGTGACTCGGATACCAACACCATATGCGACTTCCCTTCTTGGAAAAAATTGATGATATCCAAACAACTGGTATCGGGGCCCGTCTCGGGCAACGTCGCCAACGCCAAATCAGACACCTTCTGTGCATCTTCCGGATCATAAGTAATCAGCGTCCTCACAAGCAGCATGCCGATGAAATTATGTGAACTCTCCGGCGTGTGGATAGGGATTCGCGAGTACCCCGCGGCGAGGATCCCGTCGACGGTTTTCTCGTCGAGGACCGTTTCGCTGGACATGGTGTAGACGTCGTCGATGGGGGTCATGATGCTACCGACGGTCTTGGCTTTCAGGTCTAGCACAGCAGTGATGATGGTGACCTCGTCCTCGTTCAAGCGCTCATGCGGGGATTTGCCCATGGACTGGTGCAGCGTGACGAGGGTCTTCAGACCAGCTTTCTTGTACACGGTCCCGTGGTCTTGGCCCAGGAGGTAATCTAGGAGTTTGGCCGTGGGCCAGGCGATGGGACTCATGATGTACATTAGTACGAGCACGGCTGGTGAGAGATATGCACCGATGGGAAGGCCGTAGCGGACACAGATGGACTGAGGGATCACCTCTCCAAAAATAACTATATGGAAAACACAATTAGCGGTCTGTGATTGATTTTTGCTCTGTTCCCAACACCTTATGTACTAGCTGGGAAACAACAAACATACCAATCAATACAGTACTGCTCACGACGGCAGGCCATCCTCCTCCTAGAGATCGATCGAGCACGATAGGCAGAGTTTCGTTAGTGATGACATTGCTCAATAAAAGTGTGACCAAAACCCAATGTTTCCCTCTTTTTAACAACCGCAGGACTTTAGCAGCATGAATTCTCTCCTTGCCATCACCTGATGACTGAATGACTTCCAAGTTGATTTCATCCTGTCCCATAAGTCTATATATATCGCGGGTATTAGTAAGCGGAGTCAAAACATCAAAACATAAGGTATAAACTTACGCAATGGTCAAGCCAGCGAACAGACCACCTAGAAGGACAAGCACCATAGCTATTCCTAGGTAAAGCCACAAACTCGCATCTTCGGGATCCTTCCCATCCTCACCTCGAGCGACGATCGTCACAGCCGCTGATGAGGCAAACGGTAGAGCGAGAGCGCGTAAGAGGGGCAGGTTCATGAGCGCGAGAACCAATACATTTGCGCGCGGCAAAGCAGTACGCTGCGCGAACATACCGGGCATGTTGGTTGTTCTTAAAATACAGTCTGTATGTATGTATGTATGTCTGTTGACTGAAATTCTATCAACAGAGCAAGAGCCTATGAAATTGAGATGCAACTCGTTATTCCCCAATACGTACTCTACCCCAGCCCAAATCCTGTTTGTTAGGTAAGTGTAAGGTAGTCATGGATGGTCCAAGCAGCGCAAAGCCACCACTAAGCACTGACTGTATTACTGCACTCCACTTAAATACTCCGTAAATGCATGACCCTCTCACTGCACTGCACTGCACTGTACTGTACTGTACTGAACTACACTCCACTCCACTCCACTCCACTCCACTCCACTCCACTCCACTTAAATACTCCGTAAATGAATGACCCTCTCACCACACGGTCCACACCACACATGCATGCGCCAAGAGTATGGAAAAGTCAGCACTAGACCGTAAGGGACACATACCTGTGGCGCCAAGCGAAACTCTGCGGGTAGCAGTGGCTAGCTACGAGCCTGCGCCTCGCGTCAAATTCCCCAATTGTAAACTCACTGTCATATCATTTCAGGGGTCGTCCTTCAATCGCTTGTCGTACGAATGAATGAATGAATGAATCAATGAATGGAAGCGCAGGGGCAGTGGCAGTGCAGTGATTCACTTTCAAATGTTTCAGCTTCTGTGAATAATACGGAGGTTCCTGCCGAGTTAAAAGGACAGCAATACCGCTCGCTCTCTCACCTCCCATCTCTTTTTCGCAAACACACATACAAATCAACGCGACTCCACCTCTGGTCCTCTACGACGTTAATACCAATACCAATACCAATACCAATACCGCACTCTAATTAATACCATACCGTCTACCGTACATCTGTACACCGATTCCAACGCGCAGCAAAGCAAGCTCTCTCCGTTCCATTCCATTTCAATCCCTCAATCAAGATGTCGTACCAGCAAGGAGGCTACCAGCAGCAAGGAGGCTACCCGCAACAAGGAGGCTACTACCCGCAACAGCAGCAGGGCTACGCACCCCAGGGACAACCAGGCTACAACAACGGCTACCCTCCCGTAAGTGAACCAGTCTAGTCTAGTCCAGCGCTACCGAACCAAGGAACTCGCCCGTAGTTGAACTAATCCCTTGTTCAATAGATGCAAAACCAACCTATGCCCCAACAAGTCATCGTCAAGGAAAAGAAAGAACGTGGTTGTCTGACAGGCTGGTAAGTTTAATCCCCTCTTCCCCAACCCTCAACCCCCAAAACACATCACATCACAGAACAAATACCTAACTTCCACCTCTCTCCACCAACAGTCTAGCAGCCCTCTGCTGTTGTTTCCTCTGCGAAGAATCATGCGAGTGTTGTCTGGATTGCTGCGAGTGCCTGGAGTGTTGTTTTTAAATGGGGAGCGCAGCGGAGTAGAGTGACAGCGAGCGGCTTGGGAAGTGGAAGATTGGGTTGCGAGATGGGATTCAGGCCATTGGAGGTTGATACAGGAATGGGTTGCAGTGCAGTGCAATGCAATGCAAGGAAGATCGTAGGAAGCGTTGAAGCGCTGAGATAATGATAACGATATACCCCCAAACCTGCCTGTCTGCCATTATCGCGAGCACACTTCCAAGAAGAGATACCTACCTGAGTCATGGAAGGAAGGACGTTGTGTTTGCTAGGTCCTTCATTCACCATTCACTGCAAGTGTAAGCGTGGGTGGGTAGTTGGGGTTCTTGATTTCTCCTCTCCAATACCTGCCAGAACTGCTTCCATACTCAGATCATCCGTCCATCCTTCACCTCAAAACGTATCCCGGAAAACCCACTTTGTTCAATGTCTCACAAGGAGCATATATTAAACTGTCAATCATCTTTCTAATTTCTATAAATATTCCCTGGGTTGATCAGGGGAATGGATATCTTGCTATATCTACCCAACGCCACTGTTGAAGATGCATACCAAGACACGTTGAATGTGCTTTCCGTCCTTTTCTACGCCATGCACTGTTGAATAAATGCCGCTCTTAATCAAAAATAAATCCAAATGTATGCAGAAAGTATCCCTAGAAAAGTCCATCGATCTCTCCCGTCTCGGTATCGACATCGACATTAAGATAGCCGGGAGCTGTGGGCAGGCCTGGGATAGTCTGAATATCTGCAGCAAGTGCGTAACTATAATTTATATGTCAGGTGGTATTGTCAAAGATATGTGTCGAGGAGAATAGACTTACAGATATCCGGCACCAGCCGCTAAGCGAACATCCCTAATTGGAACAGTAAAGCCGGTAGGAGCACCCTTCAAATCAGGGTCATGGGACAGAGAGTACTGCGTCTTAGCAATACAGATAGGCAAGTTACCAAAGCCTTGCTTAGTGTAGGTGTCGACCTTCTTTTGCGCAACCTCGCTAAACTCAACTTTGCCAGCACCGTACATTTGCTTGCCGATAGCCTCAATACGTGTTTGCACATCGCCTTCCAAGCTGTATAAAAGCTTGAAGTCCTTCTCCTTCTCACTGGCAGCGATGACACCCTTGGCGAGGTCAACGGCGCCCTTTCCACCCTCCGCCCAGTGATTGGCGGGGATGGCATCTTCAGCACCGGCTGAGATAGCCTCCTCGCGGATAACTTCGATCTCAGCAGCAGTGTCTGTTTCGAACTTGTTGATTGCAACAACGACTGGTATACCATACTGTCTAGCATTCGAAATATGCTTCTTGAGATTGACGCAACCCTTGCGCAGAATCTCAACATTCTCTTCGCGATATACTTTGTCCAGTGCTCCACCAGGGGTAATGGGTGGACCACCACCGTGAACCTTCAGAGCTCGGACAGTCGCAACAACAACGACTACATCTGGAACAAGACCGGAAGATCGGCACTTGATGTTAAAGAACCGCTCTCCTCCCATGGTAAAATCGAAACCGGCTTCGGTGATGACGAATCCGGCCTTCTCGCTGTGATTCTCGTCAGACTCAGTACCAGCAAGCTTCAAAGCAAGCTTATCAGCCAATACAGAGCTTGCACCGATACTGATGTTCGCGAAAGGTCCAGCGTGCACAAATACTGGCGTTCCTTCCAAAGTCTGCATAAGATTGGGCTTGATGGCATCTTTCATCAATGCTGTGAGGGCACCGCCAGCACCAATATCGTCACAGGTGACTGGATCGCCGCTCTTCGATGATCCAATGACCATTCTCCCCAATCTTTCTCTCATGTCATTAAGGTCATTGCTTAGAGCGAGAATAGCCATACACTCGCTAGCAACAGAGATATCAAATCCTGTCTCTCGAGTCTGGCCCTTCTCGGTTCCTGCGGTTCCAACGGTAATACCTCTCAAGTGACGATCATTAACATCCAATACACGTCTCCAGGTGATGGTAGAGGGATCGATGTCTAATCTTGCGAAACGATGTATTTCATCTTCAGTGAGCTCGTTTGGGTCTGTCTTCGTAATCCCAAGTTTGTTCAAACGGCGGTACATGATTGGTTGGAATTCACGCTTGCCCTTCTTTGCAGGTACAAGGCGCTTGTAAAGCGCTGCGTCTTTTTGGGTGTTCTCATGGAACATTCTTGTCTCAATTGCAGCAGCAAGAAGGTTGTTTGCAGCTGTGATGGCGTGGATATCACCAGTAAGATGGAGATTGAACTCATCCATGGGAATAACTTGACTATAACCACCTCCCGCAGCGCCACCCTTGATTCCGAAAGTTGGACCTTGACTGGGTTGACGGACATTTGCAAAAGCGATCCTGTTGAGATGGGCTCCGATAGCTTGTGTGATACCCATTGTAGTCGTGGACTTTCCCTCGCCCAGGGGCGTTGGGGTGATACCAGTGACCACGATGTATTTGCCATTCCTTCGGTGCTCTAGGCGTTTGAGCAGACTTAAATCCACCTTGGCTTTGTATGCGCCATATGGTTCGAGTTCATGACCAGCGATACCAATTTCCTTAGCAACGCGGGTGATTTGCTTTGGGTGTTGTGCTCTAGAGATAGCAATATCCGAGGGAACCGGTGTTTGAATCTTCAGGGGTAATGGCAAGATGGATCTGGCCTTTTGTCGTTCGAAATATATTTTAGCTGAGTCAACAACATTTTGTAGCAACATAGCAACGGTCATTGGCCCGACTCCACCTGGTACAGGTGTGATTAGAGAAGCAACTTCTGAGGCGGATGCGAAATCAACGTCTCCAACCAGTCTCTGTCCAGACTTTTTGGTATCGTCAGGGACATAGTTTGTTCCAACATCAATCACCACAGCCCCAGGTTTCAACCATTCGCCCTTGACGAAGTTTGGCTTTCCAATGGCTGCAACAACCACATCGGCTCGCTTGATGTATTCTTCAACCCCGACGGTTTTTGAATGGCATACAGTAACTGTAGCATCGGCATTCTTGAGCAGATAGCTGACTGGGCTTCCCACAATATCACTGCGTCCAAGAACTACAGCATTCTTGCCTTTCAGATCCACCCCACTTTCCTGGAGCAAGACCATGACACCCTTTGGGGTACATGGTGTGAACAAAGGGTGCCCTCCACGCTTTGCCAACTCTCCAATATTATTTGTACCAAATCCATCGACATCCTTTTCGTCTGCAACAGCGGAAGTAATTGCATATTCGGAGATATTTTGGGGGAGGGGTAGTTGGACAAGGATGCCATGGACCGTAGGATCGTAATTGAGGCGAGTGATTTGTTCGAGAAGCTCGGCTTCGCTGACTGTTTCGGGAAAGCGGAGAACTTCGCAATCAATGCTTGCCTAGAAGGTATCAGCTGTGTTGATGGAGGTCTAAGGATGAGCAGTTACCTCTTCGGCAGCTTTCAATTTCATGCGAACATAGGTAGCTAAGAATTGTCAGAGATTTTGAGACTGAACTTTGTCAAATAACATACTCGAATCAGATCGTTCACCGACTGTAGGACACAATATTAGCATGCAGTTGCAGCGCAGACGGTCCAAGGGGGTTTATTACCTTGAAAAATCTTCAGAGAAGGTTTATATCTTGGATTGATCTTCTGAGTAGCCTGGATCTCTGATTGAAGTTTCTCACGGATGCTTCTTGCAATGGCAGTGCCATCAATTTTGGTGGCCGTCATTGTGATATGTGTGCTTGAGAATTGCCTCGATTGTGGTTGAGACGAAAGGAAAGAAGAAATCGTGGAGTGAGGGGTGGGGCTGAGAGGTCTTGGTCGGCGCAAACTTGGACCCCGCGATTTTGCAAAGTATCCAACGGCCACTGTAGACAAGGCTGACGCGCTATGTAGACGTCTCAGATTTTGCTTGTATGGCGACCGAGGAAGTCCTGCTGCTACTGTTGATATTGCTTTTAGGGCATACAATGGTAATGGTTTTAGGGCAGGATGCAGATGCAGATGCAGACGCATTCCTATGTGGCAGGTCATGCAAGAGCTTGGCCGAACCCGCGTGTACATTACAATGTCCGTCACGGATACTGCGCTGGACGATAGGTACAAACGGAGTAAAAAGATGCGCTTTGCAGTTGCAATGACAAAAACGAATGACCACGCCACTAAACGGACAATTGCCGTGACTCTGATAAGAAAGAGTAATAACGCGTAGTATATGCAAAGAATGTGAAAAGTGACTCAAGGCTTGAAGGAGCCGGATCTGCCCCAGACAGATTCTTCGCCCAGAGAAAGGGAAAGAAGTTATACTGTAACGGTGTTACTTGGGTGTGGATGTGGCGCTCGTGATTGGTTGAATGGCCCGCACTGTGACTCGATTTTTGGAGGCGAACACACGCGAACTTTTAGAGGGTAATCAAGCCGCAGTCGAAAAACAGCAATAATAAAGCCCCTCCTCGCCTTGCGACTGAGAATAATATCCCACCACTGCAAACATGAGACCAATTTTACTGCAAGGACATGAGCGGGCTCTGACCCAGATCAGGTGCGCATCATCTGCTATGAAAACACTGCGTAAAGACGCCCTACTGACTCTCTCGCAGATACAACAGAGATGGCGATCTCATCTTCTCAACTGCCAAAGACCAGCACGTCTGCGCATGGTACGCACACAATGGAGAGCGCCTAGGAACATATCATGGTCACCAGGGAGCCCTTTGGACTGTCGATGTCGACCCCACAAGCACCATCATCGCCACGGGCGCTGCGGATAATACCGTCAAGTTATGGGATATCAAATCAGGAAAGTGTCTCAAGACATGGGACTTTGACACCGCTGTTAAGAGGGTTGAATTCGCTGAAGATGGATCACGGCTGTTGGCTGTCACGGAAAAGCGAATGGGTTTCTTGGGCACGATCGTTGTTCTGGATATCAACCTTGATGTGAACGCCGAGCAGTCCAGTGAGAAGTCTCTGGTCATTACGTGTGAGGAGAGTAAGGCCACCGTTGCCGGATGGAGCTGCTTGAACAAATACATTATCGCTGGACATGAGGATGGAAGTGTCTCGAAATATAATGCCAAGGTACGGTGATTTAATCAAGATATGGAGGATGACTTACTGATGGAATTTCTAGACTGGAGAACAAATCGACAACGTCCAAATTCACGAGCTAGACCAACTGATCACCGACATCCAATGGTCCCAAGATCGTACCTATTTCATCACCGCTTCGAAAGACAAGTCAGCGAAGGTATGCTAGAAGACATATATTTGGGAACGGGAAACTAACCATCCATTTCAATAGATCGTCAATGTACAGGACCTTGAGATTATGAAAACCTACACCACCGATACACCCCTAAACAGCGCCTGCATCACCCCCAAGAAAGACTTTGTCATCCTAGGAGGAGGACAAGATGCTATGGGTGTCACGCAGACCAGCGCGCGTCAAGGAAAATTCGAAGCCCGTTTCTACCACAAGATCTTCGAAGAGGAGATTGGCAGAGTCAGAGGTCACTTCGGCCCCCTGAACACAGTCGCCGTGGATCCACAAGGCAGAGGGTATGCTTCGGGAGGAGAGGATGGATATGTCCGCGTGCACCAGTTCGACAAGGGTTACTTTGATTTCACATACGAGGTAGAGAGGCAAGCTAAGGCAGCGCAGCAACAGCACCTGTAAAGGTTATGTAGCTTTAGACTTGGTTGCATTTTCTGGCGTTATGGATCTCATCGAAAGGCTTGTGGAACTGGCTGCAAGATAGATGAGGCTGTATGTATGGCCTAATACAGAATTTACTGACTTTTCTATTCCTCCATGTCCGATAGATCGTGCATATGTGTCTGAAGGGTTACGAACAGTCGTCCAGCTGAGGTTGAATGCTCTGTTATGATTGGTGCTTGAGTAGACATGTCACCCAAATCTTGAGGGCGTTTATGTTATAATAAAAGTCTGCAGCTCAATTATGAAGCCTCCTGCACGAGACATTGAAAATCCATACTCGGCTATAAAGCAAAACAAAAGGCACTGCCTTAGGTAACTATCTTCACATAAACTATCTCCGCTACTTCTGTACCTCAGGTTCTCTCACAAATCTCGCCAGTTGACAAATTGCGCGCCATAACACAATTCTACCCACATCATTCCACCGCATCGCATTAAAGTTGAACTCAAAGTCCTATACTAAGTGGAACAGTGTCGATTTTCTTCATTTCACCCCACCAAGCCCTGATGATTTGTAAGCTGAATTGAATTACCCCGCTGATGTCATTACTTTCATCTTTCTCTCCCACCCCACCTACCTCCTCTCGTCTCATCAAAACAAAGCTTCCCATTCCAATAAGTCAAGTCACAGAATAGGCACCGCAATCATGGCAACCATGCGCGCAGTCGGTAAGTAATCACGTCTCAAATATTCCACACACCCAATCTGACCACTTTAGACATAACCAATGGCAGCGGCCCAGCAACCTCCCTTCACATCGCCTCAATCCCCAAACCATCCGCATCATCCGGGCAGGCAATAGTAAAAATCAAAGCCTTTGGACTGAACCGTATGGACTTACTCCAGCGCGAAGGACACTACCCCGTCCCACCGCAAGCCCCCAAAACCCTGGGCGTAGAATTCAGCGGCACGATCGAAGAACTAAGCTCCGATTCCAAAGACAACTTCAAGAAAGGCGATGAGGTGTTCGGGTTAGCCTACGGCGGTGCGTATGCGGAGTATATCGCCGTTAATACCAAAATGTTGTTGCATAAGCCGGCCCATTTGAGTTGGGAGGAGGCAGCTGGTGTCCCTGAGGTTAGTACATTTTCTTTGCATTTTCAGTGCAAGAGATACAGAAAATTGGTATTAACGATGAGACAAATAGACATGGATTACAGCTACACAAGCCATGTACCTTGTTGGCGAATTCACCCGCGGCAAAACGGTACTCTGGCATGCCGGCGCATCATCTGTCTCTATTGCTGGCATCCAGCTTTCGAAACTCGGCGGAGCGGCAGCTATTTATGTAAGTAAATTCCACCGAAGGAATATTACCTGTCTTGAACATCTTAAGAGCCATTTTCCGCGTCAGCTACTCCTGTAACATTGTCTCGACTCCTGCAGGACATTTCTCCGACTTCTGAAATTTACTATAACAGACTATACTGACTTCGGGGTTTTAACTATAGGTAACAGCTAGTTCGCAAGAGAAGATTGATTTCTGCGTCAAGGAGCTAGGTGCTACTGCTGGCTTCAATTACAAGACTCAGGATTGGTCCAAGGAGGTGTTGAAGGCCACGGATGGAAAGGGTGTAGATCTGATTATTGATTTCGTGGGACAGAGTTACTTCCAGGGGAATCTAGATACTGCGGCGCGGGATGGACGTATTGTTCACCTGGGTGCAATGAGTGGGACGAAGTTACCGGCTGGTGTGGATATTAGGGCTTTTGTGATGAAGCGGGTTCGGTTTGAGGGTTCCAGTTTGAGGAGCAGGGATCCAGAGTATCAGGGGAAGCTGAGGGATAAGCTGGAGACCTATTTGGATAAGTTTGAAGATGGGACGTTTAAGATTTATGTCGAAAAGGTGCTGCCTTGGGAGAATATTGTGGAGGCGCATCAGCTGATGGAGAAAAATTCTACGAAGGGGAAGATTATTTGTACTATTGATTAGGGCGTACTTGTGTAGGTGTCAATAGATACGTCCTACATAGGCACAATTCCATGGTAGCTCAACTGGAATATGACATAGCAATGAAGTACCCAGGTATCTAAGCTAAGTCCGAATCATTCTATACGCCTAAACACCCTGCTCCATTCCCTCTTCCCACTCCTCATCTTCAACACCCCTTCCATTGCCAACCACATTCTCCTCCGTCTCACCTTTCCCCTCCACCCCCGCCTTCCACCCCGTCCCCGCCTGCACAAAAACCATAATTACCACCAATGCGGTACCAGCAATGAATAGTGACTTGACCGCTACGACATACCCAGTCACCGCAACCGCACGCTCTGCCCCCTCCAAGCTCTTCACCAGCGCCGGGCTCCCCAACAAACGCCTCACCAGATCTTCTCTCCCCTCCAACCCACCATGCTGCTCGAGCCCCTCTTCCAAATTCGCTTTCAGCACACGCACGAAGAGCCCGCCGCCAATCGCGGAGCCGAATGAACCGGCAAAGCCTCGGAATGTGGTCAGCAGAGATGTGGACATGAAGTGTGTGGATGGTGGGGTTAGGTGCAGCAGGTGAGCGAGGGTGTAGTTCAGCGCAGCGCCCATGCTGAACCCGTTGACGAAGACGGAGAGGAGGTACAACGCCGCTGGGGTATCGGGGTTGGAGATTTGGGAGAGTAGGGCTAGGGTGCAGCCGAAGAAGACGAAGCATACTATGGCAGCTCTGGAGGATTTTGTTCGTTAGGAAGTAAACGATTGGGGGAAGGGGTAAAACATACAGCCAAAATGAACCCGCACGTTTGATATGTAATCCACCTGCTAACATACCCCCCAGCGCAAAGCCCGCATTAGTAGGAATCAGAATCGATCCTGCTGAAGCGGGAGACCAGCCGCGGACGGCAATTGCATATGCGGGTGTATAAAAGAGGACCATCCATCTTGATATCATGACACCCAGCTGCGCGACACAAGTGAGGAGCGCGCCACGGGATTTGAGAACCGTGACGGGGATAATGGGATCGGCAGCAACGTAAAGTTCGATCAGAATGAAAGCTGGTAGAAGGATGGCGGAGATGACTATTGGGGTCCAGATGATTTTTGGGAAAGAGAGGCCGAAGAGGAAAAGGCATAATGATGCAGTCTGTAGGTTTTAGTTATGATGAACGAGCCATGGAAAGGATATGCCTACCAGTGTAACAGCACCTAGGTAATCGATCTTAGCCAGCTTAGTAGCTACGGATTGCTCTCCTCCTTGTTTGTATCCTGACGTGAAAGATTTAGGAATACTGAGGAATATCCCAATGCCAGCAATAACAGCCAGGGGGGTTTGTATCCAAAAGAGAAACCTCTGCGAATTCATTAGCTAATTTCAAAAAGCCGGTTGAAAGTAAACATACCCATCCCATCCCATTTACCAAGGCACCAGCAATTACGGCTCCCAGTGACACGCCGGTTGTAAAGCCCGAGTTAACGAGTCCAATGAACAAACCTCTCCTTTTCTTCCCCGATAGCTCCAGGACCAAGATGAATGAGATGGTCATGATGCCAGCACCGCCGACTCCACTGATCGCTCTACCTACCAGGAAGACTGTTAGGTTTGGAGCTTGTGATGTAACGAGTCCTCCCGTAGAGAAGAGTAGGGATGCAACAAAGATACAGTTTCGAGGAGAAAAGGTCTGAGCAAGCCTTGCAGCCAATGGCGAGCAACTCGACATGGCTATCTATTCTACATCAGCACTGTTTCGAAACGGGGTTGCAAGGCAAATGTGGCTTACTAGATACGCAGAAGTAAACCAAGAAGCTTCAGAGAAAGCATCTAGATCTTCCGCGATTTTCGACTGTGTTGTAGTGATACCGGACATGTTTGAAGCTTGATTTCACAATCAGTTCCAATATCTTTTCGTACACTCACTCATCAGAAACCAACCTTGCAGGAATATCAAAGCCCAAACACTCAAAATAATTAGCAATCCTCTCCTTCTCCCCACATGCTGGTTCGCTCTATCCGGGTCCCGCAATTCCTCCTCGTCGCCTGTGTCCGCCAACGTCTCTTCACTTCCATCATCGTCGAGACCCTGCCTTTCATCTTCTCTCAACAATGGCGTCTCTTCTGAGAGGGTTTGGACAGCAGGAACATCTGTGACAGCCATTTTTAACTCGTGATCTCGCCACTCGTGGGGCCTCCCCACTCTTGGCTCTGTGAAACAACAAGACAAAAAGACTAGATAGACCTCCCAAAATATATGAGGTTCAAATACAGGCAAGTAGCCATTAAGTTACAGAAATACAAGTTTAATACATTTACAAGAAGCATTGAAGTTGTAAGTCAACAATGGGTACCTTCGTAGTGCTTATCTGATTAGAAAGCAGCGGACATCACCGTAATACGGCGGCCGTGTTTGAACTTGGTGCTACGGCACCCTTCGTGTACCTGAATAGGGGAGGGGTTCAAGTTCGAGCCTCCTCTCCTTTTCTTCAAACTAGCAAAATTTGTAGTTCTTTTGATCCCCCATGGACTTATTCGAATTTTTAGCCGTTTCAATCTGTCTTTATCGCAAACATCAGCCAGAGATTACAGCTAATCAATAACTAACAAAGATGACAGCAAGTGCTGGATGTTTTGTATTCACACATGCTGCGATACATCGCTGAGACATTGGCAAGCAAGGGTCGAGGATAATGTACCAGCATCTACAATTATTTATCCTGCGCGATCCGCTACTTTCTCTCTGATTCAAATTTGCGTTTAGTACATGCCATTATCTTTTTGTGTACTCGTTCTTGTGTTACCAAACAGCTACTTAGTTTGTTCTTGAGAACGCTAAAATTTCAGCTTTGCAGCTATTTGAGAAAGAGTAGTGATCTATTAGAAAGCCTATCGTATTCACATTTCTTGGCCTTAGTTTTCTTAGAACGTACTGTCAATGAATGACATCCCCGAGCTCCATCGCTTCTTCTAATTCGGTATAGCATCATGAAATGTTTGGGCCCTAAGGTAAGTGGGCACGGGGCGTCAGAATTTCCTTCCGCATAAAAGAATGCTTTTAGCATCCCACACATCTTCGTTTCATTTCCTAGCTGTATTCAAATTATCAGCATCACATTCCCTCAGTGGTCCTCAGCTAGAGATTTCGACAGACGGCGAATACATCAAAGAAAAAGTAGGGGTTCTCATCATCAGACTCCGAAGCGAGGGAGTAGGATAATATGGACCAAGCGGTTGTAGCTTCAGAGGTGATTCTACTTCCCATTCTTTGCTTTTCCGATCCCTTACTGATAGGTGTGCTTAGAAGAAGCATTTCCCATTCTTGGAACTTCCCCGGGAGCTACGCGACCAGATCCTCACACTGGCTCTCGTTGGAAATAATGGCATTACTCCGCGATTTTCAGTAAACCAGCAGGGTGAGAGCACCATATGCGTTGTTGGTTCGAATCGATTCATATCCGCTCTCCTGGTCAGCAAAAAATTGAAGGACGAAGCCTTGGAAATATCCTACAAATACAACACGTTTCATTTTGGAAACGTTCAGTCGGTACTAAGCTTCAGCGACAGGTTTCCCGCAATTGCTCCTCGACTCGAACATATCAAAATCACTTTGAGCTGGGGGGCTAACATAATGCCGTTCTATCGCCGTTTACCTCGACATGTTCGCGCCAGGGCTGCGATCGATGGCCCGCCGCCATGGTGCCAAGAGTTTGTATTCAAGACAAAGAATAAAGACCATCTCAAGGATATTTTCCTTCGGTTGGTCGCTCTAACACATATAGAAGTTCAAGTCGTACTGCACCCAAATGATGAACATTTATTCACACGATGGCCGCAGAAAGGTTCCTTCGCAGTATGCAACGCACAATATGGTGGCATACGAACAACACATCTCGTCAAATACGCTACATCCAGGTGGGCCCTGAATAGTCTGGGCTGGTCTCAGATAGTGTTGGGTTTTGTCTGGCACTTGAAGCAAATGCTTGACCGTCAGAGAAAAGCGAAAAGGATGGGTAGAACGAGTAGCTGACGATCGTGGGGAAGCCGACCTCGAATTAGATAAGGAAAGAGATTGGAGCAGGAGATGCCGCAGTACCTTACAACCTACCTAAGTACCTACTCTAAGATAGAAGCATGGATATCCATCCTCAAAATGTATCATTAATAATCCATCCATACCCGCGTTTCTGCGACTCCTGAGGATATTCCCCTAGCCTCCCAAAATACTTCATCCATGCAGCAAGTGTACTTTATTGCAGACCTCTGTTGGAGATTCTAGCCAACGAGCATCCCTGTGCGCATCAATTTCGCCAAGGTTGTGGCGCTTCTAGTCGCGATACGAGAGGCTTGCTTCAAGGCATCAAAATAGATCCAGCGCTTCAGTGAGCGGCAGTGACAGGCCAGCCGATCAAGAACACGCAAAGTCGGCGGTTCAGCGTTGGGAAATCCGGTGAGATGTTATTCAAAAGAAATCAAGACCTCTTATTGTGTTTTCATTCTCCATAGTTTTCTGATTTTCTTTCCTATTCAAATCCTCTTTCGCAGCTGTTCTTATCAAATTTCAATTTCAGGATGGTAATCCTAAGATCGGCGCTCGTTACAGCGGGTAGGTCACCCTATACTGTAGCGCAATGTGGAGAATGCTTAACTGAGTCGATCTTCGACCGCTGACGTGCAACATCAACAGGCCTCTTCTTCACAACAGCAATAGCCCTGTCAACAGCATCTGCTGCTACATTTGTCGCCAATGACAGTAGCATCTCCTTCGCGCTGAACATTCCTCAAGATGACAATAGTAATGAGTTATTTTTCTCTATTTCAGGAGACAGCAGCTGCTCATGGCTCGTTAGTCCCCCACACCACACCCCGCCCCTTTGTGATGGCCTCTGATATGATATGTATAGGCTATCGGGATGGGAAGCGAGAAGATGGACAATTCGTTGATGTTCCTAGTCTATTCTGATCCCTCAGGCAAAAATGGCAAGTCAAATTATGGCGGCCTCGCTGCTTCTAGGGAAATCCCTACTAATTTATTGGAATAGTAACTGTCAGTCAGCGACTGTCTCACGGCCATGTAGAACCCAGCTATACCTCGAATGTTTCGATGACTATTTTATCGGGCTCGAAAATTGCAGGCAATACCACAACACTAAATGCGAAGTGTTCCAATTGCAGGTTATGGAAGGGAGGCTCGATCGATCCGAAAAACACTGCGGCCAAGTTTACATATGCAACAGGTCCAGATGGCAACTTGAATAAAAAGTCTCTCACCGCCGGCATAAAACGTCATGCTACCTATGGCTCATTCACGATGGATTTGACAAAAGCAGTCGGGGCTGGCAGCGTCCCAAGTCCTGCAGTTGCTGATTCTGCTGGAGTCAAGCAGACCCAGGACAAGACCGATCACGACTTCTCGGCTCCTCTGCACGCTTGTATTATGATCTTATCCTTTGTTGGTCTCATGCCTATTGGCATTCTCATCCTACGAGTTATGGATAGCCCGAAGTGGCACGGTATCAACCAAGTTCTATCGGTTGTGGTGGCGTTGATCGGAGCTTGCGTGGGCATCTATGCCGGAACGATGTTCAATCGAACGAAGAATTTCAATTCAGCGCATCAGATTCTGGGTCTGATGGTTATGGTATTGATGATTGGTCAATTTGTCCTCGGCTTCTTGCACCACCGAATGTACAAGAAAACTCAGGCTCCCACCAAGCTTACTCCCATCCACGTATGGCTTGGACGTATTGTCATCCCAGCTGGTATCATAAATGGTTTCCTGTAATTCATCTCAGTCTTTCCCTTCCAGACGTCATCTTGCTAACTTTGATTCAGTGGATTCCCGTTGGCTCTCAATCCCAAGTATAACTGGGCACTTCTTGCTCTTGTTCTTCTAGTGGTTATTTTCATGGGGCCTTTGGCTTTCTGGAGATATAAACGCAATGTTCAGAAGGCGAAGACAGAGGCAGCGATAGGCCCTTCCGGCTATCAAAATCAACCCTGGTTGAATACACAAAGCAACTTCAACTTGCAACCAATGAACCCTCCGCCTGTATATCAGAATCCGGGATATGGCCGTTAGTCTCACTGGTGGAACGGCACAGGGTTAAATAGTATAAAAGGTAACTAGCGTTTAGGAAACGGAGCTTGGTGTTTGGAAATGGGACTTTTGGCTTTGACAAAAGCTCTTTTTGGTTGTCCGGAATTCGTGGCGTTGGTCAAGAGCTTTTGGACTTTTATGAATGGAATATATCAAGTAAATCACCGATTTGGTTACAGTATTATATTATATGCTGTCTGCTGCTCTAGTGAGCCACCACCTGTTCAAGCTATTTGGAGAAATTTTTGTTTAACTTCCACTCTATAACTCTAATAATTACTCACTTCATGTTGCTGTTTATGCTCAACCATTTGCAGGCTCCAGGTGCATAGTTGCGCTTTCACCCCCTTTCCGTTTCCCTAGCCCGATCCGAACTCCAAAATCCATTCGTGTTCTTACAAGGTGTCTTTCCCACTCATCAGTTCATTTCACCACTGCGTAACATAGTCCCTGCTTCCTGCAATCAGTTTCTCCAGATTCAACCTCGCGCTCCAAACAATGTTCTCCGTAATCCCCTTCTCCCGAATATTATCAGCATCCTCGGGCTTCGAACCTGCGATATCGCTGTCTTTGTTGATAGATCCAGCAGGTCGATGATGAAAGAACAGCATAGGCTCCACCGAATAGCATTTCAAGTCCAGCAGCTTATCTTTACACGCGAACGCCAACTGGTTATCGAACGCGAGGTCATACGATGTTTTTGTCGCCAACGACGCCATGAGCTTCTGTGCCCCCCGACGAGACACCGCATACGAAAACACGCAGATGGGCGCGATACCCCTGTGCACGATGCGGGTGCCCTCGGGATAATCTTTCAGCATCTTCAGCCAGGGTTGGTGCTCTTTCGGAGCCACGGTCGCGTCGTTGCTGATTATGTAGATGGGCTCGTCTTTTTCCGGGCCCACCTCTCCGCAATGGCCGGGCCATAGAATATCCCAGTCATCGCCGTAGGGAGATTCCTGGGGCTCGGTGAGCGGGACCCCGGATACGGTACGCACTCCTTTGGCGAATTCGGGCATCTGGGATTGGATTCGGACGTCCCAATCGACATCGTCTTCCATGATAAGCACTGACGATAGTTTTCGTTCGAGGACACTAAGGTATGAAGGCTGTTAGATTTGTGAAGCATGTATGTAGTTAGGACCTTTGAAGTGAAACCCTACGAACCTTCGAATTGCATTTATGTGTGCCCGCCACGATCCCAGTACTCCTCCACTCATTGTAAACCCCTGAACGCATCAGTCTCTTCGGTTGGTATTAGGATAGATAGCCAGCCATACTGCCGGTCGAGCCTTGTCTAAAACATCCTCGCCTTTAACAGCATCAACAAACTCCACTTCGAAGCCCGTCAACGAACTCGACAAGATCATTGCATCTCTCTTGTCGGTACGTTCCTTAAGCCCAAGAACAAGGACCTTTTCGAACTACAGAGGTGCAAACAAACGTTAGTCTAGTCATGCGAAAGAAACTGCGTAGATACCTAGCATGAAGGAGAGATGACATACGCCAAGTGTTCCATTCCCCGCTCGAGCAATGTCCGTATTTTGAACTTGAGGCGTCTGCTGCGATTGAGACAAGCCCCATCTGGGCGTCGTATAATTGGAAGTGCGCAGGCCCAAGAAGACGAGCACCAGCGAGATGGAACATGCTGCAAGAACAAGGTGACAGCGTGTGTTTTGGCGTATGGATGTCATTATGAGGACGAGCCAAACTCACATGGTATTTTTGTGCTTTAGGAAGGAAGGGAGAGAGGGAGGGAGAAAGCGCAAGATTGTTTTTTCAAAGGTTGGAACTGGTGGTACCTCATCCGGGGTGCCGGCAGCGGTATCACTCCAATAGGAGGAAGGGAAATACATATGGATACAAGCAACCAGTAGGTATCGAGGGTATGAAACAACCCAGTCAAGTACAGTAGCTGCTTTTACCCGCCCATCCACACAGGTCTATTAAGTCATGACAGCACAGCTTGCTTGTCTTGCCCACAGAAATGCAACTTAAAAGTAAAAAGCTGCCCCGTTTGGCTCCGTGATCTACTGCATCTCAGTGAGGACGTTACACTTAATTTACTATACCCTGTGCTTGCAGGCTAATAGATCCCTACAAAAGCTTGTAGCAGATAAGGGTTCCACTATACAGCTTGTTCAACATCCCGACTTACGCCAATCATTACTTACCGTAGGGCGTACCTGCGCAATACAGTGGGTGGTGTGATGAATGGACCCATCGGGTCCCATTAATACTCTGAGTGCATCCAGATCACCCTCACTCTAGCTTCAGGGGCTCGAGTGCCAAATAAGGCTAGTTGTTGCTTTCGTCCACTTTGGGGTACCAGTGGTATTATATATTATACTACAGTATTACATTAAAGGTGGTTGCGGACCATATTTGTACCGTAATATTTCCCAAACATCAATACCAAACTACCGGGTCATCCCCGCAGCGGGAGTCCCGCTCATCTCTCCTTGGCACCTTGGCATTCGACCCATGCGGTATGATTATACCGATATAAATCATATGCTAATCATTTTGAAACGTGCCTGATAAACATAATTCAATCTAAAAGGAGTAGACTCGAAATGTACTTTGTAAAGTGTGTATGAGCTACTGACTTGTATTTTGTATTACGACCTATCCACTTCTATTCCACTCACATTTTACGCGTACTCGAGTATAAGGGTGGGGGGGGATCTACCTAGTTAGGTAAATTTAGTATACGCGTTCTGATCGTGCGATTTGCACTGCTAGAACCCAGATTCAAGTTATGCGTTTACCACCTCATTTTCATTCAACGCATAAAGTTAGAGACGTCTTTACTTACCCAAGCCAAGTTGTCGACCAGTTAGGTTCTCAGAGGTGAATTTACACCGCCGGACATGGCGGATTTTATTGCCAAATGAAAAGGCGCGGCTCTATAATGGTACAGTAACTTAAGAGCTGTTTCCACATGCATTCAGAATTGCAGAACACTTTGACCAAAACCAATGTCCATTGATATGAATTTTTATTCGCACCATTGCAAGACTTAAGATGTAGCTCATTTGTGCCATGCCCACCCTAGGACAATCGCCTCTCAACTGAATTGTTCTTTCCCCTATCCTGTGTACCTCACCATTCGCTCCAAACTGTGAACATGGGTGTTCGATTATCGCCTCTAGATGTAGTATAGGTTGTCAAGAGTTGAGATAGCGTGTGCGAGTGGAGGTAGGCCAAGAATGAAAACAAAATCATAATGTAATGTTTTACGATGCTCAAACGGTTCAAATCCGCTTGTGCGGATGATTTCACATGTATAGTGTACCGCGGCAGACTAGGCATAGCATACAACATTTGTCGAACGTCTCTGCGAATGGCTGATACTCGTTTGTTCATCCACTTGTCGTGTTCCATGTCAATTGGAGTCGTGTCGCCAAGTGGGTCGAGTAAGGTGTAGAGATATACTCCTGTTTCGATAATGGGGGCGGGTCTAAAGTCGACCTGAATGTGTCGCCATTGGCTTGGGAGGTTGTTGTATTGTTCGGTGAACTTGCGGAATTTTTTGAGGTTCTTGAAATGAAAGACGTTTTGCCAATATACGATTTGGGATGCCTCAGCATGAAATTGTCTATTCTCAGTATCGATTCTCCGCTATCTGTTATGGTGAGACTTTCCAAACAGAGCAAGGGCTCTATAGCTCCATCTTTGACAAGTGCCAGTTCGAATATCTGGTCTCTAATCTCGTGGGCGAGCTTAAAAAACTAGGGAGTCTCTTCTGATATGGGATTATCTTCCGACGTCGACTGTATGGGTACGGAATCTGCCACATATTCCAAGAGCTTTTGTGTAGGGTTGAGAGGCATTCTGTAGGAGGATAGAATCTGGGCTCGTGTTAGTACTTGTCATGACCAGAGAAGGAGGGGGGGGGATAGGCCTATTGCTTGCGGCTTCATGAAAAGACTTTTGGGATAAAGGTAAAGTTGGTTTTGTGTCGTTGCGTGCAAGGAATGAGCGCACGCCTCTTTGTGAGAATAGAACGGTAAAGTGTGTTGGCTTCAATACACTCGCATGAAGCGAAGCGAAGCAGCCCGCTCTTTGAAGTTGTGCTGCCTCCCATAGATTCACCATCCTTCTTTCTCTGATCACCCACAGCAAAGAAGTCATATTCTCTGCCACCAGACCCGAACACTTCTTCTCAATTTCTGCGGCAGCCAAGCGCACAAGCCTCCACAGTGCCTCCGTCTCAAGCGCGCGTCAGTTCAGACGGTTCAGTATTCCAAGCCGGAGCCCCTACGAAGGTAAGTAAGTTCATTGGCCCTGAAATTCCCACTGTCCAATGCAAGACAAGAAGGTTGTGAAACGACTACAAGAGACCGTCACACCCATCCAGCGAAAGGTCTCTGGTGTGCTCACTCCCAAGGTAACGTCGCACGCGCAGCGAATCGAGGCTCTTGAGTTGGCAGTCAAGTCCCTTATAAATGCCAATATCAAGCTACGCAAGCAAGTCAACTGAATTTCTCAATCAAAGACGAAGAAGAAGACGAAGGACAAGGCGCACAAAGTGACAATTCCACCACCTCCACCACCTCGAACACGGCCTCTGGTGACTTTACCGCATCAGGCTAGCGAAAAGGAGAAAAATGAGAAGACGAAGGCCGATGAGGATGATGAGGATGATGAGAGTTGAAAGTTGAAGTGAAGGTGGATGAGCTGTGAACTTCTGTTCGTGGTGAGCATCCTGTGTATTTTTACCTTCATAGCTACGGTAGATAGCATCAACTTGTTTCATCCTAGCAAAACTCAATAACTTGAAAGCCATGGCCTGCTCAGATATTTTATTGGGCTCATGCTCTGGATCTGTAATCTACTCTGACGCCTGAAGACGCGAGAACATTCTTGGGCAAGTGCCTCCTGTCTCCTTTCCCATACCAACCGTGGAAACCAACGACGCTAGATCTGAAACTGCAACGTTTCTGACTTGCCCTGTGCCTCTCCGCTCCTCAAAATCTTCTCGAGGATCTCCAAGTCCGCAAGAGCTTCCTCGGGAGATTGGTTCGGGAGGGTGTGACCCTTGGTAAGTGCCTCGCCCCAAGCAGCATCCTCCTGTTCAACTCCATTCCCTTGGCCTTTTTTCTTGAAGTCAACCTCGGAAAATTTACCGTCCTTCTCTTCGCCCTGTCTGACAATTACTTTACTTCCTAAAACCGACACACTGCCTTTCTCGCATGCAATCGAATAGTCACTACCAAAGAGTGTAGTGCCGAAGGAAACTGAGAAGGTGCCAGAGATGCCAGACTTGGTTAGCCAGATAGAGTTGATGGTGTCGACTGGAGGAAGGTGTTCTCGGAGAAGCGTCGAATAAGCAGTCAGAGCAACGGGTTTGGCCTCCTCTCCCAAGAGCAACCTGGTTGCAGCAACAAAGTGGACACCTATATTTGGAGTTGTTAAAGGTACGGGACGGCTAGCAAATTATAAAAGAGCTTTGAGACTCAAAAGGTTGCTTACCACCATCGAGAATGAAACCTCCTTGATATCCAGGATGTTGACGCCACGGCGTCTCTGTCCCAAAATTAGCTCAAAATAGCTTTCTGGGAAAACTTGTGGCCCTCACCAAAATACTTGTCGCCAGCACCCACGTTGCCAAAGCTCTTGACTGTAAACCCCAAGATGCGTCCTAACTTCTGTACCTCCTGTCTTGCATACACAAAGCTCCCTAAGTATCGATAGTTCTCTGCAACGCTCCAGGTTGCACCGCTCTTTACTTTGTCACTTTTCGAATACTCAATCAAACGCTGAGCCTCCTTGAGATCCTTGGCGATTGGCTTTTCGGAAAGTACGTGCTTGCCTGCAGCGAGTGCGGCTTCGATGTATTCAGGTTGTTTGAGGATGGGCAGAGCAATTATGACGGCGGCAATGGAGTCGTCGAGCAGCAAGTCATGGTATGTTTTTCCAGCGCCAGAATCATCAGAGTAGAGGTCAACTTTGACACCTAGTTCTTGTGCGGATTTGAGGGAACGCGAATAGATAGCCTTCAGCGTGAGGTGGTCAGCGAGCTGGACGGCGGGCAAGTGGTGCTCCTTCACGAAGATACCGCTGCCGATGATTGCTACGCCGATTGACATTCTTCTACTTGTAGAGCTGATATTTAGAGACGATGTTGTTGTTTTTTGTATTGTTATTTGGTGGACAGAGGTAGCAGGTATATATTTGATGCAAAGGTGGGGCGGGGGTGAGGGCGCCCTGAGAGGTTGCACAGACAAACCTTGATCATCGTGACGAAGGCGTTACTGTATCTGCCTGCCCTGCACAATATCAACGCCCATGAACTTCTTTGAATCCCGCCATCAAGCAACATGGCGTTGATATTTATACTATCAAGTGCGCGGATTTATCGTGGTATGGATTCTGTCGTGACCTGTCCGGCGTTCCTGCATTTTGGATAGTACAATATCTCGTTTGGGTTTCGTAACACAAGTTTGATTCTGCCTTACGTTGCAGAGAGTTGTTCGAAGAGGTTAAACAAAAGCTTGCTGGTATACAGATCTCGGCACCAAATACCAGCACCAGTGCTAGGTATCGATGACAAAGACCCCAAATGCTTACTACAGAGCACGAGAAGGCAGAGTTGCCCGCTCCATCTTTCCAGCTGTTTTACCATGAAGTTCTCATCATTAAAATTGGATGAAGCCGTCCTGCTATTCAAACAAAGCATTTCCCAAATTCAGCTTTATCGCCTGGATCACATGGGTCGGTGTCAACAAGCAATGGAAATTGAAAAGAAATATTTCTGGAAGACTAGTAAGCCCTGTTTAACAAACTATCAGGTTTTTTCTTTTTCTTTTTAAAAAGGACCGGTTCCCAAGCGTCTGACACTATGACTTTAGGCAAATGATGAAGAGTTGTCTATCACACTGGCCCTATTCTTCTGCTCTGGATCCATCTCTTTCCGTCCGTACCCGCTAGCGTATGCCTTCTAATATGAAACCAAGCACGTAGCAAATACCTAGGTAACTTGGTATCTTGAAGCCAGGGTAAAAGTCTATCGGAATCTCAGTAATTGAGTGGCTGAAAATACAGATTTTCGGGAATTCCCCACCTATAAGCTGTACATGCATCCCGAATCCTATCACCCTGTCACCACTGTTATTCGCTGTCGAAGATACCCCTCAATCGAGAAATCCCCCCGCAGTCCACCGCACCGCTGAAGAAACGCAGTGTTACATCGTAGATTATCCAATCAGTTCTAGAATCCCAAATGCTGTCATTCCTCCGTACTTCGTAGGCGTATGTATAGTACTTTCATTAGCCGCTTCTCCTATTACACCAGCACCACAGTAAAGCACGATATCATGTACAACACCGCCATGCCAAAAGTATCCATCAGGATGCGGACGATTTTAGTTCGACGTGCAACCAAAATCCCGGTTTTCTTACCGTCCCGTCCGGCAAAGATGCTCTCGCAGATTCAGTCCTTGCTCGGAGAGCCAAGTCCAAAGTCCAAGTCCAACTGTACCCAACATCCTGATAAGCGACTGACGACCCCCCTCTCTCATCCATGCGGCCTTTGCTGATCGCCAGCCCCTGTCACACAGGAGCGATTGGTAATCCTGCGGAGACAAACATACATACTCCGTACGCAAGCAGCCGAGAGGACTTGAGATGGGTAAGCACACATTCATATCATATCACGCATTGCATATTACACAGCGTGCGCATACTAAAAGTCCCATTCACATCCACAAACAGTCTGCACACTAGAAAGTATGGTCCTCAAAATGACCACCAGACGGACGCTGTGTATCTACATACAGAGCTAAAATGGACCGAGATTACTTTCGCAAAGCGGCGCCACTCAATTAAGTCGCGTCTGAAACGTATTTATATATTAAGTCGGAGAGAGAATCGCTAGTTCGATACATTGGTGGCTGTACCGAGTTGCTGATATCAAATCCCGCTACCATTTGTAGAGCCCCATAGAAACGCCATCGTCCCCTGCCATAGAACCCAACAATCGATGATCGGGAACACTATACGGGATATAAAAAAATCAGATAGCCGCCGTCCCGTAGGATTATATCGAAAAACATGTAGCTGTGCTGTATGGCTGTGTCACATGTGTATGTGTTTGCTGTTTCGCCCAGCCGTATAATGATGATGCTGATGAATCGCTCGCCATGCCTAGATCAGAACTAAAAGGGAAAAAAATTGGAATTCAAATGTGCGCCACCGCTAAAGATGCTGAGGATACCCACCCCCTGTCCGCCTGCCTATGCAATATATATGGTTCGGTCATACAAGAAAAGAAAAGAGGTGCCAATTTGATGTGTCGGATCAAGGCATGCCCACCGGTGTATCCCCTGTCGTTGCGCTCGAGAAGCTATTGGATTGGTTAGATCCGTGTTGCGGGATGATTTTGAGCGAGGCACCCGTTTCTTCCAGGATCCTAAAATCGATATAGAGTGCGGAGGATGGCTGGGCGTATAGTTTCAAAAAAGATATTGTCTTCTCTAGAAGATCACGAAGTGTGTCTTTGTCAATGAACCTACGCAAGATAGGATCCTTGTACGCGGCCAGGAGGGTGAGAACGTTGCCCCATTGTCTAAGTAGAGTTAATATCATTCAAAAAGCTGAGAGGATTAGAGGCATACGCATGTGCAGTGCCCCAGATGTTTGTGACAATTATCCTATCCTTGCCCGGGTCGCCAAGGCCCCAGAAAGCAGTTGTACTCTTGATGAGGGCTCTTATGCAGAGCTCTGCATACTTGAGAACCTTCGGATCAATCTGATCTACATGAGTTGCACCGCTATCAATACCAGGAGCATCGATACCAGCCTTGAAGTCGCTTGGATACTGTTCACGCTGTTCTTCGGTCTCCGATTCCCTTGGGTACTGACGATTGAGGATTTTTAGTACGAAGGGCCGATACGTGATCACGTTTGCTCCATAGTACTTCGCTCGTAATCGAGCTTCGAGAATGTCGGTAGCTGGCTTGTCGTTCTCTTCCCAAGCCATAGCTCCAGCAAACCCGCGGATATTCAGGCCATCTTCGCAAGCTTCAATAGTCGGATAGTAACTGGCACTGACCGTATCTGGCTCAAATTAGCAATAATAACATAAATCAGCATCTTGTTACGCACCTCCAGGCTTATAGAACATATTATGCAGCATATTCAGATGTTTTCGGATAAACAACTGAGCACTATAAGCTTCTATAATTCTGCGATCAAAACCATCAATATCCAAAGCAGCTGGCAAATTTGGCCCAGGCATATCTTCCTCGTATGTGAGAATGCCAGAGTGTGGCATTGGCAGCTCCGCAACAATATCACTATCTCGTGTTAGTATCGCCGCTGATTGTTTATATAGACATTTTATACCTTTCCAATTGTAGACAGGTCCAGAATGCAAAGATGAGAGGATTGTCCCTGGGAGGAACTTGTGCCATGTAATTATCTTTAATCTTCTTGAACCGGTCAAGTTTCCTAAGACAAGTCAATTATGATTAAACATTCGCAAATTTAGAGGACTCACGGTCTTAAGATAACTTGAAGACCTCTGCAGGCCTGGTGAATATAGGCGTGGCTCTCCATCACCCGGGCAAGTTGTCCATGGTATAAGCCTGCCAGGATATTGCAATGAACATGTTGAAGGCTATTACCTCCGAGCTGGTTACCAATAATGTCGGTCGCAAGTGCGAAATAAGCTAATCCAGGTATGCGGTCCAAGTTCTTCGCCTTTGTTGGATAGCCTTTTGTTGTGAACGCGCCTTCAATAGAGGTTCTCCGACTACGAGTTTGCCCACGATCTGTATCTTGCGGTGATGGTATACCCATTGGAGTGGACATTGAAGGTGAACTCTGTAGAGGTGACGAAGGGTGACCGTGTCGGATGGTTGGAGAACTATTCCAAGTGCTGTCCGAATCTCGGTCAGGAACGCAATCAGGGATTCTCCCTTTGGACTGACATATTGACCCTAATGCAAGGACACAAAGTACAATCGCTGTACTAATTGAACGAAATGGGTGGCCCGGTTTCAATTCCCAATCTCTCGATATCTCGGGGGGGTTGAAATAATCGGCTAAACCTGGTGATCGTTTCCGTTTAGTTCCTGGACTTTCTGGATTCCTCACAAAACCTGCGCTAGTAGAACCGTGATTCGGGGTATGGCTGGCTGTAAGATTTGCAACTTGTTTTGGTTTTGGAGAATTGTCTGGAATTGACCGCAAGAAAGTCTCGACAAGTGCGTCCAGCGTTCGAGGAATAAGTAGTGGATGCATATTGTTGATGTTGTCTTTGTATATCTGCACAAGAAGGAGGACTCTTTCTTTCGAAAAATTGGGCATGCCGTCGGAACCGATATCACCTCTTACGAAATCTAAGGGGAGGTTGGGAGGCGGCGTCCATCCACTACCGACCTGACCCCATTCTGGTCCAGGAGGCGAAGAGACTTCCGAGTTCGAGTCGCCAGAAATACTATCCGATCCATGATCGATCAAAGGATCCTTATCATATCCAGGAGGAGCATCGGTACCTTCCCCTCTGCCATACAGCCTAAGCAAGCCTCTTTTTTCCTCTACGATGATCGGGTACTTTTCGTTCTTGATCATCCTCTTTTGATTGACCACGTCCTTACACATCTCAGCTATCGGCGGCTCAAGTAGTAATCTCGCGGCTCCAGTGGTGTGATTCACTGGAATTGACGGTGGTTTAGGAGGTCCGGGATCACCGCCCTCTTCCTCTTCCTCTTCTTGTTGCTCTCGTAGTAAGGGGTCTTGTTGTAGTAGTGGATCGTTTTGCAACGGAATTTCCTGCCGCTGCTGTAAAAGATCTCTTCGTAACAGACGTTCGGAACGCTCCTGGCCAGGCGTCAACGGGGGAGGTGAGGCAAGAGGCAATGGATGCGATTCTGCGCTATGTTGCACACGATAGTCTGAAGTGAAATCGTCCTCCGGATCCTCTGTTTTTAAATCTGGTGGCGGTAGTCTGCGTATTAAACCGTCCTGGACTTTCTGGACTTTCTCAAATTTGTCTTGCATCGCATTTACAGAATTTTCTATGCGCATTAAGGTCTCCAAAATATCCCCCGATACCTTGTCTTGTCTAGTACCGTTAGTGATTTTC